GTTCTACCAGAACGGCATCCAGCCGACCCCAATAACAGATACGCCAATATACAACCTCCAGTCTACAACCGAGTCGCTGCGCGTCGATTCGAAGAATCTGTCAAGCTTCTGTGCCACAGAATGGACGCACAAAATGATTATCAGCACCCAAATGGGACGGTCGAGCCCAAGCAACAGGCTGTGACGGAACAATCTGGATCACCTCTCCATTCCAACAACTTTGCCCCTGAAGCAACATTACCTGGGACCCCTTCATTTGGGAACACCCAATACTACCATGGATTGAGCTACGTCGAGAAGCAAAGAGATATCCAAAGCTTTCATGGCAAAACTCAACCCGGTGATACCAGCAGTCTGATTCAGCCACATGCTCCTCAGAGCAGAGCAAAGCCGTGGAAGGCTGTTCTCGAAGGAACAATTGCTCACAAGCGTCAATGCGAAGCAGCGTCAGATGAAACATCACCAATCCATTTGCAAAACCAGCAGATCATGACAAAGACTCCAAACTGGCCTTTCGGTGTCACAACAACCTCCTGCCGAAGTGTTGCCAGTGGGAGAGCCCAGCATCCTCCGCTCACGACGAGAGAAATACAATTACTCCTGAGGAACCCTCACATACGTGATGGGAGCAAGGGATATCTGCCTACTCCCGAAGGTCTGACGCGTCATCGTCCTCCTCCACACGTATATGGCAGCACTCAGGGGCCCGAGCCAACTGGCAAAATCGCCCACCTGCCAGCCACAGGACGGCCTGCAGGATTGAAGCGCCGCAACGCACAGAGAAGACAACCAGAGATACCGGGTCCGCAAGGCTTTGAGTCATGTCATAATCAGTGCTGTGTCAGGTTTCGTCGAGGATCTATCGCGAGGGATGTGCATGTCATCTATTCATCCCCCGTCGACCTTGCACGACGCAAGTCGATTCTGCCTCAGATCCAAGAGGCAGACGATGAATCCGCGGAAGATGGATACATTCACAGGTTGGCATCAAAGGATCAGCATACCTCGGGATGCCAACCCGCCTCTCCTCTCCTCGAACAGCCTCAGCACCAAGAAGAGAACGACGAAAGCCCTTGCCCACTTGGCTCCACCACAGGGGGGTGCAGCTCATTGGCCACACCGAAGAACGAGAGCGGCGGTAGCGAGCAGAATGACATACGAGTCCGCACGGTCAAGCCTCTTCGGAGGCTCTCTTTTGTGATCAAGGGACCACGTCCCCTCCCCGAGAGTGCTCCTCTGCCGTCGCCAACCTCATCAACATCGCCGTCCACGACTCAAGCAGCGGCGACCCATATGTCTTCCCTGAATCCAGAGCCGCAGTTAGAATTAGAGCCCGAGGTCGAGTCGGAGCACCCCACTGAAGATGAGTCCTGCTGCAAGATGGCGGGATGCACGTGGCCAGGTTGCTCGCGCATCCGCGGGGTCTTCAAGATGCCGGTCCCCGTGGCAGCGGGCAAGAGCAAACCTGAGCAAAACAGAGAGAGCGCCATAGAAGGGGAACGCGGAGATTTCCAGCCCATTATGAATGGTTTTTCTTTTCTTAAGCTAAATTAAGTAGATAAATCACTGTTTAGTAAGCTGATATATCTAGTTACACTAGTTTAGATATAAGTATAATTATAATATTAATAATTTTAAACAATTCTTTTTAAAAAAGCTTGATATATATTATATAAATATATTCAGATACCTACATGTCTTTCTATATGATAGTCTTATATTATAGCTACCATATGAGGGTGCTGCATCATTTTATATTCATGGGGATTAGAAACAAAACCATATATTATAGCCTCGTATGGGAGAGCGTGATTTGTATCCTCCAGTGGGAGAAGCCGACAGACAAGGGTCCATACTTACACAGCAGGGTCACTGATATGTTCCTTCCAGCCGGGCATGCGGGAAAGAGCGTAGATCATGGCTGGAAGAAATCCAACTATCTGTGTTGACAGATCTACCTCTCGTCTTCTTCATCAACAATCAGTCATCCATCTCATCTTCAGTAAGCCTAGCACCTACCTATCCAGTGATCCATGCCTCCCATCATCTCTACCTACTCCTCCACGGGAGCCGTCAGCACGACTCCCAACTAGCAGTTCATATTCGAGTTGATCGGGCTCGTAATCGCCCTGGCAGCTTGCATCGCCATCTTGGCAACTGGTTGCTACGGCCCGATCGGGTGGAACAACGAGTGGCCTCTGATCCGTGCGCTGCCAAATGGCTGGAAGCAGCATATATATCCTTCCAGAATCGACGACCCTTGCGACGAAGCCAAGGTTGGCACCAAAGATCTAAGCAAGTCATTCAACGACGCAGACAAGCTGTTCAGCGACGCAAACAAACCGTTCAACGACCTATTTCAACCCCGCCGCCCCCTGCTTAGGCGCTGGTCTTCGGTGCCATCGCCGTCGCCCAGGAGCAGTGGGACGCTCGTGCCTACACCACAGGAGGTAGCAGGGGCTAAGCCCATTTGAGCCTAGCACGGGCCCCACGAGCAACATACTGCACCCAAGAACCCTGGAGCATACTACGGTACACTTTTCATAGACTAGACCCCTCCAGCAGACGCGCTGGGGCAAGTTTTCGACGAAGCTCAACCACAGGGTACAACCGACCTCGTCAACCAAACAACTTCTGCGCTCCGATACTCTCATTCCGGCACCGCATCAATCAAGATCATAATGGCGACCGCAACAGAGGCACCGGCAGGCGGTGGAAACAGCAGTTTCCGCGTGAGTTGTCAGCTCCCTGAAGCTCCTAGCAGCTGTTGTGTGGACATGATGGCACCTAACAGCCCCTTTTAGAACAAGGAGAAGCCCTTGGCCGTCCGCTCCTCCAACATTGTCGCCGCGAGAGGTATGCAACGCCCTCAGGGCCGCCGCCCAGTGCAGTATACTAACCTGCATTCTAGCGGTTGCCGACGCCATCAGGACCTCCCTGGGACCACGTGGAATGGACAAGATGATCCGCAGCGGAAAGGGCGAGACGATAATCACAAACGACGGCAGCACAATGCTGCAGAGCATGTCCGTCCTGCACCCCACGGCCAAGATGCTCGTCAATCTCTCCAACGCACAAGATGTCGAGGCTGGTGACGGCACAACATCAGTGGTGGTCATCTGCGGTGCGCTGCTGGGCGCAGCCGACCGCCTGCTGTCAAAAGGCATCCACCCCTCTGTCATATCCGAATCCTTCCAGCGGGCCGCGAATGCTGCCGTACAGGTCCTTCACGACATGTCACAACCCATCGCTCTCACCGACACCTCTGCGCTCCTGCAAGCGGCGAACACCTCCCTCTCCTCAAAGATTGTCTCTCAGTACGCCAACCTGCTCGGACCCATGGCTGTCAACTCCGTCACCAAGACGATAGACCTCAAGACTGCGGATAATGTGGACCTCAAGAATATCAGGACCATCAAGAAGGTCGGAGGCACGATCGAGGACAGCGAGCTGGTGGACGGCGTGGTGCTCACCCAACCTGTCATCAAGAACGCGGGCGGTCCCATCCGCATGGAGAAGGCCAAGATCGGTCTCATCCAGTTCCAGCTCAGCCCGCCCAAGCCAGACATGGAGAACACAATCTCGGTCAATGACTACCGCCAGATGGACAAGATTGTGAAGGAAGAGCGCATGTACCTGCTCAACATGGCCAAGAAGATCAAGAAGTCCAAGTGCAATGTCCTTCTCATCCAGAAGTCCATCCTCCGGGACGCTGTCAACGACTTGTCGCTCCACTTCCTTGCCAAACTCAACATTCTGGTCGTCAAGGACATCGAGCGCGACGAGGTTGAATTCATTTGCAAGTCCACGGGCTGCAAGCCCGTTGCGGACATCGATTCGTTCACCGAGGACAAGCTCGGCAGTGCTGACCTCGTGGAGGAGGTACAGTCCTCAGGGTCTCGCATGGTCAAGGTGACCGGCACCAAGTCTGCAGGCAAGACTGTTTCTGTCGTCGTCCGTGGCGCAAATTCACTCATCCTCGACGAGGCAGAGCGGTCCCTGCACGATGCTCTCTGCGTGGTACGGTGTTTGGTGAAGAAGAAGGCCCTGATCGCGGGTGGTGGTGCTCCCGAGATCGAGATTGCCGCCCAGCTGTCCAAACAATCACGAGAGCTGACAGGCACCGAGTCTATCTGCTGGAAGGCATTTGCCGAGGCGATGGAGGTGATCCCGACGACACTGGCCGAGAATGCAGGTCTGAACCCAATCAGAGTCGTCACGGATCTGCGACACCGCCATGAGCTGGGCGAGAGAAACGCTGGTGTGAGCATCAAGAGCGGAGGCGTCAACTCCAACATCTCCAAGGAGAACGTACTGCAGCCTCTGCTGGTGAGCACGAGCGCGATTGAGTTGGCGGCGGAGACGGTCAAGATGATCTTGAGAATAGACGACATTGCGCTCAGTAGATAATGGACCGGCCAGGAAGGTAGCAAGAGTGGCTTCATGAATCCCGCCCTAGAAAACCGCATGCCCATAGCATAATCATGAAATCATGAGAAGCAATTTCGTGTGAACCACCAACTGATTACGTGATTATTTCTATTTCCAACGATCAAGAACATGCGGCCCAGGAGCTTGGTAAGAAACCCATGGGAGGCCTGTCACGTAGCAGCTTCCTTCATCGGAGGCTGTCCTGTACAAGACTACCTAGGTACCTAGGTACCTAGGTATCCTGAAGGAGGTTGCCTTAGAGGAGCTTACACCAGCGGAGGTCATCCCAGAGGACGCTCAGAAACAACTGAATGCTGGCCTACCTAGGTAAATGTAGGGGGCCTACCTGATTGATGGCCCAGCTTCAAATGTATACTTAGTAGATACGCCCGAACCACCCCCCTGGGCGCCTGGGCAGTCAGTAGCCGCATGAAACGATGTTGTCCCGGTGGTGCGTGCAGGGGTCGAGGCTCAGCTTGCTTGGGCTAGCCTGACAGGGGTATGGCACCCGATGCCAGCACGGCAGAGCAGCAGCCAGGCAACTTCGGATTACGGCAGCGCCGTCGCCTCTACAGTGCTCGAGCTTACAACCGTCAAGCCGCCCTTCTACCTCAACGTCACCCCGGCAAATCACATTCCCAACCTCTTCAACCTCCCAACCAGCTTCCTATCGCACGACCAAGCTCCTTCCCGCCCAACTTTATCACGCATCCGTATCTGGGGGGCCGTTTGTTTCCCAACACCCGCCAACATGGTCAGCCAGCCCCCTCGGTCTTTTTACCGCCGTCGCGGCTGCCCGTGCTAACGAGACAACAGCCGTCCGCCACGGGTTCGAGCTGGGAGAAGTACCAGAAGAACTACGCCGACGATGAGGTAGAGGAGAAGAAGATCACGCCCCTCTCCGATGAGTCCGTACCGAAGCCGACCGATGCGAGGGCCCAGCTGTACTGACGAGGATTCTAGGGATATCCAGGTCCTCAAAACCTACGGCGCCGCGCCATACGGGGCCGCCCTCAAAAAGCTGGAGCAACAGATAAAAGAGAGGCAACAGAGTGTGGATGAGAAGATTGGGGTAAAAGAGTCAGACACGGGTCTCGCACCACCACACCTGTGGGACGTCCCAGCCGATCGTCAGCGAATGTCGGAAGAGCAGCCGCTTCAGGTAGCGCGGTGCACAAAGATCATCCCGGATGAGAAGGACGACTCCAAGAGCAAATACGTCATCAACGTCAAGCAGATCGCCAAGTTCGTCGTGCAGCTCGGGGACCGCGTGTCCCCCACCGACATTGAGGAGGGCATGCGCGTCGGTGTCGACCGCAACAAGTACCAAATCATGCTTCCCCTGCCGCCCAAGATCGATGCGAGCGTCACCATGATGACCGTCGAAGAGAAACCCGATGTCACATACGGCGATGTAGGAGGATGCAAAGAGCAGGTCGAGAAGCTGCGCGAGGTCGTCGAGATGCCTCTCCTGTCGCCCGAGCGCTTTGTCAACCTGGGTATCGACCCGCCAAAGGGCGCACTCCTGTACGGGCCCCCAGGAACTGGAAAGACCCTCTGCGCGCGTGCCGTAGCAAATCGGACGGACGCGACTTTCATCCGCGTCATCGGCTCCGAGCTCGTACAAAAATATGTCGGCGAGGGTGCCCGCATGGTCCGGGAGCTGTTTGAGATGGCGCGCACCAAGAAGGCCTGTATCATCTTCTTCGACGAGATCGACGCCATCGGCGGTGCGCGGTTCGACGACGGTGCGGGAGGTGACAACGAGGTGCAGCGGACGATGCTGGAGCTGATCACGCAGCTGGATGGATTCGACGCTCGTGGCAATATCAAGGTCATGTTTGCGACCAACAGGCCCTCGACCCTGGACCCGGCGCTCATGAGGCCTGGCCGTATCGATCGTAAGATTGAGTTCTCACTGCCCGATCTCGACGGCCGTGCGAACATCCTCCGTATCCACGCCAAGAGCATGTCCGTCGAGCGTGACATCCGGTGGGAGCTCATTTCCCGGCTGTGCCCCAACGCCACCGGCGCTGAACTGCGCAGTGTGTGTACCGAGGCGGGTATGTTTGCCATCCGGGCGCGGAGGAAGGTGGCCACGGAGAAGGACTTCCTGAGTGCGGTGGAGAAGGTCATCAAGGGCAACCTCAAGTTCAACTCCACCGCGTCGTACATGCAGTACAACTAGACGGGAACATCGTGGGTGGTCTTGTGGCTGGGGGGTGATACTGCTACGGCTTGCTTGTATGAATATGGGAACACCTAGGGAGTTGCTAGGCACATCCGCGTTAGACAGCATAAAGACGGGGCCCATTTGATGATCATATCGGGTCTTAATCCTGGCCTCCATCCCTGTGGTTTCTACCTAATTATCTCTGTTGGCGCGCGTCCTTCAGGCTCCGTTCCGTCCCGTCTGCCGGTTGCCCAATTACTCTGCCCAATCCTCCTGCCCAGCAATTATCAGGAGAAACTGGCAGCACCTGTATTATAAACCACTAAAAGACCCGGCTCAAATATCAAGGGTGGACTGCCCGAGGAAGCGAATATCGCGAGGCATGCCATGGTTCATGGACACCATCTGATGTGGAAGCACCCTTTCACAGGGGTCGTCAAACCTGGCCCAGATTGAAGACTGGGCAATGTCCAAGCGAGCAGATGCCCGCCAGTCGAGCCCCTGGGACATGCCGTAGCACCTAGGCCGCGAGACAGCCCAGGCAGGTGACCTCGCCTTCCATGCCCTCCTCGACACAGCACCGGCTACATATCCTGCCTCGATGGCCCCTGCCGCCTTCTTTGGCCCAAGGCCCCTGCCTCCTCTTGTAGTCGACCCGGAGACTGTCGTAGTCGGGCTGTGAGTCCTCCGGCTTCATGTTAAACGGGTGGTCGCCCCCTGTGCCTCCTCCGCCTTGCTCGTGCTCCTCGTTGTTGTCCTCGTCCCGCATCAGCACCTCCACCACCTCGTCCACTTTCCCTCCATGATATTCGCTGGGGCTGCGGCTCTCCCGAGGCGTCGTGGTCCATCCTAGGCATTCCCGCATACAGATGTAGCACGTCCTCTCGCCACAACCCTGGCAGTCGGCATACGAGTCGAGGTCGGTCTTTTTCGTGGGTTTCCTGTGGCAGATGTGGCACGGCGCGAGGAGATTCGTGGTGATTGTTGTCCTTGGGCCTAGCTTGTTGGCAGATGGCGACCTGGCGTGGTGGTGTCGTGAGGATGGTGCCATGTGGGCTGGTCTCGGGCTTGTTTGCTGGAGCGTGTGGACTGAGTATGGTGCGTCTTGTTCGCTGTCTTGCGGCTCCGCCATCATCCGCAACTTCTTAGTCCGCGGACTTGAGAACGACACGATCTTCCTCGGCGGTGGCCCATGGCGCTGAGCGCAAATGTCATGATGGAGGTCCTGCGGGCTGAGGTTGAACTTGTCAGCGAGGGACGCAGCCGATGGTCTGTCGATTAATTGCCCATACAATATGTGGTACTCGGGATCTGCGTCGAAGTCGTCGTGTCTTCTCTTTTTTGAGAGGGGCTGGGTGAGCGAAGGCATTGCGACGCTCGGGGCTGCTGATTCTCAGCTGGCGGGCTAAGCGCCGATAATTCACGCCTCCCCAGCGCTGCCACTAGACAGAGAGAGAGGGCGATGATCCCTCAGACAGACAGGCTGACAGGGTTGAGTGCGCAAAGGGAGATGTGCAAGCTGCGGACACGGTGCTGAATGTCACTTGTTTGCAAAGTCGAGAGTGTTGTTGTGAACGGTGCACAGGAGTAGGTCAAGTCAAAGGGGTGGGAGGAGAGCTCCCAGGGAGTTGAGGTGAGATGCAGTACGGGAAGCGGGTTAATCATTTAGCACATTCAGGCTCAGCTAACGACCCTCGGGGGCGGCGACGAAATTTCTCGCCAATGAGCCAGCGACGTGAGACCTACCGTAGAGAAGTACCTAGGTAAGCAGCCGATGATGAAACAGTGCCTGCAGGCCGTCTCTTCGTCCCTCTTTTCTAGCTGGCAGCCTTTGTTGTTTATGATGCACCACCGCAGGGTGCTTGTTTACTCTGACGGAAGGTCCAGGCGCCGGCCGGCAGGCAAGAGCAACTAGATAACGGCTCGCAGGTCCTGACGGCGAGCGTTGCCCTGTCCGTTCTGCATTCATCAAGAGGAGCCTGTCCCCTAACCCTCAGGCTCCACGTTACACGTCATGGCTTGGGCCATGATTGACAGACCTTGTCTCGCATGACTGTGTACCGGACGCGTGCGATATGTTGAAGATAGGGAAAGCCGTAAGTTCGTGAAGTGAGATGAGAGAAGGTTCTGCGGGCCGGATAGGGGGGTTCGTAGTGCGCACGAGGAGAGGTCCAGCCGTTTGGTCGCACGGTCGGAGGGCGAGCGGTGTTAACCAGGATGCTAGGCGGCACCGCGAGGGCCAGATAGTGTACCCAGGTACCCAATTGGGAGCACGTGCTGCCTGAGAAGTGGGGAGGGGGTCGCCCATCCGCGTCCAACTTCCAAGACGACCTTTCGCCTCGCATCCTTCCTCCGACCACACCCGTGCCTCTGGACTTCCGCCCATTCGCCCGCGTCCAACCCATCACCCATCTCAATCACCACATAATCCTACCTACGATCTCTCGATTGTGAAGGTACCAGCAGACACGGCCATCAAGATATGAGTCGCGCCGGTAAACTTGCTCCGGAGGTAAATCGGTACGTAGCCTAGACCTCTATCTCCCTTGGCCCAGCTCCCTGTAGTCCCAGCCGGTCACGCACCCCCGTGGCTTGCTCCGTGTCACCACCGCCTACCGTCACCTCCACCCCGTCACGGCCCTGCAGGCATCTCGAGACCTCCGCTGGCTTGCGCCCTGGTCTATCTAGTCCCAACGGGACCTCCCCCTAGGATTTGAGGACCCTTGCTGACTCAAACTTCATCATGTCCAGAGCTTTGTTCGTCAAGAATCTAAGGTTCGTTATCATTAACCCCTACCCTCTCATATCATCTGGGCACACCGACGCTGACAGGTCATCGCAGCTACAACGTGACACCGGAGGAGCTCTTCGAGCTCTTCGGCAAGTACGGGCCCATCCGGTACGCGGCACCCCCTGTCCTTGATGTCGGCCCCGATACTAACGTCCCCCGCAGCCAGGTCCGCCAGGGCATTGCGTCCAACACAAAGGGAACTGCCTTCGTCGTCTATGAAGACGTCATGGATGCGAAGCAGGCGTGCGACAAGTTGAACGGCTTCAACTTCCAGGGTCGCTACCTTGTCGGTGAGTCTACATGTCACGCCCGGCCCCTTGCGGTCCCCAAAGGCGCCTCCCACTAACGCAGTCCGGCAGTACTATACCACCAGCCAGAGAAGATGGCCAAGTCAAAAGAGGACCTCGAGGCACGCAAGGAGAATTTAGCGCAGCTCAAGAAACAACACGGTATCGATTGACAATTTGACGGGCCTCGGGACAAGCACCTGCAAACACGTCGTCCTGCAGGCCCGTCTTCCCCTTCGAAATCCTCGTCTTCGAAGACTCCCTCCCCTCCCAGATCGGCCCCGCGACCGATTCCCAAGAAGAGCAGACCGACCCCTATGAAGACTGGAGGATCTAGGAATTCATTCTCCGGCTTCGTCCGTGGTCTCCTCCCGACCGTCCCCGAATGCGCTTGAGCACGGCCCCCACGAACGAAATTTCGAGGCGGCCAGCATCACATTGGGGGAGCTGGGAAAGCATCATCACTTAGTGTGGGCACACGCTGGTCTTGCTCGGCAAACTTGAGATTTTGCATGCGACGGATGACTCCAGGATCCTGGTACGGGGAGTCTACTTTCATTATTGAACGACAGGGCGTTGCTTCGTTGTCTCGGCATCAGATTGGCCTCTGAAGAATACCGCCCTCTTTCTCTACGTGGGCGGCTGCAACGCGTTTCTCATTGTCAGCGTGCCCGCCTTTGGGACGACTCTTATTTCTGTTTTCGTCAAGGTCATCGAGCTTATTTTTTGGGGCGGGCTGGTCTATGCCGTGACGGGGCATATCTGGACTAAAGTCCACAATTGAGATCACGATGACTCCTCCCTGATGCCATGCTGCTGTGGCAGCCGTAGTGCTTGTATGTGATCCTGTGGTGCCGGCTGAACAGCTGACTCGTAGGTGCTCGCACAACGCATGCGAGAGTGCCGGTCTGCCTAGGTGCGGCGGACAATGCCTGTCAAGTGTCGGAGGGGTCGTGGATGCATGGGGGCTGTGATGAATTGGGGCCCCAAGCCGCCTGCCTCGGAATTGCTACATTAGGGGTTGGTCTCTGCGGCTGGCGGCCCTGAGGGCTGCTGACAATTATTTTTGCGCTAGACCGCAGGCTGCTAGCCCGGCAGACGCAGGCGAGATGCGTGCTTTAACCTGCGAGATTGCAGTATGCCTGTGCCGAGCAATAGTGCCTTGCCATTACCAGCGTTTGGGGCGCAACGGACCCCCATCTTGCGCTCGGAAGCTGGACGGCCCAGGTGTGTCGAAGTTAAGCTTAGCGAAGTGCCTGCAGCCCCAGACCCTCTTTTGGCCAAGAGGATGTGGCCTCCTAGGTCAGTGACGTTTCATGATTCGGCAAGGAGCCGGCCCAAGGATTTCACAGCCGACCACCTGAAGGCACCTCCGCCCCAGGCGCCGTGTCTGGGCACTCCTCTGCCTTCGGTAGGCACTGCATCGCCTCTCCTTATGAACGACTGGTTGTAACCTGTGACCGGGCGACCTGTCCACTCTCCTTTTAAAGTCAACACAGCTACAATATTAGCGTGAGGCCCCGGTGCCTTCGTTTCGTTTCGTTTCTACCGGCCTGCATTTGCCGTCCTCTCTGTACTCTTTGTATTTTCCAGCCACCACGACAACTGGTCCAACTCTGAGCCAACTGGCTGAACACGCGGCACGCGGCACGCGGCTTATTAGACCACCTGCCGATCTGCCTTTCCCGCATCCGTTTAGCACCGCCCCTGACGTCGACACTCTGCAGGCCAGAAGGCGTGCGGAGTCAGTCACGCGCCGCCTCCTCGACTTCTTGCGGCTGCCTGCGCTGCGACGTCCTGCATCCAGCCCATATGGCCGCACTGGCGAACGCTGCGATCAACCACATCGTCCGCGAGCTCGTTGAACGCCAACAACTCACATCCCCGGCTGCATTTGCCACAGCCACAGCCACATTCACAGCGCCGAACTCCCCTTTGCCCACACCGGTGGGCGTCGATGGATTCGACAGCACGGCGATGACCACGACGACAACAAGCATAGCATCCGCACCGACCGCGGTCATGGCAGCCGGCGGAGGCAGTGCCGGTGAACAGGGCGAGTGCCGCCTGCTTGGCCCCTTCGCGCTCTTCGTACAGCTGGCACTCGGCGGCCTGGCCCTGATGTCCTTGGTGTACAAGAGATGGCGGGAACGCCCGCAGCGGCCCCTCAAGATCTGGTTCTTTGACGCCTCGAAACAGGTGTTCGGCTCGGTCCTGGTGCACGTCGCGAACGTGTTCATGTCGATGCTTACCAGTGGGCGCTTCTCCATAAAGGTTGAGCCGACCACCGCCGCGACGGTGCGGGCAGTGTCGATGATGGTGGTCCGCAGCCTGCTGCGGCGGGACGGGCAGGATGGGGGGCCACCCGACGATGACTATACGCCGAACCCTTGCTCGTTCTACCTGTTGAACCTTGCTATTGATGTAAGTTGGCCCTAGCACAGCTTCTGCCCGGCTGTCAAAGAGCACTCGAAATATCTAACCGTTACGCGCCAGACGACACTCGGCATCCCCATACTTATCCTCCTCCTTCGTGTGTTCACCGGCCTCGTGTCCTACACGGCCCTGGGCCAACCACCAGAGTCGATCCAGTCAGGCAACTACGGGAATCCACCCAACGCGTGGTGGTGGTTCAAGCAGTCGGTCATCTACTTCTGCGGCCTGTTCGGCATGAAGCTCTGCGTTCTAATCATCTTCCTAATGCTGCCGTGGATCTCCCGCGTCGGCGACTGGGCACTTGGCTGGACCGAGGGGAACGAGAGGGTTCAGATCGTTTTCGTCATGATGCTCTTCCCCCTCATCATGAACGCCATGCAGTACTACATTATCGACTCCTTCATCAAGAAGCCGGTCGATAAGGACGACAACGAGGGCCACGACGGCTCAGGAGCTTCGGGGGGCACGTACGAGAGGATCGGGGAGCCCGGGAGCGATGACGACGACGACCCTCACCAGCCCCGTCGGCGCAGCGGGTCGATTCAGCTGGAGGACGAGGCCGATGCCAAATCGACCAAAGAAGGCAAAAAGGTCAAGGGCTCAGCGGAAGAGGAATATGACCCCGACCTTGATGGCGATAGGATTGCGGTGGTAGGGAGCGGCTCCTCGCCCGTGAGGGGGGGTGTGAGCAGAGAGCTGTTGCCAAAGGAGTAGATCTCATCCCATCTTTCTTGTAGCGGTTTCTTTTTTCATGCAATAAAAATATCATATCTGGGAGGCGGTTTCGGCTGAAGTTTCTTTTCGCGTCTACACAGTGAGATGCCTCTTTTGGGATAGAGTCTACGTCCGTGGTAACAAGGCTGCCAGCCTCCCCACAACTCTACAAGGCTTCGGAGAGGAGAGGCAACGCACTACGGACTTTTTCAGATGGCATGGACATCCCGTCGCACGTTGGACGTAAGTGAAGCCCTGTTCCTATCGATGATGGTGCTGACGAGTCAGACAACAAGACACTGCGAGGCTCTCCCCCTTTTCCAACCGCCGTGTTGTATGAACTGGGTTGGCGGCGCCTAGCGCGTACATTGCAACATATTACAAGCTCACGGCAAGCGGTTGGCCATACATAGGTGTCATTATCCTCATTAAATTCCCTTCCAGGTACCTCGATTGTCAAAAGCAGAGCCAGTGGTGTGCGGGCAACAAGTGTCCCGTGCATATCGCAAATGACTCGGATACTCCAAAACCCCAAGGCCAACGCCCCTATCCCCTCCCCTTTCCCACCGACCATCGTCATTATTCCTGCACGAGGCCAACCCTCGCAGCGTCCTCCTTGCTTGTCTTTACTGACCCCAGTGTAGACAGTCACACAATGCCACAGCACAGCGTCACACCGCAGTGCTGACCAGCCCCAACCCGCGGGCGTCCCACTTGAGGCCGTGGCTCGCCAGCCACTCCGGGTCGTGGATATTGATAGGCTTCTTCCTCTGCTGCTGCTTTGGCGCGGGGAAGAGGTTCTTCCCCGGCGTCGGGGACGGTAGAGGGCCGCGGCACAGCTTGGCGTGGACATATTCCTTGGTGCTCGCCAGCGCGAGGCTCCGCGCCGACGATCGACTGCGCCGTAGGGACCAGAGGGACCTCGGCACGGAGGTGCTCACCGGCAGGGGCTGCTGGGTCTTCTGGTTCTGGTCCCGCTGTGGTGAGGGAGGGGGCGGGTGTGAGGGAGCCTGCTGCAACAGAGCTGACTTACGTGCGCCGTTCATGTTGGCCCTGATGCTGGCACTGGTGCTGATGCTGGCGGCCGTGGCTGTGGTGCTTGTGGTATTGGCGGTGCTAGGCCTCGTACTCATGGTCGTGTGGGTTTCGATGTCGGTGCTCCTCAGCGCGGGCGCGGGTGTTGCTTCACCTGCGACTTGTTGTGGGGAGGCCCTCGGGGACCTCAGGTCCCTTTCTGGCCGCCTGGGGGTAGTGTCCCAGATGGGCACGCGGGGAGCGGGCTGTTGATTAAGGATGAGCCCCTGTTAGCTTCCGGAGCCAGACTCGGCAGGACGTGATGGCTATGGCCAACTCACCCTCTGCGGCGGAGCGGGACGGGCCTTGCTCTTTGGCACGGTGTGAGCGCGGGCGAGCCTCGGCTGCCCATCGCCTCCCTCAACGTACTCGAAGGCCTCGCTTGCTCTCCGCCTCAACGGGAGGGTCGGAGGCGTTGGTTTCACGTCCAACGAGTATCGTGGCCCGAACGTGCTGTCCGGGGAGCTGCCAGGTTTCCCACCGACGCCCGGGCGTTCAGCCTCTTTGCGGTAGGAGGCGTAGGGGGTAGTTCCCTCGTGGGCGGGGCGGAGGCTGCCTCTCTGAGGGCGCTCAAGGACTTGGCGCCGGACAGCTTCCTCACATGCTGGGTGGGAGTCCTCGCCGTGCCTGGCGTGCTCGGGGCGGCGGGGACGTCGAGAAGATTTGTCTTGACGGGCCGGATCTTCCTGCGCCGGGCTGGACAGGGTCCAAGCTTCCAGCGCAGTACCGAGTTCAGGATTGCCGTGTTGTCGACCTGCTGGCGACAGGACTGACAGTATGTGCTAAGTTGCATCTCGATGGTGTCAAAGTGTGCGCACTTGTCCGAGCACTCAATGCGGTCCACGGCCGCGTGGTTGCAGATGGCGTGGAGTCTCGTTTCTTGAATGCACATGTTGTTGTGCCTCTCAACCGTCTTGCATTCAATCTCTGTAATGATGGATAGATGTCAGCTGGACCACCTGGCAGGGGGGGATGGCAACATGGTCTCCTGCTCCTCGGCTGCCATATTATGTCGTCCGCCCAGGGCGACAACGGGGTACATATGTTCCCGCGGGCTGACAGCTGCGGCCGTCACATCCAGCTCTCGGAGCTTGACCCATGGTGTGCGGCTCGCTGCCAAGATGCGACTCTGAACCTTTGACGCACGACCCTGGCTGGTGTGGTGGGATTGCTGCCCGGGGCTCAGGGAATGCCCGGGCATATGCTTTCAGAGGACTCCTGGCCGGCCCGTGCAAGCGTCTGCAGCCCACAAGGCGAAAAGTGTCGGCAGTACAAGGCTCTCTGGGGAAACGTAAACTCGGTGGCTAAACGCCACAGCCTGTCGCATGTCGTTGTAGATCGCACAAGGCCAGAAGCTTAGCCCCCGGCGCCTTCGGAATCGCCTTGACCCCCGGGAGTCCAGATGGGAGGGTGGCTTGTTGTCTCTTGATACGTTAAGCTCGCAGGCACAGGCTTGGAAACTTGAGCTTCCTAGGGGTGGAAATTCCCTGCAGGTGGTGATCGGTAAAAAGCCGTGCCATCTGTCGTTGGGGATGATGCACCGTCCTCGACTGTCCGGGTGCGGGCTTTCTCTGCTCGCCTGAAGGGCCCCCGAGAACCATGTTGCCTTGGACGTGATCCGAAATGTCTGGATTGTCTCTGAAGACATGTATTGCCATGCAAGAGAAGTATCGTGGACTGAGGGCCTCCGCCAGAAGCTGGGCAACGTTCCCAGTACCCACGCCAACATGCACGGGACTTCCTAGACAAAGCTCACTACTACAGGTGATCTACATAGTACATACAGATGAGCAATGCCGCACTGGTTCCCAGATGTCAAATCGATGCCGGCTGCTTATTTGTCCCGTCGCCTTTGCACGCCCTATCACACTCGTGTATCAAACACTCTGCACTGAGCATGTCGAGCTTTTATCGTTGTGTTTCACGGGATGGCTCAACCCCTTCTGGGCGCTGCGTCACTTCAGACGGAAGACCACACGCGCTTGTCCCATACGGCAGTTGTCTCTTGAGGTCGCCCACTGAAACAAACACTATTTGTCTTGTTTCTGGCGTTTGTTTCTCACGCCTGCGGGACTCTCCAGATCATCATGATCATCTGTGCTGGCCTGCTCAGGCCGATAAAGGTCGTGCGTCGCCTGCCCGGGAAACCTGCCATATCGTACAAATAGGCTCGTTCTTTCTCTTGTGCTTTAGGGATTTCACGATAGGATCCCTTGGCTGTTGTGCTGGGACCGGGAGCCGGCATCGCTTTGGCGGCGGCGGCTGAGAGGGCTGGTTGGAGGCTACCCAGGTTTGCAGCGTTCACGGGTCAGTGTAGCTCGTATGTGGACTTGAAGCATTTGGATTATATACGTGAGCCAAGTCGACTGAGGACAACTCAAGCCTTGCAAAAAGACAGTAAGTAGGTAAGCGGGAAGAACTATCAGTAGTTGCAAATCATCAGTGTAGACTCTCACCGTGCCACACGATCATGTCTGCCTACAAGCCTGATGTTGATGTAGGGGCTCTCGTCCGATGTCCTTAAGGGGTCAGCATGACCGGGGGGTGAGGCATATCGTGTCAAGGAACTCGGACGATGATATGGAAGGTGAATGATAACAGTCTGTGCCAATCGCTTTCGACAACTTCTTTCCAATGTGGCATATCGTGTGGAGATTTTGAGTGCACCGCGTTTTCGGAAGTTTTGTCGTTGGTCTTTGTCTTCTTGTTCAGCCCTCCAGTTCAGACCCTTTGTGAATGGAAACCTGCGGGCAACAATCTTAAATGAGTCAAGTAAAGTCTATGAGATGCTCATGACCTGGTATTGAGTTGTTATAGAACCAAAGGCAGCGAACAAGAGCCTTGGCTCTTGACAAGTAGAGAGTCAAGTGTTGCTTATTTAGTTATATGCAGGTAGATCCCGGAGCTTATATCCTGCGGGGAAAGCTATGGTGAGGTTCAGTGGTTGTCTGTTGTTAGGATACGAGACAAGTCCTGGGAACGAGGGCATCCGATCACTTGGCACAATTATTCCATCGTGATCGACAAGAAGATGGTATAGCTCCTCTGGGCATCCTCAGTGCTGTGTGTGGAGTCAAAGTTTCCCCGTTATGGCGCGGTCGATCCCCCAGGCTCAGGCAGATTTTGGCTGGACAAGGGGGAACGAAGACATGTTCCGAGATGAACTGGTAGTCAGTGTCTACCGTCTAATCTTCACCACCAAGAGGTTGAATACAGACCATACCCTGGATGGCATCCGAGTCAAGCGCACGGCCTCTACCGAACAGTAGGCACATACGACACTGATTCGTTGACAGGAGTGCAACTCTGGTGGGTAGACTGCCGCTGTGCTCTGTCAACATCGGTACATTCCAAAGTCAATGCTTGTGTGCGAGTGGGTAGCCGGGTAGCCTACAAGGGACAGGGACCACATTATGCCAAGCAGCTGCCAGGTCATACCCCACGGCCGGTGGACCGTACTCGTTGGGACACATGGCAGCCCTGTAGCAAAAGAGCCGAGAGATAGCTGACTTTATCTTCCACAGGCCGAGGGTCTCGTGGTCCCGGAGCTTTGGTGGTACTGACGAGGACGGGCCCAGTGAGCAGCAATTGAGAGGCCGTATGGGAGGAGGGATACAGAGGCATGTTTGCTGATGCCTGTGCCTTGATTTAAGCGGCTCTTTACAGATGATTCCGAGTACATGGTCATCCCATGGCAACCTTGCAAGACTGACAGCGAGGCAAGCAAGTGCGGAGCCGAGCCTCCCGGGGCCGAAGGTGGAGAACTGCGGTGGGCAGGTCGGCACCTGGCCTGGCGTCCTGGGCAATACTCCGTAAGTCTACGTATGTAGGGTGTAGGGTGTAGGACGGGCGGGCGGGCCCGTTGTGGGACTCAGGAAGCTGGCCAGGCAGTGGTTGGAGGCGGCCAAGACATCCTCTGCCCCGCGAACCATGACTCGACAGTGGCTTGTACGATAGCGAGGATTTGACGTCGACTGTGCAGGTCTGCGGGCTGAGGACGGTGGTGGAGTGAGTACCGTGGTAGGACCGAAGAGTCCAGAGTCGAGGCTGGGTTGCTGACAAGGTAAAGCGGCAGGGTGGCAGGTCGTTATTCCCGTACAATACGCGTATTTCAGGGACAAGAACTGTATGAGTCACCCGGCGAGGAGATCAGCGGCGGGATGTGTTACATAAATACTGTATTGCTCATGGTCTAGAGACGGCTTGTCGTCGTCAGCATGTGCTGCCTGCTTGCCTGCCAGCCTGCGTGCCCGATCGCCCTTGCGCACGCCAACCCGTCATTGCGTTGGAAGAGCCAGCGACTACGGTGGAACCGCAAAGGAGGTCCTGTTTTGGAGATGCCGATCTGACATTTGCGGGGGGGCCTGTTGGGCGTTGGTGGTTCGTTCGAGGATGAGGGCCTCGATCTGAATCGATTTGAACCTGCGCGAGGTGGTGCAGCACTTGAGGGGCAGAGGGGTAGAGGGCGAGCTGGGCCTTAAGTCCGTTAACGCCGGTGCATGACCCGCTTGCCAGGGCGGCCTGCTTTGGTGTGATTGATCGCAACAGCTCACAATATCTGTCGCATCGCAGTAGCTGCATGCCAGCAGCCGTCTAACGCTGCAGTAGCCTTTTTCCCTGGCAACCTGGCCAGTCCACAGTCCACCACTCCACCACTCCACTATTGGGATCCTGCTGTGGCATGCACGTCGCATATAATCCCGCCGTCGACCGCATTGATCTCTGACCTCGCTCGCCCCAGCTTGCCCAGCTCCTCTTCCCCCGGGGCCCTGGTCAATCTACGCTCTTCACCCCGGCTGGCCTGCGCAGGGACCGTTTCTCTTTGCGACGATCGTTCAATTGTGCACTCGAGCCCGCGGGTTTTTGGCCCTCGTGCGACGCCCTGGACCTCCCAGTCGGATCGCCCACTGCTCTCTGCGCCGTCTCTTCGCCCGGCCTGGCGCCCAAGCCAATCAGTCGGTGTCTTGCTGCTGAGTGCTCCTGACATCCGCGCCCTGTGCTCTTGTGCTCTTGCCCCAACCGGGCCGCTTACCCCGCGACAACCCCCCGACTGGTCGCGACCGATTGCCAGGCGTGTAGCCTTGTCCTCTTGAAAACTAACGCCTGGGTTTGCGACCAGGCCTAGATATCTACTTTCCCATCCTGCCTTGGGACCCCAGGACAAGCACCACTTGAGAAGCCGGGCTCTCCACTGCACCCCGAGGAGATCACAACCACCCCCCCTCCCCCAGCGGCCAGCCTCTAGTCTGGGTAATTGGCTGCCAAGGCCCATGATGACGCCCACACCGCCCTCGAACACGCCCTCCTCAGGGCCTCGCTCTCCCGACCAACACCGGGTTGTGCGCAAGAGGAACAGGGTCCCACTGAGCTGCTACCCATGCCGGTCCAGGAAGCTGAAATGCGACCGGACTCACCCATGCAGCAACTGCGTGAAGCGCGAGGGTGTCGACACTCTGGCCTGTTCCTACGCCACTCCCTCCAACCGCAAGAGGAGCCAGAACCAGCAGGGCAATGGCCCTGACGATATGCAGAACCGCATCGACCGGCTGGAGGGCCTGGTCTTGTCCCTCATGCACGGTGGCGCCACAATCTCCTCGGACGCCGCAGCAGCCGTCGGCGCCGTCACAGGCAGCAGCAGCAGCACCAAATCATCGGGGCCCGGCGGCAACTCGGCTACTCCGAACTCGTCCTCTGCCGGGGCCGGCCAGGATGACGGAGAGATGAGGGACGACGACGAGGACGACAGTGACATTGACGACGGGCTTGCCAACTCCCTCGGTGTGCTCAAGGTGGACCCCGACAGGGGCAAGTCCATGTACATAGGGCAGGAACACTGGCACACCATTCTCGCCGACATATCCGAGGTCAAGAACTACTTCAACAACCACAAGAAGGACCTCGAGAAGAGCTATGAGAAGGTGCTCTTGAGCAAACCCGCATATGCTCGGAACGGGCCAACCTTCTTGGTGGGCGCCGCCCCTGCGACGGACGTCGAGCTGAGGGCCGAGTTGCCTCCCAAGTCGGCCGTGCTTACTCTCTGTGCCCGGTACTTCAACTCCATGGACAATGCCGTCATCATCATCCACGCCCCTACATTTCACCAGCAGCTGCGCGCCCACTGGCAGGACCCGAGCAAGACGCCACTCATGTGGCTGGGCCTGCTCTACTCCATCCTTTGCCTGGCCATGTTGAGCTACCACAAGGTCGGCGACGAGCCGCCCGAGTGGAAGGGCAGGGCCATAGAGCTGGCCGCTGAGTATCGGCTGCGGACGGTGCAGTGCCTCATAACTGCGGACTACACCAAGCCGAGCGAGTACACTGTGGAAACCATGCTGCTCTATGTGTTTGGGGAATTCTCGTCGAGGTGGGACGCGGACCTGTCACTGTGGCTGATATGCTCTCTGGTGACGCGCGTGGCATTCCGAATGGGCTATCACAGAGACGCCAAATGGTTCCCATCGCTCACGCCATTCCAAGCCGTAAGTGCACCGTGCATCCCGTGGGGCAGCACCCGAACTAATACCAAAGGCAGGAGATGAGAAGGCGCACATGGGCAATGGTGAGAATGACCGATGTTGTCTTTTCACATCAGGTTTCCCTGCCGAGCATGATATACGACCAGGACTGCGATACGCAGCTGCCACACAACATCTTTGACGAGGAGTTCGGCCCAGACACCAAAGTCCTCCCGCCATCCCGGCCGAACAGCGAGCCGACCCCTGTCAGCTACATGATCGTCAAGGTCAAGCTCTGCCAGGAGCTGGGGAACATACTGCAGGTGACGAACCGGGTCGGAAAGCAGGCGGCATACGACGACATCCTGAGGTTCGATGCCAGACTGCGGGAGCTCAGAGACGAGATCCCACCGCACCTGAAGATGCAGCCGCTTGAGGGATGCAACGACCCTCTCACCATGATCGTCGCGAGGTTTAACGTCGACATCCTGTACCTGAAGATACAATGTCTCCTGCATCGGAAATATCTGGCACGCTCGAGACACAACCCAAGGTACGCGCACTCCAGGCGCAGCGCCATAGAGGCATCGCTGGAAATGCTGCGGCACCTGATCAGCCTGCACCGGGAATCACAACCTGACGGGCGGCTGCGGGCCATCAAATGGTTCGTTGCATCGATAGCGACAAAAGAGTTCCTCCTTCCCACAATGCTGGTTATCCTAGATCTGCATTTTGATCAGCAAACGGATGGCGCCAGCCGGGGCCGGCAGGACTCGCTCTCTGCCAACTTCTGGACGCCCGAGCAGCGCCTGGAGATGGTGCGCAGCCTCGAGACGACACGGGACATATGGGAGGGCATGACGGACGGGTCGATGGAGGCGGTGAAGGCCTACAACATCATCAAGATCATGCTCGATAAGACCAGGAGCCCGGGCCCGGAGGGCCAGCCCGGCGGCGCGCCTTCGGCCGTGCCACAACAGCCCTCGGCTGCGACGAAGGACGACCTGTTCTCCAACGTGGGTGGAGCCAGCATGGAACCGGAGCAGTCGGCGGCCATGACCCTGGGCATGATGTCGTCCGGTGGGCTGACGCCTGAGACGGCAGCCGCATTTGGGGGCGCCATGCAGAGCCCCGGGGGCACCACATACCCAGGAATGGACTTGTCGGTTCCTCCGGTTGGCGAGGGGACTGGCATGACACCCGACTTTTCGGGTGATCTGGGGCTCAACCCCGGGTCGCCCTTTTCGACCATGTTTGGCAGTGGGATGGATATCGGGCAGAATTTTGACTGGGTAAGTCATGAGCACCATCGCGGGGAGCCCTCGAGGCGGGAGGACAACGGAGGCTGACAGAATATTGTACAGGATGCACTGCAGAACTACACCGAAAACACCAACTGGGGGACCGAGAACCAATTCCAGACGTTCTTTGGGGGCGATGCCAACAACATGGGCCAGACGCGAAGCGGCCCGTCTCCCGGCAGCGGGGACGGGTTCTCGTTTAGCACGCCTGGGAGCAGCTCGAAATGAGGAAGACTTGAGTGGCGGCGAAGATCAATCCCGCGCAGGCCGGGTGGTTGATTTGGTCGTTCAAGTCCTGGCCGTGTGAGGGCGAGGAGTGTGTTGCTTGTTGAAACAGGAGAGCCGGGCCACGTCCTGTGCAGTAAGGCTAGGAAACAAGGACCCCGGCACATTACCTCCAGACAAGGCGAAAGGGTCAGTACTGGGGACAAGGCAAGTGGCAGGATGTACAAAACAAAATACCCATCTCCATCTGTGTCTCTTCAAGGTCTACGGAGTATAGGTATAGACGTGGTGGTGGTGCCGATCACTAGAAAATGCCAGTCGGTTTGGTTGCCTTTCAGCATGGAGTCGTTATTTTGGCGTGTGCTCCACTTCTCAAGGGGGCTGATGAGAGCGATCAGTGGGCGATGAATCAGCTCCCCCCTCCTGCTGCTCGGCACCTCTGACCACAGGAGGTATCCGGCCTGCCTGAGTCACCACCCAGGCCAGCCTGCTCAGCCTGGTCATGGATATATATTACGATATATCACCACACGCTTCGTGTTGGCGGGGGGCCGGGCTTGTCGACCTCAGGGGCACGAGCCCGTCAGGCCGGTTGCCTGTCTCCAGAACCGTGTTCGGCCTGAGCGCGGCAGTCAGAAAGGAACCCGACTGTGAACGCCGTATTTTCTGACAGCTGATAATCTCCCCTCGCGGCGAGGCAGCCAATCGATCTGCAATGGCCCGCCTCTTCGCAGACTGCATCCCCCTGGGCTGGTTTGTTTCAAGCGCAGTGGCCACCCGGGCCGCACAGCAAAGCACTCCTAGGCCCGTTTCGCCAGCCCAGGATCCATCCACGGCACGAAGCGCTGATTGGCCACCTAAGAGAAACAAAGCTGCCCCCCTGCCAGGGGAAGAGACCCTTGTACCCCTGTCCCCCCCAGTTCGGCTCGTCCCTTGTGGTTAGCTGGCTGGCTGGCCAGGACCACCCCACTGTCAACATCATTTTGAGAAGCGTCGACCAGGGGGAGGGATCTTGTGGGCTCAACGCCAATGGATCTGCCGGGAACTGCGTGGTGATCGCCACCCTTTGACAGAAAGTTTGCTCGCCCGCAAGGCCCGGCAGGGACCAGGGACAGTGTGAGTGAGCGGCGGTGGTCTCCTGGGCGGTTGGCCGTACTGGCGGTTTTTGATAAAGGTTCGAGTGAGCCGCTTGATACCCTTTCAGTGATGCTCACGATTCTGTCTCACTCACTCGCTCTTGGATTCCCAGCCAGCCCTGGAAACAACACAACAGCAACGTGTGTTGCCTTGCCTGTTCCTCCTTCCTGCCGCTCACTTTCTTTCTTTCGAGGCGTTGTGCCCCCCGCTGCTTGTCCTGTTTGCTGCTCCCGGCCGAGCGCTTACAATATCATTCACTTTCTTGCGTCCCGTCGGCATCGTCCAGCAACTACAAAGCATCTTCCGTGCTCTTCCGTGCCTCATTGTTGTGAACCCGCACGCTGTGCGTCACCCCGTGCCACCGACTCACCGCACTGGAGAGTCATAGTGCCTGTCTTCCCCCGAGACCAAGACACGGCTCTCACAAACTAAACATACTCTCAACAACGGCACAAAACATCAACAACAATGCAATTCCGACACCTCACCACTCTGCTCGCCTTCGCGGGCGCAGCTCTGGCCCTCCCGACGGCGACCGCGCCTACCAAGACCATGGGCAAGCGCGAGGCAACCCAGGTCTTGCTGGCCATCATGCCCAGCTCCAGCTCGTGTGATGGCCGAGGCGATGAGTGCCGCACTGCCGTCCAGGCCGCCTCTCACCTCGTCCAGGCCATGACCAAGTACGGCCTGACCGAGCCCGTGGAGCAGGCCGGCGTCCTGGCCCTGATAGCATTCGAGTCAAGGGAGATGCAGTACAAAAAGAACCTCGTCAACGCTGCCGCCGGTCAGGGCACTAGCAATATGTGAGTAACCTTCTTCCGCTGGAACAGACCACGGAGGTGTGAGAGGGCACATTTGTCCCCCCCCCCCCCCCCAAAAAAAAAAGAAAGAAAGAGAGAACCCTCCTTCAACTCACACGACAGAGAGCTGACCGTATACCCCAAACAGGCAAATGGGTAGCTTCAACGTCCAGTACGCCAACAGCATCCCAGAGCTCAAGGCCAAGAACCCCACCGAGTCCACCGTGCTAGACCTCGTCATCGACGACGAGTACAACTTCGGCACCGGGCCCTGGTTCTACTCCACCCAGTGCCAGGATGTCAAGTCCGCCGCCAAGGGCGACCCAGACGCGTTTTTCGACGCCTACATGGGCTGCGTCGGCGTCAACCCGGACGAGGAGGGGCGCAGGCCGTACTTTGCGAGCGCCAAAAAGGTCTTCGGCCTTTGAGGCGCCCCGCTGTGTCGTCTAATGTGGAGGCGTATGCGAATGAGGGAGATGTGCCAGGGGCACGGGCGTTCGGGGTTTCGTTTTACGTTCCTGGGTTCTGCTTGAAATGACCAGCTCTTCTGTGCGAGTTTGTTAAGTATACCCAAAGATTTACTCACTGAATCTTTCGCATCGGCGGTGGTGAGAGCATGTTAAAACACTGAATGGCCGGATTAAAGGTGCAAGTGTGTGTCTTCGGGCACCGGCCGCAGACGGCGTGAAACACCGCATTTCGGTAGGCGTTAGATGGCACTCTCACTATATAAAGGTGCTTGAGGGCAAGAAGACTCCATGCCCAGCCAGCTGCGATGGCTCTGGTTCGCTCAGTATCCGCTGCAACGTCGCCATTCACTCACATGCTTGCAGGGCTCCGAACTGTGTGAGCCCCTGGCCCTATCACCAACACACCTCTTATAAACCAACCGCAGCCGTACTCTCGTCATCATTCAAGCAACTAATTGCCCATTCTTCCACCAAATGCCACGCTACAAAGATCAATGATTTCGCGTGGTGATTGTTGGGGCCAGCATCGCCGTGCTGCCGAGCGGCGCCGGCACGCTCGACCTGGCTGCTATCATGATTCAACAGTTGCTGGCATATTCCTTGACCGAGAAACCAGTGGCAAGCGTCTTGACTAGTGTAGGCATCTCCATCAAGTACAGTCTTCTCTTGACCATTGCGGGGACGCTGGTCTGGTGTGTGATCAACCCCGTAGAAATGGAAAGAGTGGGGCCCATTAGAAGGTGGACGTTGAAACGTGTAGGCTAGCTCGTCGTTGGATGTGCTGCTGTTGGGCCTGGGGCAATATTGGCTGCCCTTTGTAAATGAGGGAGAGGGAGACGGCCAGGCCTGCACCCAAGGCTGCTGGTAGGGGCTGAATTGTGATTAGGCACAACCCACGGCCAAGCTTATCTAGGTAGATGAGAACAGCACAATATGGACCAAAGCCTCCTTGCCACCATGGTTCCACCCTTTCGATGCAAACCGTTTGGAAATAAGCCAGACTTTCAGGGTTTCTTCAAAGCACTACTTAAATAGCCACACCTGAGAACCTCAAGAGAAGGTATACTAACATAATAGCAACTTCTACAACAATAACTTTGCACTTGAACCTCACAAATGTCATGTAAAAGGGGGGGGGGAGAAAAGGAGCAAGCAGGCTTCTCAAGATCCCAGCTCATCAAGCGAGGTGGAAGGAAGAGGGGTGGGTAAGGACGTACTTAGTTGACCGTTGATTCCTAGGCTGACCTGGTTGCCACAACTAGACGGATGGGCACACTGGACTGGCAGACCGATTGACGTCTTGGATGACGAACAGAATTCGGATATGCTAACTACACGCATAGTACAACGCCTGGGTATCGATGACGCTGGATGGTCGCAGTACCTTTCTCTTCTCCCTTTCCCAGTTGGTACCTAGGGTGAGCATAAACAGCTCCCATGATCTCTTTAGCATTGATTGTAATGCGACTGCGCTGAATTGAAGGCTGGACGACCAAATGTTGAGAGAGAATATTTACTTGTTCCAATGGCAGTAACGTGCCGGTGGTGGTGGTCGACGAAGCCACTTCCAAGCAGCCGTTCAAACTTCAGCCTCAACAGTCAGGTGCTCCAGCACGAGAGGAAAGGACAGAGGAAAGAAATTGGGCTCAGTAGTGTGATTTGGTACGGCACAACGTCTGTATATCATTACTGTCTATGATCGTAGTTCATGCAGACACAAGGAGACAACACCAGAAGAGCACATGTCACTATATCAGCCCCCAAGTGAAACCCTCCCCAGGGGATAGTGATCCAGCTCGATCTTACAGCTCACGCCTGCCAGCTTGAAGAGACAGTAGTAGCAGTGCATGGCACTGTCAGGGTGTGATCCGGGTCAGCCTCCCAAGTGACAGAAGACCCAGCGACCTTGATGAACTTGTAGTTGACGGTGCCCGGGGCGAGGTTGACGGTACCATCCCACAGCGGGCTCGCAGCGGTGTACTTGGAGGCGCTCAGCGCCACGGCCTTGCTGGTATCCCAGTTTCCTAGGGCTGCGACGTTGCCGACTCTACAAGGGTGCGGGCGAGGTTGCATCGCGTCAGTCTTTAGGGCCTTTTCTTTCTCTCTACCACCGCAGCCAGTCTAGGCGCCCACACAAACCGGCGCGTGCGTGGCCACGTGCGGGTGAATGGGACGTCACGAGACAATAAAGGTGACCTCCAGTGTGGGGTTGGGAGTGAGCACTTACATCTTGACCGTCGTCCCGACGTTGGTCGTCACGAGCTCGTTGAAGGTGACGGGGACAGAAGTGGCGGTGCATCCCGGCGCCGTTGTCGTGGTTGTTGGTGGAGTTGATCCTCCTCCTAGTCTGTTTTAGCAAATTCCAAATTCACTCTTTTATTTTTCATTGGCAAGCATCAATAGGCATGTGAAAGGCACAAAGTTCCTGCACCAAGGGATAAACCTGGTAAATGACCCTCTGCTCCCCTGCCCTCCCCCGTCATCCATCATTTACTTGTGATAGTAGGAAATTGACTCACCACATATCCCGCTCCCATTGATCTGCGCTGTCGGGTAAAATACCCTCGGAACACCGCCGCTGATAGTCACGGCAAGATTCCCATTCGTGCCGGCGGTGAAAGAAGTGCAGCTCATCACGTCCGTCAGGGCCTGGCCAGAAGTGAATCCGGTGTTCGCACCAGTGAGCGTTATGGTCGTGCTTGCCGCAGAACCGACATTGCTGTACACGCCGACGACCTGCTTGCCGGCGTACCCCTTACGCATGCCGATGGTGTGGCTGTCCGTGTAGACGGGCCACGCCGAGTAGTCCAGGTAGGTCGGGTCCTTCGATATGGCCAGCTTGCGGATGGCATTCAGCTTGGCGATCCACTTGTACAGCTCTGAGGAGGTATCATAGCCAGATAGCCAGATGGCTTCTCGGTTGTTCGGGGTGTCCCCGCCTGCATAGTGCTGTTCCTGGCCCTCATAAATGATCGGGATGCCATCCATGAGGACCGTGAACGCGATCGCGCTCTTGGCAAGGCTCATGTCGCGGGTGAGCGAGGGGAAGCGGGCATTATCGTGGTTCTCCAGGAACGAGCCATACAGACTCAGATCGGCGGCCTGATCCTTCATGGTGTTGATGCCATTGGCGAGGTCTGATATGCTGCCAGAGGTCGACGAAAAGGCCCGAGTGACCCAGTAGAAGGCAGGGTAGTTCACCAACCCACTGAGGTACTGCTGGTAAGGCATGACATAATCCGGGTCTCCGTTGAACACTTCGCCGACGATGTAGACCCCTGATGCGTCCTCAAAGCTGGACAAGTGGTTGCTGTCAACGTGCTTGGCGCTATCAAGCCGGATACCGTCGATACCGTAAGTCGATACGACGTCCCTGATCCAGCTATTGAGGGTATTCGAGACATAGCTATCCTCAGTGCGCAGGTCCGGGAGCGACACCACTTCGCTTCCTTGCCAGCATACCTGGATGGAAGTCTGATTGTTGTAGTCGATGGAGCACGGGCTGTGGAAATAAGAATTGGAGTTGAAGGGCACAAATGTGCTGTAGTCGACACAGCTGCTACAGCCGTTCCAGGCATAGTGGTTTGTGACGACGTCCAGCATCAGGTACATCCCACGTCTGTGGAGGGCATCAGACAGCGAGACCAGGTCGTCAGATGTGCCGAAGGCTGAGTTGACAGCGTATATGTCTTGTGCCCAGTAGCCCTAGATCATGGATTGTCAGCCGTGCTGGCTGAGGCAAGACACGGATTAAAGTCCAAATGACGATTATCTTCTCACATGGTACGAGGAACCGTCCGTAGTGGCACCAGACATCTGCTCAACAAACGGCGAAATCCATATCGCTGTGAAGCCCATCCCCTGGATGTAATCAAGCTTGCTGATCAGACCCCTCCACGTTCCACCACAGTAGACCCCACGAGAGGAATCACAAGACGCGGTGGTCGACAAGTCGGTTCGGGCAAATCGGTCAGTCATGACCTGATAGATGCTCTGTGCCCTCCATCCCGCGGGGGTGAGGGATGCGACCGGCACAACGAAGACAGCTGCAACAAGAAAGGGGAAGAGAGACTCGAGAATCATTGTGAGATACTGGGCGAGAACGCAGGTAGCAAAGACAAGGGCACAATCAGTGTATCTCAACAACTCTGGGGGACCACGCTGCTTTCGAGATGCTGTCACTCGGAGGCCATGGGCATTTTATATCACGGGATTCTCGAGAACGAACTTGGGTTGAGACGAGGAGCAACAGCTGGCCTTCTTGGATAGTATACACGCGCTGACTCTTCTGCCCGACCTGGGCGAGAAAGGTATCCTCTTCCCATTGCGTCCTGTAGGCCATCACCCCGGTGAATTACATGTGTGAGACGGGCGTCCGGCTGTCTCTCGGGACAAAGAAGCCGCGTGGTTGACCCCAGCGCCGCACGCGGGTTTAGCGGCGAGAAGCCGCAAGTGACCCCCAAGTTGGCGACGGACAGGAGACGGCACCTCGCCGATGACCACTTTTACCTCCATGCGGCAGGTTGGAGAGGGAGGAACTCGGATAGAGTTGGGCGAGTGAGGGTGTGATTGGCAAGAACCAGCGGTAGAAAGCAAGAGACGGGCAGGGACAAGAGTCGTTAACGGGCCGACCCAGGAAGAATGTGTTCATGGAGCGAATCACGAATGGCAGGCTGGTGTAAGTGGCTGCAAGGAGGTCAGCTGGGAGTGTCTTATGAAACGCCTATGTGAGTTATGGAGGCGGAGGGGGGTGAAGATGACAACTCGACTACCCCAAATCCCTAGTCAGGGCTTACATGGGCCCCGCCACCTTGGTTTGCCGGGGCCACGATCGAAAAAGTGTTGTCGTGCTAGCTGCAAGAATCGGTGACGCGATGGTAGTTGTGTGGGTGTGTGGAGGGGCAGGCAGTTCCATGCTGGCATATCAGGTAGCGAGCTGCAGGTACCGCAGAAACGGCCGAAATCCAACCGGCTATGTGGTGGCCACGTGCCCCAGTGGCCCCGGGACGAGGCCGTCAATTTGCCTGTGAGCTTCCCCATACAATCGAGGTGAAGCAGTTGGCCCAGGGCGAAGCACCGAGAGAACTGGCTGTCGGCTGGGCTTGACCGTCGGTCGCTGCAGCATAGGGCCGAAGGCGGCCACGCAGCTCGTCGATGGCTGTTTCGGCCTCGGCCTGCAGGCTCCGAGGCTCGACATGCGGCTAGACAGCCGATGAAGCAGGTGGTAAGTCGACAGGTCTCGAGGTGGGCGCGGAATATGCTGCCCAAAACGGATTCGCACCCGCTGCCCTCCCTGGCAAGCTTTCGGCAGGATGTTATGTTGCTGCTCAGAGCGAAGTGAAGCCACGAGATAAGGCCGCTGGAGATTAAAAGCAGGGTGTTCATCCCGTTCATGGTAGTTACCCCAAGGCTCATCCAGACACCCGGACCAGGCCAATGCCGAGCCAGCCTCTCTCGCACCGGGAACTAGAACAGCATGGCTTCAGGATGAGGGGGCAGGCCCAACCAAACAACCCCTCTGGTGCTTGACTGATACGATAAAGTCTTGTCATAAGAAGCCTTGCTACCTGTCAGACCACATGTTCCTGGTTAAACATGACCGTGGCCTTGTTGCTCATGGAGTTGGCCCACGAACTTCATGGAAACGGAGCAGCATGGTGAGCCCTGGAGGTGCTTTGGACAGATTTGGCCCAGTGATAGTGATCGCAGCCCGTTGGCTTGCTGGAGTGGGTGGACTGTGGGGCACGGTGGGGTCTCCTGACCATGTTGTAGGCAACGTGCAAGAGCGATATTGGCAGCGGGATTGTCTTAATGTTGTCTTATTGTTGCTTGTGGATAAAAAGGGCTCTGTGATGAGATGATCTAGTAGTTTTTTGTTGGGCAAGTTGGTGGCCGCAATGGCTGTGATGGCAGCCGCCATGGCCCCAAGTTCAAGCCACCAATTATGATGCTGATGACGCTGTGGGCTGCCTGATGTGTCCAATGATTGAGGACTCATAATCAACACAATGTTGTGACTTTCTAAGCCTTGGAGAGGGCAGGTCCCTCACAGCAACACCCAGTGGTCCTTACAACCAGTGGAGGAACTGCTTGCCCAGGTACTCCGTACCTTGGTACCTGCCCAGTTGTGTCTGCCTCCTTTCTGCCTGCCTACCTGCCTGCCTGCTTGCTGTTGCCCTGTTGCCCGGTGTAAGTGCTAGCGCCTACATCAGAGTTGCATGCCCCCACTCCGGCCCACCATAGCTCCTGTGATTGGCCTGTCTCCCTGCAGGAGCACGGCTTATCGCTTATCGGTGGATCCAAACTTTTTCAAAAAATCTCGAGGCCGGTCGCCTCTTCTCAAGGGTCCGAGTGCACTTCCATCCTGTTTCTTGCTGCTCGTTTGAAGCACAAGCAAATTTTCGTCCTCACCCTACAGTTCCCAACTGCTACTTGGAATCACCCAGCCACATACTGTTCCAGTCTATCCAACTTGTCCTTTCGTGCAAAGTTTTACAAACCTCACCCCCGAAATCACAGGACTCTTCGCACATCATGTCTCCCCTGCAGCCTGTCGCCCTGTTCGGGCTCGAGGTCCCCCCAGGAGACATTCTGGTCCCTGTTAGCCAGTCTTTCCCTGCCACTGTGAGTATTCTCCTGTGCAGTTTCTCCTTTCATCTTCAGTTGCTCTGAGATCCAGGCAACACCATGCCATTGTTAATGCCTTATTCGTGCTGTGTCGCAAAGGCATTCGCCAGGGATGGGGTTGCTGACAATGACAACAACAACAGGTCCGCATCACCATGGCAGCAATTGACCCCACAGAGGAGGTTGAGGACGATGCCGAGGTTCCCCGTCGGCCGCGCTCTACTCTGAAGCTCGTCAAGCAGTCGATCGGCGACATTGACGGCGAGTCTGACGAGGACGACGAGTATCTGCGCGATCTTCTCCTCGGCGGAGGCGATGACGATGAGGACGAGTCCGAGGATGAAGACGAGGAGGCCAATGGTGGTCCCAGCGACCCTTCAAAGTCCAAGAAGGCCCGTCAGGCCGCGGCTCTCAAGGAGCTGCTGGACGCCACCAAGGACGAGGAGGACTCCGACGAGGAGATGGCCGATGCTGCGTCTGGCAAGAAGAAGGGCAAGAAGGCCGCCTCCAAGGCCGCCAACGCAAAGGGCAAGGCCAAGGCCACTGACGAGGAGGACGATGAGGAGTCCGAGGACGACGACGAGGATGACGAGGACGATGAGCTCGCCGGCCTTGACCTCGAGCAGTTCGTTGTCTGCACGCTTGACACGGAGGCTGTGAGTGTCGATGTTGCGCATACGGTTGACCTCCGCTAACGATCCCACAGCACTACCAGCAGCCGCTGGAGCTCACTATCGGCGAGGAGGAGAAGGCTTTCTTCGTCAACTCCGGCACCCACACCATCTACGTCACGGGTAACTACGTCATCAACGAGGACCAGGCCTCCGACAGCGAGGAAGAGGAATCCGACGACGACGACTACGATCTGCCTCCCGAGCTCGACGAGCTGGTCGGCGACGAGTCCGAGGACGAGCTGGATGACATTGATGGTGCTGGGCGTGTCGAGGAGATCGATACCGACGAGGAGGAGGTACCCAAGCTGGTCGAGGCGAAGAAGGGTAAGAACAAGCGCGCGGCCGAGGATGCCGCCGAGGGCCTGGACGAGCTGATCGCCAAGGAGGGCAAGGAGGACTCCAAGCTCAGCAAGAAGCAAGCCAAGAAGCTCAAGAACAACGAGGGCAAGGCTGTCGCCGCTGAGAAGGACACGCCCAAGTCAGAGAAGAAGGTGCAGTTCGCCAAGAACCTGGAGCAAGGCCCAACTGGCTCGCCCGCTGCTGAGAAGGGCAAGAAGGCCGCTCCTACTGCTGGCGTCAAGGTTGTCCAGGGTGTCAAGATCGATGACCGCAAGGTCGGCAGCGGTCGCACCGCCAAGAGCGGTGACAAGGTCGGCATGCGCTACATTGGCAAGCTTGAGAACGGCAAGGTCTTTGACTGTAAGTGACGCGGCGACGGTGCAGGCGGCAGGACGTACGTGCTGACATCGCGGCATAGCAAACAAGAAGGGTGCGCCTTTCTCCTTCAAGCTCGGAAAGGGCGAGGTCATCAAGGGCTGGGACATTGGTGTCGCAGGCATGGCCGTCGGTGGTGAGCGCCGACTGACAATCCCCGCCCATCACGCCTATGGCAGCAGGGGCGTCCCAGGCATCCCACCCAACAGCACACTGATCTTCGATGTCAAGCTCCTCGAGATCAAGTGAGCTGTCGAGGTGGAGTTGGCCTCTACTTCTGATCCATAATGGCGGCCTGCGGGCTGCGCGAACCCAGACTGCACTCGGGGCGGTGTCCCACATACCATCAACATTCAGGCTAGGCTCGGCGAGGCTGGCCAGCTCTCGTGCTGGCCGTACGCAGAGATCTGTGAGGTCTCCCGGGCCGTGGCGATCGATTTAGCAGCAACGGAGTCTTCTGACCTACACACAGTCTGTGAGGATCCGGTCCGTCCAGGATAAGGGTAGCAGATCTTATCGGAAGGGATGACGAGGTCTGCATTGCATTGAATGGCGTACGAAAAAAGACATAGGGGATTTTCTTTTGGTGGGATTTGCCGTGTGCCTTGGTTTCTTTTAGTATTGCTTTGTTCCGCGTCAGACGTCAAAGTGCAAATAATCCAGACAAGCTTCTGAAATACAAATTCTGATCAACATAGCACTCCGGCACAATGGGCATCCTGTAAGCGGGTACCGTGCAAGCTGTAGAACAGAGGCTGCCATACCTGGAAACAGCAACCACAATGACCGTGGGGGTTGAGATCGCTCTTGCCCCAGATGGTAGTCGCTTGTTGTTCGTGTTGCCCCCCAACAAGACGACAGATCCAATGTCCGGTAGGAGCAACCAAACAAGAGGCCGACGCGGCCATGGCTACATCGACCTCGCTCCACCTCCTGGCATCCGCCGCCCTCTCACCTATTCTCTAAGCATCCCTCTCCACTCGCTCTTTTTCTGGAGGCCAATGATCTTTGGGGCCCTTCCATTGCTATTCTTTCGGCTGTTTTGTTATTGGCGTGATCAGTTGTACGTGACAAGATTGTTGCCCGCTTTGCACTCCGCGGCCCCCATAAACCAGCACCCGTCGAGATGAAGCGAAGCCATTCACAAGACCACAGTCCCCCCAAGTCGAGCATCGTGTCCGGGGCTTCTTTCTCTTCAAGCGCCTCTCCAGTCCGTCGGCTGCGGATAGAAAACGACGCCAGGACACCCTGTGCACCACCGTCCAAGCTACGCCGAGGAGGGTCCAGGCTGCTGTCTGCTCTGCGGTCGCTCGCTGGCCGCACACACGGTGAGTCCCTTGTCTGCACTTTCTATCGCGGTCCCTTGGGAGCGCTAAAGGCTGACCACTGTCCTACCAGCATCAACACTGTCGAGCCCAGTCGAGGCGCAGGCCAAGTTGGACTATGTGAACGACAGGCCCTTAGCCCGGAGCGAAACAAAGCTAGGACACTCTGGCGAAGACTCGCCAAAGACAGAACACAAAATACGGAAAATGGCATCGACGATTTTTCGAGCTCCCAACGAGCCTACAATAGTCTGTCGGCCTCTGGTCAAGACACGGCCCACTCTCCAGGCTTAGGAGACTGCTGCAGTGACATTCCAAATGTCACCCCAGGGGCATAACACGGAGTCTTCAAGCTCGTCCCCCAAGTCCAGCCCTGCCTCGAGCATCTATACCGTCAAGCAGTCTGAATCCACCGGGAAGACCTCGGTTGGGTCCAAAGCCTCTTCTAGTAACTCCTCCGAGAAGAAAGGCCCCCTTTCCAAGTGGAAGTCCCAGCAGCATGCCTCATTCGTTGCACCGGATACTGCCAGCGGAAGCCTCGACACAATCGAGGAAAGGGACGCCGAAACCGAGGTGACGCCCACAGTCGCCACTGTCGAGAAGGCTGCCGCAGCCAAGATCTACCTTGAGACCTATTTCAATGATCGCTTAGCTCATCCAAATGCACGCGAGGCGCGCCTGCGTCAGCTTGACAGTCGCCTCTGGCATGTGGGTGTTGCCTTCCCGGAGGCTGAGAGGGACAGGCAGAGGCGCCAGTTCTTCCGCAATGAGTCCGACCACTTGCGAGAAACGCGGGCCATGAAAGCACGAACCATGAGGGCTCTGAAAGAGGGAAGAGGCACGGCTTCTTCGTGCTGCAATGACTACCAGGTCGTCAAGGCTCTGGGTAAAGGCAGCTTCGGAGTGGTCAGGCTGGTCCGAGAGAAGCGCCAGACCGGGGACAAGCAGCCCAGTGGGCGGGTGTATGCGATGAAGGTTATCCGCAAGTCCGGCATGCTCCGTACAAGCCAGGAAGGCCATCTCAGGGCTGAGAGAGACTTCCTCGTTGCCTCCGAGGGATCCAGATGGTATGTACCGGCGAACAACGCAACGATTGAGAGAATTTCGCTGACGACCGCACCAGGGTCGTGCCATTGATCGCCAGCTTCCAAGACGCTTCCAATCTTTACTTGGTCATGGATTACATGCCTGGCGGGGACTTCCTTGGTCTTCTCATCCGAGAGAACATCCTCAGCGAGCCGGTTGCGCGCTTCTACATTGCCGAGATGATCATCTGTGTCGAGGAGGCCCACGCACTGCACTGCATCCACCGAGACATCAAGCCCGACAATTTTCTGGTCTCGGCATCGGGCCACTTGAAGATATCTGACTTTGGCCTGGCGTTTGACGGACACTGGTCCCATGATTCTTCATACTACCAAGCCAGTCGTTACTCGATCGTGCAGAAGTTGAACCTTGAGGTCGTTAGCGACGAGCAGGACAGGCTGGACGCTCTGAACCTGGCGCACAACGGCATATGGGGCTCAAACATCATGATGAGCCTGGACAAACACGAAAACAAGAGCTCAAGTGACAGCGAGCCCCTGTTGCAGTGGCGCAACCGATGTGGGATGAGGACGCTGGCCAAGTCAGTCGTGGGAACCAGCCAATACATGGCCCCGGAGGTGGTGCAAGGGGCCGGGTACGACGGCCGGTGCGACTGGTGGAGCATCGGTGTCATCCTCTATGAGTGCCTGTACGGCCACACTCCTTTCCTTACTGACGAAGGGAGACAACGCACAAAGCTGAACATCCTGGTAGGTGAAAGACGTCTCGTCTTGTGTCTCCTCGAGGGTATCCTGGTGGGGCTGACTTGATACCGCACCCAGAATCATCGATCGACTTTTGCGTTTCCTTCTCGCCCCCTTGTGTCTAGCCGCTGCCAGCATCTCATTGCCAGCCTGATCCAGGAACCGGCAACTCGGCTATGTAGCCAACGCTACCAGTACAAGGACATGCAGCAGCTGTCCCGACCCGCAAGCTGCGCCAGCCACGGGAACAGCCAGGCCTTCACAGACCGTTTCGTGTTCCCATACGATGCTGAGGACATCAAGGCTCACAAATGGTTCAAGGGTGTTCCTTGGGAGAGGCTCCACGAGCTCGACCCGCCCTTTGTGCCGTTGCTTCGCTCGACCGACGACACCCAATATTTTGATGATGATAAGCCCATCACAGATCTTTCAGACAGTGACGACGACGACGATCAAGACGATGCGATGCCCACGCCGGAGAGCGCAACGCATCTGGTTGAGAAGAAGGCACCTGACGGCCTGGACGGGGCAGCTGCTAGTGGTCTGACTGACCAGGATCTGCATGATGTCGTGCCGAACACCGGCTCATCGGCTGCCACGACTGTCGGCCACGCAAATTTGCCAATGACTCCCCCGAGGTCCATGCCGGCCTCTCCAGCGCGTGAAGCGGGCCAGTCATCTGTGACGCCGAAGGCCCCTGCTACGCCCGTCGTTGTGCCGGCTGGACCTGTGGCTGGAACCGCGACCGCCGTCGCAGCGTCCAGCGCCTCCAAAAAGCGTGCTGAGCGCGAGGCTCTCCTCGCCAAGACACTGGCGCCGTTTAACAGCGGCATCCAGGTGGCAGTGCGGTCGTGGCTAAAAGTCCCGTACGACAGCCTCCGCCTGCGCAACTTTGAGAACCAGGTGGACGACGAGCCGGGGCTGCGGGCGACGGAGCGCGACACACTGAAGGCACTGGTGCGCTTGTACGGGAAAAAGGAGAAGAAGCGCCCTCGCGATCGTCTCTTGCGTGACCCTGGAACGGAGAGAGTGGCCATGGAACTGAGGAAGAAGATGGCTTTTCTGGGGTATGACTGGAAGCGGATGCAGGCTCAAACACAGGCACATACACCAACGTCGTCGTTGACGATGCGGCTGCACGTGGCCAACCCCGGCCCGACCGGCACGGCGAGAGCGCCAATGGACACACTTGTAGGCATGGCCCAAGGACACACCTTGAATCCGGATGCAAGCGTGCGCCCCCCGCCCGGATTCGAGCATCTTGCTCCTGTGGGGGCATGTAGTGCGGGAAGGACGAGCATGGGCTAACTGACCTCGGCGCGGCATGAACTTACGCCGTGATTGGCTCTTTTCAGGCAACCGCCGGCCTTCAGAAATGCATGGTGCGGGCTTACGGGAGGGATGCAGAACTTGGGGCTCATTGAAAACGATATAAACATACGGGATGGTGGTGTGTGGGGGGGGGGGGGTTGTATGGCACAGGCCGCAGGGTTTAGAGAGCAGTATGAACAGAACGCATTTGATTCTTGCCTACATTAATAGATTAATATTCTTCTCCCTTCTCGGGCGAGAGACATACGGGCACCCACCGTGGCATCTACGACCCGGTATCTTTGGGTTCATGACGTCGAGGGCTGATGTGTTGTCGGCAGGATGTATTCCTCATGATTTGAAGCCGCCGCCGATGTCCTCGACGACCCCATCGCCCCCGCTGGCCGCCAGGGCCCTGGCGTTCCTCAGCTCCCATTCGTATTCCTTCAACGCCCTCTTCTCGCTGCCCCTGAAGAACAACAGGGACATGAGGCCGTCGACACAGCCAGCCACGAGACCGAGGCTGCTCAGGAGCAAGAGCACGAAATTGACGGCGTGGTTCTGAGGCGGCGTGAGGCCGCCGGCGTGGGTGGTGGGGACGAACCAGACGGCAACGTAGCAGGCGACAGTGACGAGGACCCAGGAGCCAAAGTGCAGGGCTCGGTGGAAGGCCTGGGCGGCCTCGCGGGCCTGGTAGGCCTCCAGGCCGGCGATGAGGGTGTCGAAGTCCTCCCCGCGCTGGCCGAAGGGGGCGGGCGAGGAGAGAAATGGGGAGGACGGCCCGCCGTCGCGGGCGCGTGGGCCGGACGGGGAGGGCCCGAGCGAGGAGAGGAGCTGGGCGTCGTGGTCGGCGGCGGCGGCGGCGGCGTTGGCGTTGGAGGGGCTGGTGGACTGGCGGGAGCGGGGCCGCTGGATGAAGGAGGTGCGGGTTGATGATGGAGTTGGGGTCTGGAGCTGCAGGAAGGCGCCGTTTGCGGGGCTCCCGCCGTCGGGGGTGACGGGAGAGACGGCCCGGGGCTGCCCGGCGGGGTCCTCCTTGGTGGTGATGTTGTCGAGGCCGCTGTGGTGGTCGTGGTGGTCGTGGTGGTCGTGGTGGTGGGACGGGAGGGTGGAGGTGCGGAAGGCGGAGAGCGACGAGGTTGCGCCGGGGGGCAGGGGCCACTTGAGGCTGGCGGCCTCGGCGGCATCGCGGGTGGTGGTGTGGAAGGACAGGGTGACGTCGACGGAGAAGTGATCGGACAGGCTGCAGCCGAGGTCCGGGTGGCGGGCGGTCATGGCGACGCGGGCGTCCCTGACGACCCAGCCGCCGACGGCGCCGTCGTCGAGCTCGCGCGGGCCGGTGCTGGCGAAGACGTAGTCCAGGCGCTTGCCGCGGGGGTCGGGGCGGGCGGGGTCGACGCCGATGATGGGGCGGCCGCGGCCGAGCTTGTTCTGCTCCCTGCGGGGCCAGCGCCAGGTGTTGAAGACGCTGTTGGAGGTGACGCCGTTCTCGACGAGGTTGAACTCGGCGGTGGGGACGGGCCTGCGGCGGGCGGCCTCGAGGCGGTCGTGGGCGCAGCCGAGGCTGGAGTCCGGGTAGAGGACGCGCCAGGCGTCGCGCACGGGGGCGCGGCCGGTGATGATGCGGTGGGCGGGGGACATGGGGGTCATGTTGAAGTCGCCGGCGGCTATGACGAGGTGGCCACGGTCGGCGGCGGCGCGCAGCAGCTTGGCGAGCTGCCAGGCCTGGGCCTCGCGGTGGACGCGGTACGAGTCGTCGCGGTCCGAGTCGTAGGGGGCGTGGGTGTGGGTGTTGAAGACGGCGATGCGGTCGTTGGGGTGGGATCCGTAGCGCAGGGTGGCGCAGGCGACGCCCTTGCCGACGTACCAGTCGCCGCGCCAGAAGGCGGTGGGGCGGCCGTTGAGCACGTAGGGCACCATGGACGACTCGTCGATGGGCCAGCGCGACAGGATGGCCAGGCCGGCGCCAAAGGCGCCGCTGTGGTAGAACTTTGCGTGGGGCAGGATGGCGGCCGTCTCGCGGCGGATGGCGGCGAAGTCATCGTGGGCCCAGACCTCCTGCAGGCAGAGGATGTCGGGCGCCGGCGAGGCACGGGCGACCTGCCGGCCGATCTCGCGCAGGCGGGGCTGGCGGAGCTTGGAGAGGTTGAACTTGAGCCCCCAGCAGTTGAGGGTGGTGATGTTGACCTCGGGCGGTGCGTGGTGCTCCATGGCGGCAGGGCGGCAGGGCGGCCGTGCGAGGGGCGAGGGGCGAGTGGCGTGGGGCGTGCGTGGACCAGTCGACGGTGCCTACCTTTAAGTAGGTACTCGAGTACTCATGCTGCCCTGCAGGTGAAAAGGGGAGGCAGCCTGGCAGCCCAGGCCCAACCCAACCCGACAACACCCCGGCTAGGTTCGAACTGTTATGGTGTTATTTATGCTCGGGACGATAGGATGGCTTCCTCAGGCCCATGTTGAAACCGGCGGCTGCCCATATCGACTGCCCATATCGACTGCTTCCCCGCCTTTGGGGGGAGAGAGAAAAAAAGATCGGATCAGTTAGTAGCCTGCAGGTAGTTGTCAACGCTGCTGTCTGACAGCCTGACGACGTCTGCCGCGTGCAGGGGTGCAGATTAAGCTCTGCCCCAAGACGTCACCAACAGACGAACCCCTGGCCTCGGCCGCGCGCCCCCATCCTGCCAACCTGCGAGCCGTTACCCTTGCGAGCCCCTGCCCTGCACCTGCCAGCCCCTCGCCCCTGCCTGCCCTTGCCAGCCCCTGCCAGCCCAGGAGCTTGCTTCTCTGCCTGCCGCCAGACTGTGCTCGCTGCTTGCTACTCGTGGCCGGCGCGCCGTTTTGTCGCAATCCACCTGGGCTTCGATCCCACCACCTCTGGGCCAGCCGACGAACGAGCCATTCGCCATCGCGCCGTCATGTCGGATCCCGAGCTGGAGGAGACGCCCTCGGCCCAGCCGTCCAAGCGGCGCAAGCGGAACGATGGCAGTGCCGACCACAGCTCCCCAGAACCTGCGCCCCAGCACGAGACCGAGACAGACCCAGACCCCCCTCGCAACCCACCATCGCCAGCCTCGCCCACCAGCCAGCGCCGCAGCCTCTCCATCCGCCATCCCAGGCCCACATCAGACAACAACAGCACCCCCTCGAGGTCACCATCACGCTCAGACTCCGCGTCGCAGTCAAGGTCCAGGTCCAGGTCCAGGTCAGGGTCGAGGTCCGGCTCGAGGCCCAGGTCAAAATCACCGTCACGCTCGCGCCTAGACTCTCGCTCAAGATCTCACTCCAGGTCTCGATCACGGTCCCGCTCACGGTCCCGCTCACAATCCCGCTCGCCATCCCGCTCGCGATCCCGCACTTCATCGCGCCGCGACCCCCACCGCTCGACATCCACCACACCCTTGCGCTCCTCGCCGAGGCCTCCCCCGCTCCGCCCCAACTTTCAACCCTCGCTCGAGCTGCGCGGCCACGAGAAGCCAATCTCCCAGGTGCGCATATCTCCCGACGGCAGGTGGATCGCCTCCGCCTCCGCCGATGCCACCGCCATGATCTGGGATGCCGAGACCGGCGCCCACATGGACACCTTTGTCGGCCACATGGCCGGCGTGTCGTGCCTGGCCTGGAGCCCCGACAGCGAGACCCTCGCCACCGGTTCCGACGACAAGACTATCCGCCTGTGGAACAGGACCACCGGCGACCCCGCCCACGCCGGCGGCGCCGACGACAATGCCGCCGCCGCCGCCGTGGGGAGGATCGGCACGAGCGCCAGGGGCATTGGCGGTCGCACCGGCGACGCCGGTGTCAGGGCGAGCGGCGGCAGGAAACCATTGCTCGGCCACCACAACTATCTCTACTGCCTCGCCTTCAGCCCCAAGGGCAACATACTTGCGAGCGGGAGCTACGACGAGGCCGTCTTCCTGTGGGACGTGCGTGCGGGGAGGCTGATGCGGAGCTTGCCCGCCCACAGCGACCCCGTCAGCGGCATTGACTTTTGTCTGGATGGCACGCTGGTGGCCAGTTGCTCCACAGATGGCTTGATGTAAGTCCCTCTCGCCTCCCGGCCCTCGCCGTCCTGTCTCCCAGGTGCTGTGCCCCCAATCGGACGCTAACACACAAGACTGCAGACGCATCTGGGACACCGCCACTGGCCAATGCCTGCGCACTCTCGTACACGAGGACAACCCCTCCGCCAGCTCCGTCTGCTTCTCTCCCAACGGCCGCTTCGTGCTGGCCAGCTACACCGACTCGTGCGTCCGCTTGTGGGACTTCATCAACATGCCCTGCGCCGTGAAAAAGACGTACCAGGGTCATATCAACGAGGGGTACTCTGTCGGAGGCTGCTTCGGAGTCATACGGCGCCCGCCGCCCGCGGGTGCCCGCGGCACCTCACAGAATGGCCATGCCGGCCAGCTGAACGGAGCGGGAGCGGGTGGGGCAATCGAAGGACAAGACCCAACAGGAGAAGAGACAACAGGAGACGAGCAAGACGGGCAAGAACAGTGCCAAGACGAAGGCGTCCCCTTTGTCGCCTCGGCAAGCGAGGACGGCGACGTCGTCATGTGGGACGTGCGCACCAAGGAAATCGTGCAGCGCATCTCCGGCGCCCACAGTGGCGTCTGCTTCTGGGTCGACGTCCACAGCGCCTCGGGCACCATGGTCACCTGCGGCTACGACAAGCGGATCGTGGTCCACCGCCACAAGCAGCTGGAGTCGCGGCCGGGGGCGCAGGAAGACGGGGGCCCTGCCAGTGTAGACATGAACGGCCCATATCCGCCCGGCGAGCATGATGCGACGGCAGGCCAGGAGAGGTTGCGCGTGACTGCGTCTGCTCAGGTCAACGGCGAAAATGGACATGATCACGACGAGGCCGAATTGTGTGCCGGGTCGGAGAACGCGGTCAATGAGGACGTCCCGATGACAGGCTAGGACGTGGTGTCTTGGGTCCTGCGCGACGCGTGGGTGCTTCCTATTGAGAAATGATACCCACGTATCGGGGCGAGACTGTGTGTGTGTGGGGGGGGGGGGGCCCAAAGGAATGGGATAGACGCTGGAAACCGGATAGTAAAACAGCAAAGCAAAGCATAGCGCAGGCGTTAGGTTCTCCTTGTCGCGATCGGGCCAAACAAACCCAATCTCAGAGGTAGCATTTCCTCAGCCCACGAGGACACCGCAGTCCACAATTCGAGTCAATGAGGCCATCGCAGGGAACTCATCAATTGTGTTGTCTATCAGGGTTGGTTGGGTTTATCTGTCATAATGTGCATGGAGTATCAACGTACGCCTGGCGCTGTGCGTCTTGAGCCGTGCCGCCGTTCCGGGGGCAAAGCCCCTGTATTTTAAAACCAATGAAAGCCTCCTCTAACTCAATAACACCGGGAACAGTTGGTGGCCCACCGGCTGGCCGCCAAACTCGCTGACTGTCGCCCCCGTCAGCTTGAGTAGGGCCTCCCTCGGCAAGTGGATCATTGATCCGCGTCGTTGCCGTCTTCTTCCTGCCGGTCGTCAGGTCGTTCACGATGTCCTCCCCCGCCTCCCCAGGGGAAGGGAACGCCTTCCGAGGCAGTAACGATATCACCTGTCTCGTCGCCCTCTGTCTCGATGCTCGATTCGTACTGTTCGAGGTCGTCCTCGGCATCTGAGACACTCTGCAACCCACTCAGAAGAGCGTCAATGTCGACAGGCACAGGGGCCCAGCCGAACACAGGCGGCTCCCAGCCGATCTCATCATTGTCCTCATAGTCGTAGTCGTCATACTCTTCTTCCTCTTCATTGCTCAAGGCCCATGGTGCAATGCCGTCCGTCTCCCGAATGTCGTCAACGGATCCTGCTGGCGGCGGGAATGGTTGGCGCATCATTTCGAGAAGCGCGTCGAGCCCCCGCAACGCGGTGGTGATAGGAGGTGGTCTGGGGCCCCATTCCTGATCGTCCCTGTCGCCGGGGTCCTCGTCCTCGCCTCCCTCATCCTCCTCCACGAGCTCGTCGTCGAACTCGAGCTCGTCCTCAAAGTCTTCTTCACTGCCATCTAGTCAAATGGTCTCCCAGCCGCCATTGTTAATGTCAGCTTCAAGCCTGCGCGAGATGTAGGATGGGACACCGTGGCTGAGCCACATGGTCCGCAGCATTGAGTCGTAGCGCTTCTGCGAAAGGAACAGCTGCCTGCTATGCCGGAGTCCCATGTCCGCCTCGCCGTACTTATCCATATATGGCGCGTTGCTCCACGACCCGCTCAGCCTGTGCAGATAGAAGGTTGCGCACTTGCGGATGTTGATGAAGAGGCCGACATTACCTTGGCACCTTGATGTTGCGGCGTGTTAGCTTCTGATCCCAAGCCGTGCGATTCACGGTCATCAGGGAAATGGTTGTGCTTACTTCCTCATGTGTTGCTGGGCCCCACCAATCCTTCTCCTACTGCCTTGCCGTCTGAGCGTCGTCGTCGTGTCCTCCGCCGAGCAACATATGCTCTGACCACAGAACACGTCACCACACAGAAGACAAATCATTGGATCAGAGACATCTTTGCCGGTCCGCGGGCATCGTCGCCGCGTGCACTCCTCTATGAGGGTATCGTAGTTCTTCGGTAGACCCACGAGTTCAAAGATGCCAGGGTGGCTGAGCATGCGGTCCCGATCCGCAACATCTAGAATTGCCGGGTCTCTGGACTTTGTTCTTGCCCAGCAGTGCGCCTTTTCATGTCGGATCCAACCACGGACGAGTTGGTCGCAGAGGGAGCCTGGCCAACCGACGTGGATCCCCAGTGGCGTGAGAGCTGCGCACATGCTGTCGAAATCCGGCAGGCGGAGCGCCTCAGTCAGACGGTCAAGCTCGTCCTGCTCGGGCTGGGGTGAGATGTGGCTGTTGAAATCGACGCCGTACTTGACATAAAGCAATATGACGCATTTCCGGAGAAACACTTGGGCGTACTTCTTGGTGAAGGTGTAGAAGTCGGCAAGGCTCTGAAAGCAAGGCTGGTTGAAACCATGGTCGAGAGCAGGGGTTGCGTCACCGGGTATCGTATACTCCAGGTCCATGTTGAAGACGGTTTTGCAAAACTCGGCGAAGTTGATCAGACTTCTGTCCTCGAGGCCCTCGCCAGACATCCACTCATGCTTAGGGAACGTGACCCTGGCCGTGCGGTAGACAACCTTGACTATTTCAGCAAGATAGCACACGCGCAGCAGATATGAAACATCGATGCCGTTCGCTGCAGAGAAACCGAAGACGCTCTCACACAGGAAGATGAAGGTGTCCTGTGCCAGGAGGGAGGGGTGAGCAGCCAAGTTATCCTCTCCGTCCGGGACAAACAGCTGGAAGTGCTGCCTCTCGCTGTCCTTCTTGAATTCCCTGTCGATTCGGTTTTGGCCGGCATACTTCTGGCCACCTATGGCGATGTATGAAGTGACAGTCTCTGCCAAGATGCGTAGGTGAGTGAGAGCCTGCTCCGGTATCTTCTCGAGCAGAAGCGAGCCGTACTCGGAGTCCTGCCCTCTCTGCTGAATCTCCACGGCTGAGATCGAGAAGCCAACAGACTGGGCCAGGACATCACTATCGCCCAGATCGGCGGGATTCCCCAGGGGCTCGTTTATGCGTTCGAGCTGCTCAGGCGCATGTCTGCCCGTGAGACCGTTCCGCCGGAGAGTGTCTCGGAGGCGACGGTATACTATCACCAGCTCTGACATCGCGCTGCTGCTCTCGCCTATTCCTGACGACTGTCCGCTTGACTCGGGGGTGTTGCCACCCCAAGGCGTACCAACAGATGGCGTCTGCGAGCCTGTTTCCCAAGCATCCACGACGAGGTGTGATGATTTCTCTGCCAGGTTGGGTAGTAGTGTTCCCTTGGTGTATTGCGAGAACATTCTCTGCGATGAATGAGACCGAGGCTCCAACGCCAGGGCAGCATTGTGCGTAGAAGACAAGTTGTCCTTGAGGAAGACCGCGAATGCTTCAGAAGACACCTGGGACTCGGTCGAAGTCTGCAACACACCAGGATATGACTCCTCTTGGCCCCTCCAGACGATCGGCAGGAAAGCGTTGCCCAAAGCCTTGCAGAGTGGGCACACGAACTCCAGGCGGTATGGGTCCTCGGGGTGATGGCGCGCGATCTGCTGCTTGTGTCGCTGTTGAGTCGCTTCGAAGTATACTTCAAAACAGCTGTAGTGCATGATGTGGCCGCACCCAATAGAGACCGGCCCATTTCTTACTGCATGTGGGGGGAACCCCTTCCCGATGATCTGGCGTTCCGTCATGAAAGTCTCTCCCTGCTGGTTGACCTTCTGAACATCCTTGCGGTTTTCGTGTGCCACTCCGAAAGGCCGAATGGGCTCGGCCGATCGGTCGAGGTCTTTGGGTGTGTGGAATGCCTCTCGAACGAAGTCAGGGTCTGATAGATCCGTCTGACGTAGGATCCCGCTCTCCCTAATGAAGCCGAATGTGCCATACAGCCGACGATCGTCTGTGTCTTCCTGGCAAAGGATACATGTCCCGGATGGGTACTTCCAGAAGTTCTTTTCCTCCACTGGTTCGGGCAAGTCCTCGTCCTCCAAGTCATCGACATCGCCCCAGTCAATATCACCCTGATTCGCAAGGAAGGTCTTTTGCTGCTGTTGGAACTGTGCCATAACCCGGGCTTGGCGATCCAAAGCCGCCTTCTTCTTGCGCTCCCGCTCTTCATCGGCATTGGCGATGGCGGCCGGCGAGGCGGTGCTAATTCTATCCACCGGCACACCAAGCCGAACGTATGCTGCCTCAAAGTCGGATGGCCGTTTCTGACGCATGCGCTTGAGGACAAGTGCGATCCTAGGGTGGCAACTCTTGAGCTCCTCCTTGGTTGACATCATGTCCAGAAGGGACACGATGGTCTTGGACGCGGGCGCGTCCTGCATAAAGTTGCTTCGCGCGACTTGGGTCAAGGCGGTGTGGATGAACGACGGTTTTGACGGGTCGGATGGCCTGTCCTCGGCAATGGCGATGAGGATAAGGTGCAGTACCACTTGCAGGTATGTTTCGACCCTCGTATATGGTACGGTTGGAGTCAGCTTCTGGCATACAAGCGGGTACAGAAGGCTGTAATAGATAATCTGGGCGAACATGCCAGTGCTGGTGAACTCGGCCAGGCCGGCGAAGACACCGGCAGGGATGAGACGTAGCTTTGGCTCATACACCACGTCCTCGACGGGCCTGCCAGTCTTCTTGGCCACGCATTTGCGCCAGGCCATCTCCGACTCCTCACGCTGATTCTTGTTGTAGTGGGCAATGTACGGGTCGACCTCTTCAACAAACTGCGGCTTCAACTCAAACGTGCCTATGTCCGTGACGCCCTCTGGTGCCCTGTAGTTGGACATCTCGTCCAGAACCTTGGTGAAGTCCTCTTGCTCTTGATATCTCTCGGGCAACTTGTTTCCTATCTCGGTGAATGAGAGTGGCTTGAAGCAGAGCACATGAGTGATATCGCGGCGCATGGCCAAGATACGGCTGTTTGGCTGGTCTTCGGTGCGGATTAAAGATGTCCTATCGCTGAGTAGGACAACGAGGAGGTGGATCATGTCTTCAACAATGTCCAAGTGCTGTCCGTCATCTTGAGCGGTGGACTTCTGTTCGAAGAAGCCCTTGGCCCACTTCTCCATCCCGAAACGATCGACAATGGATGCAAGCACTCGACTGGGGTTACACACCACGAGCGCGGTCTGTAGTAAGAAGATATCTCGGTGATGAGACACGTCCCTCTGGCCTACGCCACGGTAGGTCCCAGCTTGGTGCCTTAGGCTCATGCCATTGCGAACCCACATTCCCGCCTTCATCTGGGCCAACCAGGCGCAGACCCTCAGGGGATAGTCGAACGCCGCCATGAGGAAGTCTTCTGGGCCATAGTCGCGTCTCGGCATCTGCCGCTTGCCCATGAGACGAGGGTGGCCTTTGAGCTCCTGTGCTGTGAAACTGAGGATAGCTCGCAACTGTTCGACAGTCAAGGACTTGCCACACTCGATGAGCCAGGACAAGGTGTAGTGAAGAGCGTGATGGAAGCTGATGGGCTGTTCTTCAACCACAAACTTGACGACATCGTATTTGGACTTATCGCCATCGAATTCAAAATCGCCCAAAGATTTGAAGCGGACTTCGTCCTTGATCTCAGCCTGGGTGAATCGTGCGCGCTCCGCGCCGATGGAGTTTACAATCACGGTCTTTGCTGCCAGACGGATGGCCCGACAAACGCCGTCTGTATCTTCGATACCAGTAAACGACCGGCTAAAGAGGCGACACAGTCGATTGATTTCTCGCGTTATGAGTGACGCACTGATCCATGTGTCGGTTTCGTACTCGACGTGTTCCCCGACTGCTCTTGTGTTCGGACATATGCCCTGGTGAAGCTTGACAAGGTCGAGGAACTGTAGCATGTACCGGTCCTCTGTTCTCAGACGCTCTTGGACATGTGGAGACAGGAAAAGAAACTTGAGATCAGCAAAGAAATGGTACATGCGCCTGTTGGTCACAGACCCAGAGTCGAAGGCCAAGACAGCAGTATCAGAGACGTTCCATGGATGGCCGACTTGACGAGTCGTTAAAAAGGTGTACAAGATCGCCAACAGACTGGTCAAGAAGTTGCCGCGCTCCACAACCTCCGCTGTTATCGAGGGTGTGGTGAGCATCTGAAGGGAAAGGTTGATGATCGAATGATCTGGCTCTCGATCTCCAATCAGGTATAGTTGAGCTAAAGTTGTATAGAGTCCTGCAAAACGGAGGCCAAGAACGCGTTTGAACTCCGGGATCGTAACGACGGTGGAGATATAGAGGGATCGCATGTCGTTCCGCACCTTCTTCCACATCCGCAGATCAAACAGGATCATCCAGTCCAGGCGGACTCTCTGGAACAGATCCTCCGAAGGTGGAACATTCTCCGTCTCCACATATGCGGCGGGGGCGAGCATCCAGTACCGGCCCGATCTAGGCGGCGTTGCCTGTTCGTCTTGCGCGACGCCAGGCGTCTTCGGCACATCGAGGTTGTTCTTTGCGTAGATGGACGACGGTATCAGAGGCTCTGCAGTGTCAGAATCAGACGGGGTCAGGTCTCGGTCTCCGATGTTACGGCGTGGGCCACTCGGCACCGGAGGAGGAGGCGGCGGTGGATAGCCTGCCATGGTTGCTTCATCTGCCTCCAAAGCCTCATCGCCTCGCCAGTCAGACATGTTCACGTCGCCGGCGGCTCCCGGGGCCGAATCAAGCATCATCACGTCTTCCTCATCGTCATCTACATCCTCGTCCATGTCTCCCTGCGAGGATGGTGTATGATCTTCGCCATCGGCATCACTGTCGTCGTCATCATCGTCATCGTCGCTGTCTTCCGCGTTCCTCGTGATGTTTGGGTCGCGTCTGACGGCTTCTCTGGCTTGTCGTAGCCTGGCAGCCTGCAGCAGCGCGAACTGAGTATAGACATTCATGGAGTTGTCTTCTTTTTGGTCCTCCTTGTCCTCGTCGTCCATTCCTTCCTGGCCAACGATGGCATGTGTGGCTGGACTTCCCATGCGCCATGGTTTTAGAAGTTCTTCGCAGACAATAACCCGCAGAATGGAGGGATCTTGGCCCACGGCGCATCCCGAGATGTCTTTCAACCACTCGATGATCGTGCCGCACATTTGCTCCCGGAAGGTGTCGCGTGAAGAGCGTATCGTAACCGTCACGCGAATCTGCTCCAAGGTATTGGCCCGAAAGAGAAGGGTTTCGACGTTCTCGTCGTAGGTGAGGATACTTCGGCCGATGGTGTCGGTTTCGTAGGCCTTCTGGAGAGCCTCTCGCTGGGTCATTGCGCATGCCCTGGCTACTTGGTCTCGAACCTCTGTGATGGTGTGTTTCTCATCGTTCCATAGGACAATGGCATATTCCCCGGGAGAGCCCACGTCTCCACCGTGATATGTTGAATTTAGCCTCGACATCTCCTCGTCATTCTTGATAGACTCGACCGTCTTGGCCTGTCGCAGCTGCTCGGGAGAGCACGATATCACGTCGCAGAGATAGTCGACAACCCGCCCGATCGTCATGCGGATGCTGAATAGCAGGTCGTCTGGCAACCTCGCGACCTCCTTGTCCTTGCCCTTTGGCTGCTCGTGTTCCCAGGTCGAATGTATTGTACAGAACATGGGGTTCTTCCATGCCTCCGGATCACCACAGTCACAGCAACCACTATTGCCGGGCGAAATACTAATCCTGACCATGTGACCCGTGTGATCCGTGGCATCGAAGCATTTTGCGCAGAGGCAGCAGGTGTCGTCGGTGCCACACGTCTTGCAGCTATATGATGCCTCCCCTGCCTTGAAAATGTGCCCACATGCCATACCTCGAGCGGCCTCGGTGTACTCGGCGCCCTCGAGAGCGCCCTGGGCGTCCTTCAGCTTGAGAACCGTGCCATCGACCACGGGTCCTCCATTTGGGAAGAAGAGCCTCAGGTAGTCGTCCTTGCCGCCAGACATGAACCTGAAGAGATTTTCGAGCAGAAGGTCTTCTGATTCTTTGTTGTATCGGTATCGCTTCTGGGCGGGCAGCTCCATCAGGAACTGACAGAGCTGCAGCTCCTGTGTCGACATCGTAGCGTCCATCTTGGTGAGCTCAGCTCATGCTTCGATGTCGCGCGACCCGGACGCACGCTGCCGGTCGGCTGCAAGATGGGCGGTCGGCCCGTGGGAAGGAATGTGCGCGACTTGCTGAGCGGTTTCAAGACTTGTTCGACAGGAGTATCGCCAGCCCCGTCAGCGACGAAAGATCAGTGGTGGCAGGCTAGATAGGCCAGAGTTAGGATGCGGAAGTGCTGAGCGCGGGGTTCAAGTGGCAGCCACTGGACGAGGAGCTAACGCCCAGGAAGGAGTACTTACAAATACGAATTCCCGCGTACCGGAGTGAATTAGAAGGGTCACGGTTGAAGCGCTGCAAGGACCCGGTCCACAAGATCACCGCTGACTTGTGAAATGCTGGATTCGAGATCTTGCAACCAAGGCTCACAACTGATGCTCGCAAGTTGCGGCCGGATGACAAGTGCAATATGGTGCTACGGACAACTGCCCTGCAGGGAGTTAGAAGGGTGCCGTCACAAGCGTCACAGCTTCACCTGGTACCCAGGCCGCCCCTAACTTTGGTACAACGATACCTGGGTACTTCCGAGGGGTCAGGGGTGCGTGGCACAAGCTACCCGGATGCCCCTGCACTGTACGGAGTACTGTATCTACTTAAGTACCCAGTAGACTATCACTCGGTCAAACTTCACTCGGCGGCGAAGACACCATTGCTGCAGTCCTCCTATTTCTTTTACCCCAGCCCCGCGTGCAGTCCTGGCGTTCAGATTGCTCTCCTCTAGATTCATCAAGTGGCGGGAGAAAATAGGAGCGGATATGGTCCGGTCAAGCAGCATTTGTTAGCGAGCTCGCACGTGAACAGCTGTAACCCAATGCGAGATGCGTGATATCAGGAGATGCGCGCCTCAACGCGGACGCATCTAGTTACACCGTATACACAACCATTGGCTGGCTCCGTCCATTCAACCCCTGGGAATGCCATTGCCGGCCTACTCAGGACCAAGACTGGGGACAAAAGCGTTGGCAATAATTGAATAGGAACTTGCAGAACACGATACCTGAAGCCTTGCTGCCTTGCTGCCTTGCTGGGCCCATTCTCTCTCAGCATGCCCTGCCCGAAAATAGGACAATGCCGTCGCTGACAAACGAGCGTCTTCACATAATATCCAGATCGCCTTCATTTTCATCCCCGCCCTCGCCCCCGCCCTGGCCATTGCCCATGTCTCAAAGTGCGCCCGGCGTCCTCCAAGCCTTCGCCTGCCGGAGATCAAGGCGGTTTATTTCAGGTGCATTAGGTGCATGATACGTCGGTCAGGTTCGTCTCGTTGTCATTCTCGTCTAAGAAGCCCCATCTATGCCTGTACAAGTACATCCATCAGGGCCGTCCGGTGTATGGCCAAATGCCCCCCTAGTTGACCCGATCGCGTCGCACCCTGTCGTCTCGTCCCGGCTGGCTGGCGGACTCTTACTCCTCCTCCTCGGCCCCCTCTAGGTACTTGGCCTTGATGTCTTTCCATTGGCGCTGTGTGGTTGTCAGTCTTTCGGTTCCATGTATTCGCACCACGGCTCGCATGAGTGGACGGGGGATCATACTCCTCGGTTCATGTTGTCCCAGACCCTTGTCATTGTAACATCATAGGCCCTAGAGCGGTCTCGTAAGCTTCATCTTGTCCTGCGCATCACGTTGTCGGGCCCGGATCGGGTCCACCCGGGGGGGGGGGCTAACATCTGGAAGCCGAAGGCACCGGCGAAGACAGCGCCCAGCATGGCGAAGTTGTTTCGGAAAAGGACACTTTAGGTTCTCGGTTAGCCCTCTCGCATCGTGGTAGCCTTGTCTTGGTCGGGGGTGACGTGCTTGTAGATGGTGGTTTGGCCGGCCTGTGGTTGCGCGATTAGCTGATGCAGCCCTAATTGGGTTCCTGGCGGAGGAAGGAGCCTACCATTTTGACGGGATGTGACAGGGCAAGACTTGAACGATAGTGTAGTCGTGGCAGGTAGTCGGTGGTCGTGGCAATTCGTCGCTGAGAGGCGTGGGTAACCGAACGGGTGAAGCTGGGAAGTGGACATCAAAATTGGCGACGTCCCGAGGATTCCCTCGCCCAGAATCATCCTTGTCATGATTGGTCAAAGCTCTCCAGAGGGCTCCACCGGCCGGCTAGCCTCACCTAACGACCTACTAAGTATGTAACGGCCGAGTACTCTGGTCTAATAGACCAACCCCACCAACACTTTTGTCCCGCCGATTGTTCACAATCACAATAGGTCGGGCGCCATCGCCCTTTCCAGGCTCGAAGCAAAGTGCATTTTCACTCTTATTTTCTTCAAGGAAATTCCAGATTTCGGCGACTTCTACCTTTTACAATCAACTGTGTATGTAATTCAGATGAGGCTTTCCCGCAGCGACTCCAGCCAACCCTCGTGACGAATTCCATTCTTTTCGGATCTGCAGTCTCTTGTTCCAAACCAATCATGCCCTCCCAACCCACAAACTCAGGCATCGTCACGGACGAGTCCTCTGGCGAGCGCCACATCCCCGAATCCGTCCGTGCCGACGGCTCCACCCGCCGGGCCATCAAGATCAAGCCCGGCTATCGGCCGCCAGAGGATGTCGAGGTCTACAAGAACCGCACGGCCGAGGGCTTCCGCAGCCGTGCCGCCAAGGGGGGCGTGATCGGTGCAGAAGCGGCGGTCACAGACGACACCAAGGCCGCCGGCTCTGCCGCCGCGAATAAGAATGCCAAGCGGCGAGAGGCGCGGAAGAAGGCCAAGGCTGCTGACGAGAACGCCACGCCAAAGGGGGAAGCAGACAAGGTGAACGGCGCCGCAGCAGAGGAAGTGAAGGGGGAGGATGGGCGTCCTGCCGAGACGGCGCTGGCCCCTGAGGCGGAGCGCGAAAAGAAGGCCAGGAATCTAAAGAAGAAGCTCAAGCAGGCCCGCGAGCTCCAGGACAAAAAGGAGGGCGGGCAGGCGCTGCTTCCAGAGCAGATCGCAAAGGTCATCAAGATCAATGAGCTCGTGAGGGAGCTGGCCGCGCTGGGGCTCGACTCGGAAGGCGAGCCGATCAACAAGGAGGACGAGGCGCCGGAGAGTGGTTCTATGGAGGAGAAGGCGCCTGCCTGAGTTGTTAATCATAGAGTGGGCTTCATACAAAAGTCACTGAATCTGCTCGGCACTGCCATGAGGACTACACCAACTACCGCCTTGGCCGAATCGTCTTACCTTTAAACCTCGGAACCTCGGGCAACTACTACTCACCGTCGGACAATCCCATGGACTGCCTCCAAATGTTGACGAGGCAGAGAGGCTAGCTTGGGGAGACGGGTTTTGAAGGTTGAATGCAGTCCCGCTGGAACTGCAACACATCTTTACCGGTCCGTATGATCACATGATTGCCTCGGACAGCCAAGTTGGCCGGATTGGCCTCAAGGCCACCAGTCTCAGAGCTCATCAATGAGCTTGGAACCAGCAAGTCGGGGGCAGGATGGATGAAAGCTTTGCGGCATCTTGCCGAGCTGTCGAGCTGGGAGCGTTAGGCTGCTATGGCGTGACTGAGCATCCGGAGTTTTGGCTGTTGTGGTCGGTCGGCCAGCCATGGCCAAGCTCCATTACTTCAGACGTTGCTGCCAGAATTTGAAAGAATTGAAGGACAGTCGACCCATGACCTTGCAACTAACTGTCTTTGGTATTCACTAGTGGTTTCGCTGGTATTAATGCCCTGTCCAAAGGACGATGAATTTGTGACGGTCAAGGATGAATTACGTGCCTTGATTCCTCGTAGCTTCTATAGGCTATGTGAAGTTTTTGTTTTGGTTATCATGGATGTACATTGGGCGTCGTCATCAGTATGAGACTGACCCTTCAGAGTGGTGTTTTCCGTGCCCCTGCGCCTTCCGTAATGCCTCTTTCATTGGGTACCAGATCCCTCCGTCCGGGTTCCGATTCGCTGGTATAAATTTACAGGTTTTCAAGCACAGTAATAAGACAATCAGTTAAATGCTACGAGGTCGTTCGAAGCAAGGCTCGGTAGAGTTGTCGCAAGCCGCTAGTTGTCGAGCTGTTGGCCACTCGTGAGTGTGCTTCTGTCACAGAGTAGACTTGGCGGGTGGGTCGATGGTGGAGTGGTATTGGGGGTTCGACTGGAGCAGAGAAGCCAGGAGATCAGATGTACTCCCTCGCACTCTTCTGCATCTCGATCAACCGCCAGCCTCTTGTTTCGGGGTTGTTAACGTCGTCCGGCGTCCTTGTCACGCCGATGGCGTAGGTGACGAGTTGAACCTTGTCCTCCATGCCCGCGGCCAATTCATTCGACTTTGCGTTTCGGTAGACATGTACCTCCTGCGTCCTGCAGGTAATGATGAAAACTGGGATCTCACCCGGCTCCAGCATCCTCGCTTTCAGGATGTCGACGTGCCTGATGTCGAGGATGCGTCCGTCTGACTTCAGCCCGGCCTGCAGATATTGCTTGGTGAGGGCTTCGTACACCGAGTACTGCGCCTCGGACAGCCACAGTTTCAGCGTCTCGACATCACCCTTGACGTAGGCGTCGAGAACCTCGGGAAGGATGTACTCGCGCAGTTCGCGCAGGAAAGGCTCCACTTGGAAGTTGGGGTCCATCGAACGGAATTTTTTGATGACCATTGCCGTCTCGTTTTCGGCGAAGAAACCGGCCACACGGTCTGTTATGCTCCGCGCAGTGAGGATTAGGGGGTTCTCCGACTCGTTGTAGACATCCTTCATGCCAAAGAGGCCCTGGACAAATTTGTTGGAGTCTTTGAAGTTGGTCCAGGCCTCTTTCCACTGCGCGTCCTTGTGTACAGTGACGTTGGTGCCGGCGCTGCGGGCGAAAAGCATTAGGATTTAGGTTCATCTCTCAACTCAGGAACAAAGGTAGTGAAGCAGGTCCAACATACTTGGGATCCTCCTCGAGAACCTCGTGCTTTCTCGGTCCGTTGGGGTTCTCCATCTGCTCGCGCAGCTCTCTTTGCTTCCTCCGCTCCTCCTTCTCCACCCAGCCGCCGTATCTCGAGCTGCTGCCATCGTCAATGACACTCTTGACGCTCTTGAAAGCCTCAGTGTCCCGGATTGGCTTGGTCGTCTTGTCGATGGCATCGCCGGTAACGTTTGCCGCTTTCCGGACACCCTTCATCACTGAGGTGTCCCATGTCCATGCCGCTCCCTTGCCGACTGCGCCAGCTGTGTTTTTCAAGACCTTTCCGGCAGTTGTCGAGACAGCACCGGTGGTCTTCTCGTAAGCCTCGCGCGCCCGCCGGACATTCTCGCTCTCCACAAAGTCGGTTGCGCCTTGGGCGAGTTGCTTTGTCGACTCGTTCCATTCCTTGGAGGCCTTAAACTCGCTCTGCATGGTTTCCATGAACACCTGCCACGGTGTCTTGTCGCCGTGCGGTGGGGGCGGGGGTGCGTCTTCCTTCTTTTCCTCTTTCTTGCCTTCCTCGCCTTCCTCGCCTGCCTTTTTCTCTCCGGACTCCTGTTGGGATTCTTCTTGCTTCTGGGACTGCTCTCCTGCCGCTGATTCCGCCGTCTTTGGTGGCTTTGTTCCGGGAGAGCTGGTCTCCGACTTGGTCTCGGGCTTCACATCCTGCCGACTGGATGGAGAGGAGGAAAAGGTTCGGAGTTGCGACGGCGACAGCGTCGCCGTCCGTAAGGTGTCGGGTAAGAATTGAGACCTCAAGGTCGGGAGTTGCGAAGAAATTGCAGTTGTCGAGAAGACATGACTGCTGTGACTGCGCGACGCCGGGCCGCATGATAACAACCTCCGGCCCGCTGGCGACCTCCTGTAGGGAGCCGCGGACGCATTTAGAGCCGAAGCTCGCGAGAAAGAAGCTGGAGGAGCATTCCTCGAGATGGTCCGAAATGAGCTCATTATATGGTAAACAAGCCCGCCTCGAAATAGAATATTGGGGCTTTGTCCCGGTGGTGACGAGAAACGGAGGAGGGCGGGCGGGCGGTGGTGAGCGGCGGGGAGGATGGAAACTTTTGAAATTTGGGGCCGTGATGCAAGAATCCAGGTTTTGCAGCGACCGGATGGGCCATTCGGGCGGGCAAGAATCGGAGCTTGATGGCAGGCAAACAGTTGGGCCGGGGTTCTCCGCATTAGCGGCTACAAGGGTCTGAGCGCTGCAACTTTCGGGGACTGGAGCTCCAAACGGTGTCGATCTCATAGTGCAGCAGGTCGAACGTCGTCGGGAAAAAAATCGCGACCTGCCGCCGGCTTGACGACGACCAAGGCAGCAGCACCCATAACCCCTACTCCGAGGATGAGCCGCTCGACAACAAGTCGCCGTTTGGCGAGCAAACTATATTCTAGCCTGTCAAAACCATCAATACCGAGACCACGATGCGCTGCGGCACAGCTGACCCAGCCGTTCTCGATCTCGTCTCGCCGGCGAGCAGACGACGAGGGCAGACCCGATCTCCTCCTCAACCTGAACAAGCTGCAAAAAACCTCCACCACATACGCCCCTAGGCCAACTCCGCCCCAGAAATCCCCCAGTATGAAAGACCTCCTCCAGGTCATGCCGGCCGCCCAGGTGGCCTCAGGTCGCGCTGTCAACGACACACGGGCCGTCAACACTTCCGTGCTCGAATCAGGAGATGGCCTCTCAGGCGGCGCTGAAGACTCGAACGAGCAGGGCGGGGAGCCGTATCACTTCCACATCTACAGCCACAAGCACAACACCCACGTCACGGTGACGAAGCCGAACCGCGACGCCATCGTGTCCCTGTCGTGTGGAAACCTCGGCTTCCGGAAGAGCCAGCGGAAACACTACGATGCGGCGTACCAGCTTGGAGCATATGTCATTGACAAGTTGCAACAGCAAGGCTGGCACAAAAAGATCAACTCGCTCGAGGTGGTGCTAAGAGGGTTCGGGCCTGGCAGAGAAGCCATCACAAAGGTCATTCTAGGAAACGAAGGCCGCTTGCTCAGAGAGAAGATTGTTAAGGTGTCGGACGCGACAAGGTTGAAGTTTGGTGGTACAAGGAGCAAGAGGCCCAGACGTCTGGGCTAAAGAACTTGCCTGGGCCATGTGATGGATGGGCCGTGGGGATGGGTTGTGTCAATCCAGTAATGGTCGAGGGCAGCAAAGATGTCATCTACTTGGTTTCCCCGGACGGCAGCTTGTGTATGTGGTGTCAGGGCTCGTGGTATAATCTGTTTCTTTCTTGCAGTAACACCGCCCGACTGTTTGAGATCACAGCACATCCTTGCGGAATCCATATGGCTTGCTTACCTGCCGCACCGTCACCCTGTTGGAGCCTTTGCTTCAGGATGTCATGTTAGGTGCGATGTTGCATGCCGGACCGTAGAGTAAAGCTCGTGTGAAGAGTATGAGATACGTGTACAACCCTGGGATGACGTTGCAGAGTCCACACCAATGGTAGACGGTAGAAGTGCAAAGTTGTGTCAATCAAGCACACACTTTTACAAGACCGCCTCAGGGTCATGAAAAGAAATGATTGTCCTGGTCGCCGCTTCGTTGCGGCGGGCGGGATGTAGTCGGGGTAGGAACTCTGAAGTTGATCAGCCAAGACCCCACTACGTCGTGCAGGAGCTTTAAGTAGCCCCCGGCATCTGAACTTTTCTCGCTCGGTATCTCAACAGCCCAAACGATGCAGGTGCCTATGGATCCGGCCTCGCCAACAAAGGCGTCCATCATGGACGGTCTAAACCTCAACAGCGTGCTCGAGTCCCCCGTCTTTGCCGGGGGTCTCGGCCTTGCAGCACTCGGCAGCGCCGCAGCACTGGGCCGGCGCGGTGCCATCCAGGGCGCCAGGCTGCTGAAGCGGCAGCTTCTCGTCAACGTCGAGATCTCCAAAAACGACCCTTCGTACAGATGGATCTTGGCCTACCTCTCCCGCCCGCGCGAGACTCCCGGCCTCCTGGCCAGCCGGCTCACGCGCATCCGGGAACTCTCCGTCAAGACCACCACACGGTCCATCGCGCCGGGCAAGGGCAACGCCGGCGAGGGTGCGCCGACGCACGCGCACTTTGCGCTGGTGCCCGGATACGGCTCGCACGTCGTCAGGCACGCGCCAGGCGTGTACATCATGGTCCAGAGGGACAAGAGCTCCACGGCCGAGATGGCGACGGGCGAGCCCCATGAGACGATGACGCTGACGGCGCTGTGGGCGCATCGGCACGTGTTTGAGGAGATTTTTGGGGACGCCCACAGCATGATGGCACGTGCGACTGAGGGCAAGACGGTGGTGTACACCGTCCGCGGGTTCAATTGGGAGCAGCTCGGCGAGCCAAGGCGGAAGAGGCCACTCGGCAGCGTGATCCTGGACGAGGGTGTCAAGGAGGGTATCGTGGCGGATGTCAAGGATTTCATTGCGAGGCAGGAGTGGTATGCCGAGCGAGGGATACCATACCGCCGGGGCTATCTGCTCTTCGGACCCCCCGGGGGCGGCAAGTCCAGCTTCATACATGCGCTGGCCGGAGAGCTGAACTTTGCCATCGCCACCATCAACTTGAGCGAGAGGGGCATGGCGGATGACAAATTGGCCATGATGATGCAGAAGCTCCCGCAGCGGACCATCGTCCTGCTGGAGGATGCGGATGCCGCATTTGTGAATAGGAAGCAGAGGGAGTCGGACGGCTACAGCGGGTCCTCGGTGACGTTCTCGGGTCTACTGAACGCACTCGACGGGCTGTCTGCCGGCGAGGAGAGGATCGCCTTCCTCACGACAAACCATATCGACAGGCTGGACCCGGCCCTGATTCGTCCCGGGAGAGTGGACATGATCGTGCGCGTGGGCGAGGCAAGCAGATACCAGGCAGGGCAGATGTTTGAGCGCTTCTACGGAGATGTCGACCAGGACGGGGAGGGCAAGGCGCGTTTCTTGCAGAAGCTTGACGACATGGGGCTGTTTGACGACAAGACGGCCAAGAGCACGAGTGCTGCGGCAATTCAGGGCCTCTTCCTCTTCCACAAGAACGACATGGAGGGTGCCATCAACATGGCCGAGGTGCTGGGCCAGCCCCAGCACACAGATAACTGAACGATGGGCCGTCGTGATGGGTCTGTGTGCTCTGTTCTGACAGCACTTGGAGGTGACGACGGTCAGCCTCTAGTGCATGCGCCTGGACATGCGCCTGGACAATGTTTGTGAGCAGGTATGTGTAGTGTACATAGAAATGATACCCACCTTGGAAATCACGTTGTAGACTGTTGTTTGAGGAAAGAGCGCCTTTGACTCCATCAGAGCTGTCCGAGGGGTCTGCGCTAACGGAGGCAGCAACCACAAAACACTGGGTGAGGCTGCACCTTGCCCAGGCGCAAACCCAACAACAACACACACTCAATTCCACTCCATCCAAGTGATCTGCTACGAAATAACTACTGGTACTGCACACATCATCAGACTCCCTTTCCTGCAGCCTCCAGCATGCGGTTTGAGCAGCAGCCGGTCGGCAGCGGCGGCCGCGGCCGCGGTGAGTCCAGTCGCGGTCGCGGTCGGGGGCAGTCAACCTGGCGGGGCGGCAGAGGTGGTGCGATCGGAGGCCAGATCCTCCAAGCCTCGGTGACAGAGAGTACCAGGCAAGCTCTTGCAGTACAAGCAAGCCAGACTCGGGTTGTCCTCCCTTTCATCCTCAAGGATCTACCCAATCTCAAAGCGGACGTGTCTGAGCTTCTGACACTCGACACCGACCTGCCACCACTCAAGAAGGAAGACTGCCCCAACCACCCCAAGACTTCCATCAAAGTCATCAATAATGATGCGTTCGATGCGGCCATATCTATGATGGCCTCGGACTTCGACAACCCAGACACGACCAATCAGCCACCAACTCGGCCAGCCGTCCTAAACCTCGCATCTGACACTTCGCCGGGCGGAGGGTGGATGAACGGGGCCATGGCGCAAGAAGAGGCCTTATGCTACCGCTCGTCCCTGTCTCTGAGCCTGCACAAACGGTACTACCCCTTTGGTACCCTACAAGGCATCTACACGCGTGATGTGGTTATCATTCGGTCATCCATTGGGAATGGTCACAAGTTGATCGATGCAAATGAGCCGGTCGACCAGCTGCCAGTGGTCAGCGTGCTGAGTGTGGCCGCGCTTCGAGTACCCGATACAGTCAAGGCCAATGGAGATCAGAGGGCGGTTTTTGCAAGGAAGGAAGACAGGGTTACGACAAAGAACAAGATGATGCTTGTGCTGAGAATGGCAGCTTCCAGAGGTCACGACCGGCTCGTTCTGGGGGCGCTGGGGTGCGGTGCTTTTCGGAACCCGGTTCATGAAATCGCCGAGTGCTGGAAGGAAGTGTTTGAGGAACAGGAGTTCAGTGGTGGATGGTGGAAAGAGGTGTGTTTTGCCGTGCTGGACAAGAACAATGTTGGCATCTTTGACGCCTTCGAGAAGACTCTGGGGGGATTGGAGCATTAGAGAGGTGAAGACGAGCATGCCTCGCGCGAGGGTGGCTGCTGAAGAGAGGCCTGGGCATTTTTGGCGCGCTCGCTTCAGTTGGCAGCGTTTTGCACATGCCGCATTGCAGTAAGAACAGCCATGTTAGACACAACGAAAACGTCGTTGCGGAGTTCTTATGGCATGATCAACCTCTGTCTGGTGTCTTGCACAGTATTTGTATTAGAGAAAGCTACCTTAAGAGAGGGCGTTCTGTTCGGCTCATAGGGACGGCAAGCCACGCTGCAGGAGGTATTCATGCTGGAGGGTTCTGCCCAGCAGGGTTGGCAGTAAGTGCTACCCTAGTGGTTTACTTGCCTACCTAGTTTAAAAGTACCTACCTAGGTACCTACTAAGTACCTAGGTAGGTAGGTAGGTAGCTTGGTACTTTACTATAATGTGTGGAGCCAGTTGGCACTACGAACCAACACTGTGGGCAGCTGGACTCGTCTGAACCGATGGATGAACGTTGTCAAGACAAGTGCGAATACACGACTGCCATCCAGGCCCCCGTTCCATAAACTCAGACCCTATCAATTACCTAAGTATGGATAGGGGATAGGTCAGAAGTAACATGGTTTCAGCACATAAATCCATCCTCAAATTGCACTCCAAGGCTTGGATCTGGGTGACGCCATACTGAGGCCAGACCTCTGCCCTCGCTGGTTGGCTCGCGGAAACGACTGCAGGGGCTATTTTTATTTTTATTTTTTATTATTCTCGCACATCAAAACACCAGTATGGGTAATCTTGCACTCCCCTATATAACTAAGGATTTACTCTTTCTAAAAAGGAATAGCACCCCACCTATACCACTACTATTAAGGTAGTAAAGCTTAGCGAGTATATTACAAGACTTCTTTCATACCTAATTACTATACTAATTAATAGGCTTAAATTACTTAACGTTTAATAATCTAGGAATTATATAACTTAATAATATTAAATAATATAGCTAATATAAATATATAATAATAGATATTAACTTTAAATAAAGTATTATAACCTTTATTAAGTAACTTAAAGGTTATAAATACATCTAATAATAAAGTTAACTTTTAACTTTTTTATTTAATACTTTTTTTATATAAAAAGAGTTATAAAAGTTAAAGTTAAGTAGTTAACCTATAAGTATTTTTTTATATAAATAATAAGGCTAAAAGATAGGCTTATAATAATAAAATATATATAAAATAGTAAAGTAACTTATAATATAATAAAAGTATTTATTTAATATAATATTAGTTAATATTTATAAAATATATATTTTATTTATTTTTAATAATTTAAATTATAAAATAAATAATAATTTTAAATACTAATAAATAATAATAATCCTTATATTAATTAGTATTATATAGTAAGTATAATATATATTAATATCTTTAAATATTACCTTATTTATTTTAAATATTTATTTTATTAAATAAATATTATATAAAATATAGACTAATAATATACTAATTATTATTAGTAATTTAAATTTATATAAAAATAAAGACTTTTATTTATAATATAAAAATATTTTATTAAAAAATATTTATTTAAGTTAAGGATTAAATTTAAAACTCCTCTTCCTTTTATTTCCTTAATACTTTTTAATAATTTTTAACTTTTAAAAACTATTTTATTTATAAAAGTTTATATAAATACTTAAAATAAAATAAATAAAATAAAATATATTATTAATTATATTATTTTAATTTATTATTAATAATATTAAGAAATATTAACTTAAATATAAACTATTATTAATATTAGTATTAATATTAATATTAATATTAATACTATTATATAAAATATATTATAAATTATAAATTATATATAATATTAATTTATTAAAATATATTAATTATAATTTTACTATTTTTATTATAAAAAAAATTAAAATAAATATAATAAATAATATATTTATTTTAATATTTTTATAATAATTATATATAGCTATTAATTAATAATATCTTTATAGTAAACTATATTTTATTTTACTCTTATATTATATATTATATTTAATATTAATAAAAGGAGTAAAATTATAAATTATTTTTATAAGTAGTTATTATAGTTAGAAGGTAGTAATATCTATAAAGAAATATAAATTAAGTTATAAGGTTATAATAAATAAATAAAAATAGTTATATATATTAAAGTTAAAATTATAATTATAACTATAATATAATTTAATTTAAAAATAATAATATTATTATAAATATTATAAAAGGGTATATATTAGTTTAATAAATAGTATTATAATAGCTATATATAAATAACTATAATAAAAGTAGCTATAACTATTTAATAATAATTTTAAATACCTATTATAAATATTTTATTTATACTTTTATTTATTTTATATATACTTTTATATATTATTAAAGTTATTATTTAAAAATTACACCTTTTCTTAACTAATTTATTATATAATAGATTATACTTTATATTTATAAATTTAGTAAAAGCTATTATTTATATTTATAAGCTTTTAGATTAATAATTTATTAATTAAATATTATATTTATATACTTTTATTTAATAAAATATATAAATTAAGTATATAATAGCTTTTAATATCTTTTAAAATAATAAATTATTAATTTAAATAAGTTAATATAAATAGTAATAATAAAGGTAAAGATAGAGGTTTTAAAAGCGCTTATAAGTAGGGATTATAATAAAAATCCTAATTAATAGAAGTTTAGTAGGAAATTATATATCTATTTTATAAAATAGTTAATAAAGGTATAATACTTACTCTTTTAATAAAATTTAATATTATATAATAATAAAATAAATTATATTATTTAATAAACTTTCTAATATATATTATAATTTTAATATTTCCTTTTTATATCTTTATATAGTTTATATTATACTTTAAAGAGATATATTATTTAATAAGAAATTAATTTTAAATATAATTAAAGAATAAAATATTAGTTAATATATTAAAATATTTAATTTTATTATATATAACTTTTAAATTATATATATTTTATTATTCCTTAAATATTTTATTTATTATATTATAAAGTTTAATAAAATTAATAAAGTAATTATAAAAGTATTTTTAAAAGCTATATATATACTCTCTACCCTAAAAATTATATAGAAGCTAAAGTTATATAATTTATTTACTATCTACTTATAAAACTTATATATATATAAAAGTATATTTTTAAAGGTATTTAATAATTAACTTTTTAAAAACTTAAAATATATTATTTATTATATTTATTTTAAATCTTCCTTAACTTTATATAATAAAAGTCTTACTATATATAAAGAATTCTATTAATATTTAAAATTTATTTCCTTCTATATAGTAAATTAAATCTCTTAAATTTTATAAATTTTAAATTTACTTTAATATTATTAAACTAAATAACCTTATTTTATTTATTAAAAAATAAAGCTATAATATTTGTTTTATAATTATTTATAATAATAGCTTACTTAACTTTATTAAGTATAATATATTTATAATATAGAAATATAGCTATTCTTAATTAGTAAGGCCTCTTTTAATAACTTACTACTTTAATTACCACTAGTATTACTAATTTATATACTTTTAAAAATTTAAATTATTTCTTTTAATATTATAAATAATATTCTTTATAATATATTAATAATAAAGTTATTATATAATTATAAAGCTCTTTTATATATTTTATTAATAATATATTTTAAATATTTATTAAAGTTATTAAATATAATATATAATAAATTAATATTATATACTCTTATTATTATAAAACTTTATTAAATATTTATTAAAAACTTTTTATTTATTATTAATAAAATAAAATATTATATTAAAGTTTATATTTATAAATATAATATTATTAATTTAATAAAAATATATTAAAATAATTAATTTTATATATATTATTAAAAATAAAATATTAAAGTTAACCTTCTATTATTTAAAATACTATTTATATATTTAAAGAATTTATATAAATTATAATATAATATTATTAAGTATTTTATAATTAACTTTAAAATAACTTTTATCTTCTTATTATTTTCTAAACTTAATAAAAAGAGTTATATAGAATTATAGTTATTACTTTATACCTCTTTAATTTATATTAAAATATATTTAATATTATCTTTAAATTATAGTTTTTAATATTTATTTTAAATTACTATAATAATATTAATATATAAAAGCTTTTATATTAAGAAAAGGTATAAAATTTATTTAATAATATTAAAAGTATAAAATAATTAATAATTATATAAAAGTAAAATTATAATTTCTTTATTTAATATATACTTATAATAAATATTATTAATAACCTTTAATTATTATAGTTTATTATTACCTTTTATTATCATTATAAGCTATTTATAATTAAAAGCTATTATATTATAATACTACTCTTACTTTATATCTCCTTTTATATTATATATATAATATAAAGATTACTTTTAAAAATAACTTTATCTTCTATAATTAACTATTCTTAATATTAAATTTAAATTTATATATTTAATAAATAATATAAGCTTTACGTTTCTTTTATAATTTAGATATAATTATTTTAATAAAGTTATTAATTATTAAAAGAGTAGTAAGGTTCTTTTACTTTAATTAAAATAAAATATTATTTATAAAAATTAATAAAACTATTAATATAATAGTTATTAAATATATTAAACTATAAGTTTATTAATATTATTAATATATTATATAAAAGCTAGATAAAGGTATAAATAATATATATAAGTTTATAATTATAGTATTTTATATATTATATTTATTAATATAATATAGGGTAAGTTATTAACTTATATTTTACCTTATATTTATTTAATAAAATAAACACTTAAAAATAAGTAAGGGTAATATTTAAAATATTAATATATACTATACCTATTAATAAATTACTAAGTATTATAACTTAATCTATATAGTTAAATTTAACTAATACTACTATATTAAATAACTTTAATCTTTATATATTTTATAAATAAAATATTATAATAACTACTACTTATTATAAAATAATAAAATAAAATAAAACCTCCTTTTCTAAGTTTTATAAAAGTCTATAAAAAAGCATATATATATATAAAAACACTAAATTACTACACTTTATATATAACTATTACCTCTATTATATTATTATAAATACTATATTTCTTTAATTATTACCTTCTATTATTTTTTAAATTTTTAATAGTATATTATAATATCTATAATTATTATAAGCTATAAAATATTATATTCCTATATTTATATATAATACTATTTTATTAAATATTACTATAAAAATATAAGCCTTTAATAGTATTAAAATAATATATATTATAAAAATATTAACTTAACTTTATTAATTTAAAATAATATAAACTTTATAAATATTAAAATATATTTATAAACCCTTATTTTTAGTTTTACTCTTTCTTTAATAATATATAATTCTATATAGTTATAAATACTTTAACCTCTTTAAAGTTAATAATAATCCCTTAAATAAAGGGTCCTTTAATTTATATAAACTTTAAAATTAATATAAATAATATAATATTATAGATAATAGGGATTATTTGTAAGCTAAATATTTATATTTAATTCTCTTTTATTATAAAAGCTTTATAATATTTATTTATATTTATATTAAAGCACTATACTAATAAAATATATTTAACTAATTTAAAATTATTTAATTTAAAGGCTACCCCTATTAATATAACTATATATAAACTTTAATAACCTTTATTATTACTTATATATATATTAAAGTTACTACCTTTAATAAAAAAGCTTTTATTATTAATATTTTTAACTTTATCTCTATTTATTATAAAAATATTAGAAATATTAGACTTAGAATTAAAGATAAAAGATTTTATTATAATTTAAAAGTTAGAGGTAGCTATATAGTATTCTAAATAAACTATAATATATTATATATATATAAGTTACTATTATATATATAATTTATATAAATATTATTAAATAAAGCTATAATTTTAAATTTATTAACTTAATATAAATTTAAATAATAACTAACTTAATTTTATATTTATTTAAATATTATTTATATAATATAAAGGTTATATAAATATTAATTATTTATATAAATAAAATAATTATATTATTATTTTAATAAAAGTATTATTATTTAATTATTAATTTTAAAACTATATATTTTATTTAAAATTTATTATAAAATAATAAATAACTAATAAATTAAATTATAAAATAATTAATATAAGTATATAAAATATATAATAAAAGTAGAAAAATAATAATCTTACTAATTATATAATTTTATAGTTTATTAAGTATAAAATATTTAAGAAAGTTATTATTAATTTAAAGTAAACTACTTATATAGCTTTCTAAGTAAACTTAATAATAATTATAGCTTCTAATCTTATATTAATAGTATTTATAAGGTTAATATTTATTTTAAAAGATAACTATATAAGTTTATATAGTAATTTTTATATATAATAAATAAAATAACTTATATAAAAGGAAGGTAGTAACCTTAATATTAATAATAAGAAAGAATATAGGAAAAGTTATTTTTAACTTAAATAAAGAATTTATAAATTATTAATTATATTTATAATATAATAATAAATATATATTTATACTTAAAAAAGTAAAAAAGTAGATAATATTAATAAATAGCATTATAATATTATATTTTTAATAAAATTAAGATTTTATTAAATTATATATATATAGAATATTTATTAATTTATAACTATTTAATAAAATAGATATAACTAATTATAATACCTACCTATTAAAATAATTATAAAGTATAAAAGCTTTATATATATTACTTTATAATTAAACCTATAGGCTTTATATATTAATAACCTATTTTATAATAATCTTTATAATATAAAAATAATATTAATAAAAGAACTTAATTATTACTATTAAAATATATATAACTTATCTATTATTAATACTTTATATAGTTATTATATAGATATTAATAAAGGAGGCTAGGAGAGGGGCTAATATACTATAATACTACTATATCCTTTATATATATATCTTTAATTTACTACACTTATACACACTTTATCTATAGATAATAACAATCATTAAATAAAAAAAGTCTTACAATATATTTTATCGTTTTAAACCTTAATAGTAGTGGTATCTATAGGGTTAACTATACCAAATTGGGAAGAGTGAGTCCTTAGTTATATAGGGGAGTGTAAGATTACCCATACCGTTAAAACACACTAGAAACTCTCAACTAATTGGTTGAAGATACGTACGGCCAACGCATATCTGTGTCGACCAATCTGCCAATCTGACTGCCTCCCTCCTTTCTCGGAGCGTATGGCCGCAACCCACGAGGGACACCCAAGCAGTTTTGCTTCTGTGACACACTCGGGTGCATCACATGGCGGAGAAGCTCGCTAGGGCGCGGCGACATTGACTCTTGGTCTGGTCTGCTCCATCTTTGTTGAGACCCTTGTCGTCCTTTTGTCGCCCCTAGCGCCAAGACGAACCCCACGAGAGAATCCATCTTGCCGCTTACTGCGGGCGGAGGCCTGCAGTGCCCGCAGGCCAAGTTCTCGTTTCCAAGGTTCGTGCGTGCGCGGACAGGTCTCGAGTTTTGCCGTCCGCGGCGCCACTCTACCGACTTGCGATGGCGGGACGGGACTGACGACACCAGGGACGCTACCATGGCCGATCAGCCGCGTCTGAGCCTAGTTGTCAGTTGGCACAACTGCACAAGTAGTGTCCCGAGAGCCGTGGCGGCTGTAAGTGAGAAGCAGTCTCGATTATCGCGTATGTGAATCCAGCCGACGTGGCATGCTGCAGTGCAACGGTGAACAGCAATAAATCTCTGGAGTGTCTGAATGTCTAGGTGACATGTCTGACTGCTAGAGCGGCCTCACGGGTACATAGGGAGACAAAGGCTTGAGTGAGGTCTGGCTGCGAGTATCGAATATTTACCAAGGTATATACGGAGTATACGCCCATATAGAAGCCGTTAAGGACGGTTAGACTTAGTCACTTAGGTACGCGGGCTCAGCAGAACATGCCCAGCAGGCCCAGCAGGCCCAGCGGCCCAGCGGCTGTCGGGACCGCGGAGTGCCACTAGCTGAACACCCCAGTGTTAGCCTTTCCCAGCCCGTGGGGTCCCTCCCCCCGTCCCCCGCGGCCATTAGGCAATTGGCCCCAGTAGTCTAAGCTAAATCCCGTTACGTCCAGGGCCACCGAGGCTGCGCTGTTCCGTTATCGTCCTCAGTCAAAGGGGGCTGTTCCTTGCTATCTCGCGTTGGAAGATAAAATAAATGTTGTTCAGAAGCACATGTGAGAGCGTCCGGTGGAGCACCGGATGCCTCTGCTATTTCCCCCTTCCTGCTTCTTAATTTTCTACAACCGAGACTCTAGGCTTCTCCTCTTCCTCCTTCATACTTGATCCCTGGCTCTATTAGAGACCCTCAGAATATCCTCACTTCTGAGTTAATAGTGCACAGTCCGTCAAGACTCTCCTACCGTCGGCATACCTAGGTGCCTTGGCGGCCGACTCGAGAGGTCTGTTGCTTGCTGCCTCAACAAAATTAAAACCACAAATCTCCTCATTAGAGTGTCAATTTGTGCAGCCCGGCTGCTTCCAGATCTGCTGCGCGTTAAGAGCACGCGAGCAACACGCCCTTGCTATTCTGGGTAGAATCGTTCGCGCGGCTTCCCTCGTATTCCACGACGAGTCAAGGTGCACCTCCCTGACCGCAACACCCAATTCTCGCTCAACACGAGAACCACTTGCCCAAGTGCGCACTCCAGAAGCCAGCCTACAGCAGCAATATTAAAAAGACCCTTGGGGAACACTTGAGCAACCTACCTCTTTGCCCCAAACCCCCCCCCCCCCCGCACTCGATATCAAGATGGGCATCATCGACGTTGATAGAGACCTCGCTGCCATCTTCTCCCAACAGGCCATAGCAACTCCCGATGCCATAGCCCTGGAGGACAAGTCACACACCTACACATATGCCCAGCTCGACGAGATCACCAGCAGGCTTGCCACTTCGCTGGTACAGCATGGCGTCGGCCGAGACAACCCCGTTGGTGTTCTTATGGGACGGAGTGCAGACTATGTGATCGCCTGCCTGGCAGCCCTCCGGGCCGGGGGCGCATTCCTGGTACTCGAGCTCGCCTACCCCCCGGCCATGCTTGCAAATGTCATTGATGATGCTTGTCCGACTGCCATCATCACCAAGAGAGAACACGTTGGCCGGATTGCTGCCGATGTCCCTCTGATCGTCATGGATGACCCAGAGTCGATAAACAGGAACCCGAAGCGAGGAGTGGGCACCTCGGTGGATGAGAAGGACCTGGAGAAACTGGCCTTCATCTCGTACTCGTCTGGAACCACTGGGAAGCCCAAGGGTATCGCAAACCCGCACAGGGCTGCAGTCAGATCGTACGACCTGAGGTTCAAGCTCAGCGACCTCGGGCCTGGTGACCGGGTCGCCTGCAATGTTTTCTTCGTGTGGGAGATCTTGCGACCCCTGCTTCGCGGCGCCACCACGTTCTGCATTCCGGACGAGGCGAGCTATGACCCTGTCGCCCTGGTGGACCTGCTCTCCTCAAGGAACATCACTGAGACCCTGATGACGCCGACTCTGCTTGCCACAATCCTCACAAGGCACGCGAGACTCGGCGAGCGCCTCCCCGAGCTGAGGACCCTCTGGCTCAACGGCGAGGTTGTCACCACCGACCTCATGCTCCGGGCAATGAGGGCTCTGCCCAACACTCGTCTCCTTAACTGTTACAGCGCGAGCGAGACGCACGAGATCGCTTGCGGTGACATAAAAGAGATGATCAACCCGGAACAACCTTACTGCCCGGTTGGCCCGCCTTTGGACCCAAAGCACACGTACGTCCTTGACGACAACAAGAAGCCCGTCGGGCCTGGGGTATCCGGCGAGCTGTTCATCGGAGGGCAGCTCCTGGCTCGCGGGTACCTCAACCTCGAGGAGACCACGGCAAAGGCGTTCCTGCCTGATCCATTCGACAAGACCCCGGGTGCTCGCATGTACAGAACCGGAGACATGGCGAGGATCCTCCCCTCAGGCCTGATGGAGATAACCGGCCGGGTTGGGGCTATGATCAAAGTCCGTGGTTACAGCGTCGTTCCGGGGACGGTGGAGAACGCGATTGTCAAGCATCTGGCTGTTCGCCACTGCGCTGTCATCGCTCGAGGCGACGGCATAGAGCGACAACTAGTCGCGTACGTTGTCCCGGACAAAGACGCGCCCGAGGATGTCGATCGTCCGGCGGTGTCGATAGACGAATCCGGGTTCTGCCCCAAGGGCCGGCGAGCGCTTGCAGAGCACCTGGCTCACTACATGATCCCGGCCCTCTGGGTTCAGATGGACGAACTGCCCACGCACGAGGTCTCGGGTAAAGTCAACCTGAAGAACCTGCCGCCGCCTCCAGACCCTACGGCTGCTCCCAGTAGCGCTAACAAACCGAAGGTCACCAACAACACGACAATCAAGCCTGAGAAGATTGGTGAACTCTGGGCTGCGGCCTTGGGCATACCCCCATCTGCTGTCACCAAGGAGCACAGCTTTTTCGATCTTGGCGGTCACTCTTTGACTCTAGCCGATCTTTCCAACCGCATGACCAAGACCTTTGGGTTTCCTGTGCCGATTGGATCACTGGCTGGCGATCCCACCATCAAGGGACACGTCGAGGCCGTGACTGCCGCTCGCGATGGTCACACTGCTGCTGTCCAGGCGGACCTGCCCGCGGTGCTCCGCGCCGACTCCGTGCTGCCCGCTGATATTCAACCCAGGGACGCAAGAATGCGCCCCCTCAGCGACGCCGAGACAGTCCTCTTGACAGGCTCGACAGGATTCTTGGGCGCCTTCATCCTCCATTCCATCCTGGAGAGGACTGCAGCAGACGTCATCTGCGTGGTCCGCTTCAACGACATCATTGACGACCAGAGGTCCGCTGGCATGGCCAGGGTGCGCAAGAACCTGGTCGATCTGGGTCTCTGGAACGACTCCATCATCGATCGCATCGAGATTCTTCCTGCCAACTTGGCACGGAAACGGCTGGGGCTTACTCCTGACCACTTTGAGGAGCTAGCTTCGAGGGTCGACGTTATTGTTCACGCCGCGGCCACGGTCAACCTCGTCTACCCATACGCAGCTCTGCGAGCGCCCAACGTTGGCGGAACTCGTGAGATCCTGCGTTTGGGCTGCCTCGCAGGAGCACCCGTCCACCATGTATCGACGAACGGTGTTCTACCGCCGTCGAGCGCGGGGTGGTCCGAGGACACGATCATCGACGTGGATGATGTGCCCACGAAGCTGCAAGACGGTTACAGCCAGACCAAATGGGTCGCCGAGCAGCTTGTCGTCGAAGCCAACCGCCGCGGCCTTCCCACAAGGATATACCGACCCGGGACGATCAGCGGCCACAGCAAGTCCGGCGCTACCAACGCCTGGGACCTCTTGACAGCCATCATAGTGGAATCCTTGCAGATTGGATACGCGCCAGATATCCCCAACTGGCGTCTTGAGATGACCCCAGTCGACTTTGTGAGCAGAGCCATCACGACGCTCGCCGACCACCGAGACATGACCCAGCGCATTTTCCACCTCGGTGACCCCTCCCCAATCGGCGCCAATGACGTATTTAGCTATTTGAGCCAATTAGGATTCAGCACGGAAAAGCTTGCGTGGGACAAGTGGGTATCGCTGTGGTCGACAAAGCGTGGCTCTGGTCGGTGGGGTGAAGGCTCCTTCACAGTTGACATTCTCCGCTCTGGCATGCCCACCGTTGACTTCATCCAAGAGGTGACAGTTTTGAACGACGCAAAGACCCAGCCAGTCCTCGAAGGCGTCTTTGGACTAGCCCGACCTAAGATTGACGCCGAGCTGCTTCAGACATACACCAAGCACTTCTACGCCCGAGGCTGGCTGCCACGTCCCCCTCGTAAGACTATCAACAACATGTCTGCTCAAGTCAAGCCCCGCGGACCCCTCGTCGGCAAGGTCGCTGTCGTCACCGGGGCATCATCCGGTATCGGTGCTGCGGTAGCCAAGGCACTCGCCGCCGAAGGCGCAAACGTTGCCATCGCCGCGAGAAGAGTCGAGGTTCTCGACTCGCTCAAAACCACCATTGTCTCAACGTCCGGCGTCAAGGTCCTTGCCCAAGCAACCGACGTCACGGACCGGAGCCAGGTTGAGGCCCTCATCAAGACCACGGAGGAGACCCTCGGCCCAGTGGACCTGCTCATCGCCTGCGCGGGTGTCATGTACTTCACCCTGATGAAGAATGTCCACACGGAGGAGTGGGAGCGCACCGTCGACGTCAACTGCAAGGGCCTTCTTCACAGCCTGTCCTCGACGGTGCCGTCCATGCTCGCCCGCGGCAAGGGGCACATTGTCGCCATCAGCTCCGACGCCGGCAGGAAGGTCTTTCCCGGTCTCGGCGTGTACTCTGCGTCCAAGTTCTTCGTCGAGGGCACCCTCCAGGCGCTGAGGGTCGAGACAGCGGGATCCGGCCTGCGCGTCACCAGCATCCAGCCAGGAAACACCAACACGGACCTGCTGAACATGTCGTCCGACACCGAGGCCGTCAAGAAGTACGGCGAGCCCTCGGGGGCCAAGATCTTGGACCCGGAGGATGTCGCTGGCGCGATCGTGTATGCGGTCACCCGGCCAGAGCACGTCTCCGTGAACGAGGTGCTTATCGAGCCACGGGATGAGCCTATCTAGGCGCACTAGTAAGTCGTCACTTAGGCTTAACGGCACTGTAGCTTAAAGTTTACATTAAAATATATAAATATTATAAGGAGGACCGGTCCGTTGAGGTTGAAGCTATCACGGGCCGCGAGCTAGTCTGATGATGTCAAGCACTACGTGAAAATGCTATCACCATGTGACTCAAGGCATAAGTTGGCCAAAATGGGTAATCATAAAAGCCGCCATTTACCCGACTGAGGCTTTGGCCCTGCTCTATAAACATGCACATTTAGCGAAACCAAGCGACACGACCTTCTTGCACTGCGTTGCAAGACTCGAAAACAATCATTTAGCCGCACGACTAGCTCTTAGCAAATCGTTGCTCAGCCGGCACAATCGAAAGATCTCGGCCCCTCTCGCTACCGAAAACATCATTAATTAGCTCATTCTAGAGCATCATGGAATCCACGATCAAGTGCAAAAAGAGAAGTGGCAAGGTCAGCTTGAGGAAAAGAGTGCACACATCATCACCCACATCGTCCGACGATTCCGACGATGGAGCCACATCCCAAGACGACACTAAGCCGCCAAGAACGCATATCAAGCGATCGAAAACAAAGCCGGGCGCGCCAGAGACATCTTCACATGACCTTCTCCCGGCTCCCTTTGAAGCAGATCGCGCTGTTCTCATAGCAAGAAGAAACTATGCGGCCAGCTCAGCAAGAGCCGTGGGGCCAGGATCAAGGCCGGCCAACATCGGCACCACGGTGATGACGGATCACGCCCCAGGCGTTTGTTTGTAAAGATGCAAGTACTCGATCATCGAATCTTCAAGATTATATACACTGACTATTTTTAGTATAAACAGAACGGTCAATGCGGCGCTGGAGACAGCTGTGTATTCCTCCACACCAGGGAAAACTACAAGCAGGGCTGGCAGCTTGACCGTGAATGGGAGGTTACCACCCGGGGGAGAAAGAAGCCATCAGTCATAGTTGTCGCAAGTAACGACGGCAAAAAGGCCGAAAAGGAGCAAGGCAGCGATGGGAGAGTCTCCTTGGAGAGTAAACCCATCGCTTGCATCATTTGTGATGGGCCTTACAAATGGCCTATCATCACCAGTTGCGGGCATTACTTCTGCAGGAAGTGTGCGCTAAAGCGATATCGAGACCGCACGACCTGCGCGGCCTGTGGCAAGGACACGAAGGGGCTTTTCAACTCGGCCGAGATGCCCCAGAGCCTGCTAGAGAGGAAGCGAAACGTGCTGACACTGAAGTTTGGCGGCGAGATCAGCAACGAGAATGAGGGCCAGAGGAAGGCAAGGTTCAGTGGCACCCAACGATCAATAGTATTCGACAGGCAGCATGCGCATGGTCAAAGGAAGATTCAAAAATAAAGCTTGACTTCTCGAACTTGAAGCAAAAGAGGCCTTCCGATTTCAAACTCCAACCGGCAATCCTCGGTGCAAGATGCCAGTGTGCCCTTGACCTTTTCCCGTGCTCGATGACGAATTGTGCCCCACCTGATTGTCTTCACCCCGTCACATTTTGGTACCAACGTTCTCTGCCTTGATGGAGTTAGACAGGAGCCACAAATTGCATATCTGATGCTCTTTGAAGATACAACATAAGGCCCTTCGCGTGTGTAGAATGGCGATTGGTCATCTCCAATATCGGAAAGACAGAGCGCACACTTGCGGGCAACGCGACTGCCGCTGGCCATCGCCTGGACGGACAAGGTGGAGTTCTTCGACAGCTCGCTTCAGTCGTTTCTGGATGTTATTTCTTGCTACCGTCTGGAGCCCAGGATTCCCTCGTTCAAGGCACACTCTCCGGGCTCATTTCAAAACCTCCTTGGCACCCTTGTATCCAGAAAGCCGGCTTGCCTCCCGGGCCTTTTTCAAGGCTCCTTTGATATTTTGAAACTCACTTGCGCCGTTAGCTTCGAGTGCGGCCTTAATATTCGGGTATCCGTTCGCATGCGAAAGCTCGCGCCGCCAGCCTCGACGGTATGCCCACCGGCATACTGCCCCAGGACAGTGTGTGTGGTTTCGCTTCTATTCCGTATACGTCCGAGGATATACATGGCGCCTTCATGCGGTGGTAAGCACTCAAGACCCAGCGCTTGGAAAGAATACGACGTCGATAACAATAGTTATAATACGATAGGTGCTTAACGGGTTTGTAGCCGGCCATATCATCAAAGTGGCCCTTGGAAAAGGCTACAGTGTAAAAGGTGCCGTCCGCACAGATTCATCAGCAGCACAGCTCAAGGCAACGTTCCCAAAGTACTCGTCGCAGCTTTCGACTGTCATAGTCTCAGACATTAGCAAAGCTTAGAGCTTCAAGGACGCTTTCGGCCAGGACGTCACGGGAGTCATCCACACGAAGTCTGTAAGTGTCATTCATCCCTTGTTGCGTTCCGCGCCCGGGATGTTTTGATTTTCAGAATGCATGATGTCTATCCAGAAGCGGGGTGGCAGGAACTGGATAACGTTGAGGTTATTCCATTGACATTAGCAAGGCGCAGAGGGTCCTCGACGTCAAGTATGCACCTTTCAGCGTGAGCATGAAAGACTCTTTTCTGGAGTTGCTTGAGGCTGAGAAGATGACTGCGTGAGATTACTGGTCGCTTGCCCTAGCTCGGTTGGAGCAATATCGAGCTCTAATGCCGGTTTCTATATCATGCTTCAGAACCGACTGTGACGCATTTTTCGAGGCATTTTTATGTTGCAAGTGGTCTACTCAATGGCAATTATGGGAAACATACTCCAACCTTTTCGTTTCTTACACAGCCCAAGTGAGGCCCTTGTTCCTGGACGCATTGGTCCGAGGCCATAATGGTTTCTATCATGCTGAGGGAGACAATATTCAAATGTGATTAGTGATTGGGTGAATTGCTTCTTACCTGGGTAGCACTACTGTAGTTGAGACTGAATGATCTCTGATGGTTCTGTTTCGCTAGGAGACTCAACGTGGTGCTGCATGAAACTAAGTAGTATAGGCATATGTTAAAAATATATAGCTGGAGTTTTTATTACTTGTTCGAGAATCCCCGCGATTAATCCATGGCTTGGGGGTGGATGAGCTATTAGATGTTATACGGAAGTTAGTGCGGTCCACCAGCCAAAGAAGGCGGCTTTTCACCCGCCATTCTGACATCTGATTACGACCAGATGTTAAGTCTTCGAAACGGCTCTGGTTAAAAGTTGCAATGATTGTCGGACCCAGGAAGTAGCAAACAGGATCTCGCGGCCTGCTCTAATCTTATAGTTTCCCAATCCACCCCAAGCCCTCTTAGCCTCGTGTAAGTCACTGCCTAGCGCGCTCTATGATTGGCTCTTGCTAAAATGACTTGCAAGGCTGTGCGTTGCCTCAACAAGGTCCCGTAAAACCCGTCCTAAACCGATGCATTAAAAAAGTTTGGTCTTGATAATTCAAGCAATATTCCACGAGTTCCAGTAAGTCCTGGCAATTTTCTATATCGATTTTCTCTCCCTCGCTCTCTCTTTCCTAGGAAGAGAAGAGCAAAGCCACCACGGTCGCTTCGCTTAGCACGTGGCACGAAGCGTGACTACTGCTACGGCATGAAATTGTTACAGCATGGGACTAATTATTTTCAGAGTCTTCCAAATATGAATCGGCGCATTTCTTGAGCCGGCTTACCGATTGGGAGAGTCAAGCAAGAGCAGTCCTATTACAAGGATTTGTGCTTTTGTGGATTGTGATAGTAGAAATCAATTAACGTGCCAAGCATCCGATCTGACCCCAGGTTTACCAACATTGTGGGCATCCATGCCGCGCCTGTGGTCAATCATCATCATATCATAAAGCTACTCACGGGCTGGGCAGTCCGTGCGACTTGAGATCCATGTTATTTACATGCCAGCCTACCGCCCTAGGAGATAGATGTATGCAGGAAGATTCAGTCCAGGTAGTTATCCTACATCTGTTCCCTGCCTTTTACACGACAGTAGCATCCTCCATCCCCCCCCCTCGACCCCAACCTCAGGTGAGACAAGCTCCTATGCGATAGCATCCTATGGGTTAATCCCTTATGGGTCAATCTCCTACAGGGCAACATCCTAAGACACAACCTCTGAACATCCTAGAGAATAGTCTCCTACAGGATCACCTCCGATATAGTAACCATGACCTCCAAAGAAATAAGCTGTGAAGGAACAATCCCCCAATATAAACCCTCTTTAGAAACAAACTCCTGTAGAGTAGTCTACTTCAGGAAGGTCTGTTGTGTAGCTGTGTCATGATCATGTTGTACGCGCATGTGCCTGGCGCACAGTCCACGGGTTGCTCCGTTGGTGACCCCTAACCCTGCAGCCTGTCGGAAGGAGGGGCAAGGAGGGGTGCTTGTGAGTCAACACCCACTCTAGCTCCCGGGTTAGGCTAGGCCCTCAACTCTGCTAGGTTGCAGGGGGGTGACAAGCACCGGATTTTTTTGGGCCAAGGCAAGATAGTCATTGCAGAGTGAGTCAAATTGGTCAGATCCCAAACCGACATCAACACCACAAACCCACTTCCCCGATCCTAGTCGACTGCCCCGCCACCACCACATCAATCACTATGTCGGCAAACGGCGAGATTGACAAGTTCGGAAACGACGTCGCCGACTCGGGCGACGAGTCGTCGGCATCAGAGGCAGGACAGGGACTTTCAGACCACGAGGTTGAGGATGAGAAGCCTCTCAAGCCTGCCCTGAAGAAGACCGCCCCAGCGCCTGTCGTCGAGAAACCAGTCCTGCCTCCTCAGACCGAGCCAAAGGACCTCGACGTGTCCACACTGTCCCCTCTCACACCAGAAATCATTGCGCGGCAAGCAACTATCAACATCGGCACCATCGGCCACGTCGCTCACGGAAAGTCAACCGTCGTGAAGGCCATCTCGGGTGTCCAGACTGTCCGATTCAAGAACGAGCTGATTCGCAACATTACCATCAAGCTGGGTTATGCGAACGCCAAGATCTACAAGTGCGATAACCCCGCATGCCCGAGGCCTGGCTGCTACAGGAGTTACAAGAGCGACAAGGAGGTTGACCCTCCCTGCGAGCGGGATGGATGCGAGGGTAGATACAGACTGTTGAGACACGTCTCGTGAGTCGCCCATGCCACATCGCGCGCTCCCAAGAAGAGCCGTCGAGACAAAGCTAACCCCCTCGCCCCCAGCTTCGTCGACTGCCCCGGTCACGATATTCTCATGAGCACCATGTTGTCAGGAGCCGCTGTCATGGACGCCGCACTGCTGCTTATCGCAGGTAACGAGTCTTGCCCTCAGCCCCAGACTTCCGAGCATTTGGCCGCCATCGAGATCATGAAGCTCGACAAGATCATCATTCTCCAGAACAAGGTCGACCTGATGAGGGAAGAGGCCGCAAAGCAACACTACGACTCCATCCTGAAGTTCATCCGAGGCACAGTCGCTGGCAAGTCGCCCGTCATCCCAATCTCCGCCCAACTGAAGTTCAACGTCGACGGCGTCCTCGACGCCATCGTCAACACAATCCCAGTTCCCCCTCGGGACTTCAGCATGGACCCCCAGATGATCGTGATCCGATCTTTCGATGTGAACAAGCCCGGTGCGGAGATCGAGGAGCTCAAGGGTGGTGTCGCCGGTGGCTCCATCCTGCACGGTGTGCTCAAGCTCGGCGACGAGATTGAGATTCGCCCTGGTATCGTCACCCGTGACGACAAGGGTGATCTCAAGTGCACGCCTATCTTCAGTCGCATTGTGTCGCTCAACTCCGAGTCCAACGACCTCAAGTACGCCGTTCCTGGAGGTCTGATCGGTGTCGGAACCCGCATTGACCCCACACTCTGCCGTGCCGATCGTCTCGTTGGTTTCGTCCTGGGTCTGAAGGGACGTCTGCCAGAGATCTACTCCGAGATCGAGGTCAACTTCTACCTGCTCCGTCGCCTCCTCGGTGTCCGTACTGCGGACGGCAAGCAGGCCAAGGTCGAGAAATTGGCCAAGAACGAGGTCATCATGGTCAACATTGGCTCCACGTCCACAGGTGCCAAGGTGGCCGCCATCAAGAAGGATGCCGCGAAGCTGATCCTGACCTCGCCGGCCTGCACGAATATCGGGGAGAAGGTCGCCCTGTCGAGACGTATCGAGAAGCACTGGCGTCTCATTGGGTGGGCCACCATTGCCGCAGGCAACACCTTGCAGCCTAGCACAAACTAGATGGAATGAAATGTTCATTCAGGAGTTTTGAAAATATCCACAGATAGCGAAACTGAGCCCGTTAGGAACTACATGAGCATCATCCACAAAATCGGGGGAGATCCAGCAAGGTATCGAGCCCAGCTACTGGTTGTGAGCAGGGGCCGTCGTTACAGGCGAGGATACATTGTGACAGGTGCTGCAAGATGACAGGACACTATCCTTGTTCTTTACGCATGGAGAAGAAAGAGGTGAAGGTATCACCAATGACACGTGCTGGCCTTACGTCCTGCCTGGAGTCTAAACGCAGGCAATCCTACTTGGGAATACACAAAAGTTCACAATCATACCACCTAATCTGTAGCACCGTCAAACTCATCATTCTTGAAATACAGCCACATCTTTATGTAAGACAGGGCCTTGAATACTGTACAAGGTCGCCTTGGCTAAAAGACCATAATAATTCCTAGTTGCACTGCAATTAGAATTCAGCATTCATAAGAGCCAACCCGCCACATTACAGAGGTATTGAATACATCAGAGGACCTATACCTTGCCTACCTCTAGTTAGTTATAACTATCTACTTGGTAGTTTAAATCTAATAAGGGTATCCCTTAGAAGGCTATTGTCAGAGTTCATCCCTTGGGAACTTGTCCTAAAGGGTTCAAAACTTGACATTTCATCCTAGAAAAGGTTGTCCTATAAGAAGTTGTCCCGTGGGAGGTATCTCTTGGTGGGCCGTCTCACAGGGCTGTCCTATGGAGGTCATGGGGAAAAGGTGCTGTGGCTTCGTAGCGGACACTCGTGCTTACAAATGTGTGTATATTAAATTCCTCAACTCCACAAGCAGGTACCTGCAGTGTGAAAGTTGTGCTTCTGCCTTCGAGTCTGTGGCCCAAAGTTCTAGTCGTCAAGCCTGACGGGTTTCCGAAGTTCCATTACAGCAGACCTCCTATGCTCCGAGTGCCTCCGCCTGCTTCCAGTATCTATGCCCGCCGGTCATTTTCGTCATTGTCTTCCATGGACGCATAATCCATCTCTACTTTCTCGTCTTGCGGGCGTGCTTCACCAGGTTCTCGATAACGCCCTCGAAAGCCTCCCTCTCCCCAATCTGCTCGTCCGTCCGCTGCTGCCAGTAGTCAAGGACCGACTTAGCGGTTCCGTCGAGGCCCTCGAGCTTCTTGACGTGCTCCTTGAGCTCGGCGTCCGTCATCCCGTCGAGGGCCTCGTCGGTCGTCGCGCACAGCTGCTTCGCGGCCACCAGGTCGAACTCGGGCGGCGGGGCCTTGCGCTTCGTTCCGGTGCGCGCTCCACCCCCTCCACCCCCTCCGCCTCCGCCTGTCCCGCCCCCTGAATCTGATGGGCTGCCGCTCTCCTGCCCCGGCTGGCCAGTCTTGATGCGAGAGGGGCCTTTCGAGCCGGATCTGCGGGAGTCGTTGGATGTCCTGGGTGAGTGGACTGAGGGCAAGACCAGCTTCTTCTGTTTTGACGCTGGCAGAATCTCGTCCAGGTCGACAGGAACGCCAAGGGAAACGAGGAAAAGTCGCCGGATGCGCGAACGGATCCAGTCAGGCGGTTGAAGCGGTGGTGGGGCGACGAGCTGGGACCACAGGGAGGCAGAGCGTGGAGTAAAGAATATAGGATTGTCTTTTGGTGGCGGTGTTACTGTGATGCCCTCGTCTTCTGCTGTGGTGGGAAAGAGGGCGTTGAGGTAGGGTTCTGTGGTGTTGAAGATGTCGTCTGTGTCCATGCCGTCGAAGTCCGGTATGGGCTGCCAAGAGTAATCAGCATGGGTCTCCGCCGGTAAGTGAAACAGAGGGTTCGTGTAGGAGATCACGTACGAATGACAAGGGCTGTACGGCCGGTGCTGCTGATGGGGCGGGAGGAGGGGCGGGCGTTTCGGGCCCCTGGAAACCATCGTCGAAGTCGCCGAAGTCCGCGTCGTCATCACCGTCCTCGAAGTCGTCAAAGTCATCGGCGAAGCCATCATCGGCGGGCTCATCGTGACTGGCAACAGAGGACTTTCGCCTCGAGTGGACGGACGATGGCGAGGACAATGCTGGTGATATTGGTTCTTGGTCTACAAAAGAAATGCTCAGCACTCTTGGCCTTTTTGAGAGGAGGATCAACTACGCTTTCGTACCCTTTCCCTCTTCCCCGTCCGAAGACCCATCAGCCTTGAGTACAATATCTGCCGGCGTGTCTGCCGTGTACTTCTTCTCTGGGTGGGACTGTTCCTCCGTGTTGCCGTCGCTCTCCTCAACCACGGTCTTGGGGATGGGACGGCCGCCAGGAGTGGGTGATCTGAGCTCTTGTTCCTCCTCTTGACCCGCCTCCTGCTCCTCGGTGACAACCGCTATCTCATCCGGCTCAGCATCCTCCTGCCGCAACTTGTACGCCTCCGTCCCGGGGACTTCGCCATAGGAAGGCTCATTGCTGGTCTTCTCGACTCGAAGCTTGGGAACAGGGGAAGCACTTGGGCTGTGAGGGGCGGACTGAGCGTCGGAGAAGTGGTCCTCGGAATCAGAATCTGTCCCAGTGGGTGTCAGAACATGGGGCCCAACACGCACAAGGGGAGAAGGGGGTCCGGAGCAGTGGGGGCAGGTAGGAATCAAGAAGTACCTAGCTCTCGCGCGCCGGGATCCTTGGTGTCGGTCCTCTCTGGGACAGAGAGGCTTTCCCGCCTGCCAGACATGGTCGGATCCTGGTGGAAAGGTCCCTGGGTAGGACTGGGAGAAGAAGCCCCCGAGTTGGCTCAGGGGGTTGAACAGAAGCGTGCTGGCCGATAGCACGTGCAAAGGAGCGATTTGTCTGGCAGTTGGTTGAGGTCGGAAAGAGGGAAAGGGACAGTTGTGGCTTTTAGTCAAAGTCCGGGGTAGCACTCATATGTATACAAAAGCCGGGCCGGGGGGGGGGGGAGCAGGAGAAGTTCAAGGTTGTTCAGAACGTTCCAGGCTGCCGGAAGGGAAAGTGCATCAAGCACATGTACCTAGCTAGGGTAGAGCAGAGGCCGGCGACAGGTCAATAAGGGTAGCTATCAACAGGAGACGATCGACGAGTCCAGCCTCGATCCTGACGTCTCACAAGGAGTCTGGACCTGATAGACCCTCGGTGACAGCAGATTGAGGGTGGGGTACTCGCACAGCCCAGCCAGCCTGCCAGCCAGCCAGCCTGCCCGAAGAGCCCAGACAGTCCGACCTTCTTGGCCATCCGCGTCCAGGCAGGGCGGACCGTTTGACCATGAGCGGCCTAGCCTTCACCCACCATGCGGCATATGCAGCGCCGACTTGAACCTTCTTTTTTGGCCATGGTGACTCTGTGTGCACTGTGGAGGACAGCAAATAGGTCTTGTGTAGAAGCTACAAGATGGCTTTCCCAGGGTGGCCAGGCCTGTACGGAGTCCCTCCAGGTAGGTGGCTTACGCCATCCCGCCAAAAATTGGTCTTTTGCCCGAAAGAGGCGATCCCAAGGATGAGATGCACCCAAGCAGCCAGGTCGCCAGGGCTGGCTGGTACCTCAGCTATGAGCGGGGATACCGGAAATATTTCCAAGTGTCCCTGTCTGTCAGCTTCACTTCCTAGCGTCTAGTAGTAGTGTGCCAGGTCTGCAGGTGTGCCTCCGAGGCCTCATCCCTGCTCCAAATTTTTGGCTCAAGGTTTGGCGGCAGGCAGTCGCTGCGCTTGGAGCTGAGCAACGGCGCGCTAGACTGCCAGACTGCCCAGGCTGGGAGCTGTCGCGACAACATCAACCAACGCCCGTTACCCGAACCAGCACTCAACCCATTCACCTCATGTCCTGAGTGTGGAGCCTGAAGCACGCCTTTACCTTTATCGGAGAGTGATATTGGTTTTGGAGGCCAAGGCACACAGGTAAGCCCTCCCGCTGCGCTGCAAACCTCGTTTGAAACCTGGGCACCGACTGACTTCTTCCAGCCAATCGACCAGGCCGTGATCTTCCAATATCTGATGCACGTGGTCGCATCACCCTGGCGCAGCTCACTCGCATCTCTTCAACGACTCCCCACGCATCGACTGATCGCATCGGACGCCAGGTTTTGCTGAATTGCTGACGAGCACCGACATCCAATATGGCGTTCTCATTTGGAACTCAGGCTACCTCTGGAGCGTCATCCTCGTCGACACCCGCAACAACCTCGCTGTTTGGCAACCAGTCCTCAACTCCTTCCACTGGCTTCTCCTTTGGGAGCACACAGAAAGACAATGCTGGAGCCACAGGGCAACCAGCCGCGTCCGGCGCTGGTCTCTTCGGCGGCAACACCGCTTCCAAGCCAGCTGCCTCTCCCTTATTTGGCGGCGGTAACTCGGCCGCCAACGCGTCTCCTTCCCCTGGCTCGTTGTTTGCTGGTGCCGCGTCGACAGGAACACCCCCGGCGGGCAGTGGAAACTCCCTCTTTTCAGGGCTAAACAAGCCAGCTACCTCCTCGACCAGCTTGTTTGGCGGAGGCTCTAGCACTCCTACCACTGCAGCTGGCGCCGCCTCGACGGCAGCAGCCAGCCCATTCGGCGCTGGTTCTGGTCTCTTTGGTGGAGGGAAACCCGCAGCCAATTCAACCCCGTCTACAGGTGCAAGCAATAGCAACTCGTTATTCTCATCTGCTTCAGCCGGGCAGGCAACTCCGACAAAACCACCAATGTTCGGCGGCTTAGGATCCACCACTCCAGCTGGGGCACCTCCCACCGACTCGGCCAAGGCAACCCCGAGTCTCTTCGGCCAGCAATCTGGTGGCCAGGGCTCCCAGGCCAAGGGCCTCTTCGGCGGCGGAGCATCGGGGACGACATCACAGACCAGCTCCAACCTCTTTGGCAGTGGACCGGCCTCCGCGCCTGCGTCTCAGCCTGCCGCAAGCAGCTCCGGGGCCCCGGGCCTATTTGGTGCCAAACCCGCTTCCACCGGACCGACCGACAAGCCCAGCCCTTTCGCCGCACCCTCCACCGGTGGCACCTCGACTCCATCGCTCTTCGGCGGCGGCGCTCCTGCGTCGAAACCAGCCGAGACCAGCAGCAGTAACCTCTTCGGCACGAAGCCTGCCTCCACGACAGCAGCGCCAGCGAGCACCGCCGCAACAACGACGGCATCTGCCACACCATCTCTATTCCCAAGTCTGGGCGGCTCTTCTACCACTACTTCATCAGCGCCAACAAAGCCGTCGTTGTTCTCTGCGCCCGCGTCAACCGCCACCACGACCGCCTCCACAACAGCAGCTGCGCCCGCCTCGGCTGCTACCACAACCCCTTCTTTGTTCTCAACGGCCACTACAAGCGCGCCCGCGGCGTCGTCCAGCACGGCAGCACCAGCTACCAGCGCTGGCACTCTCTTTGGTGCAAAGCCTCCTGCCACAGCGGCTACCACGTCTGGAACCACAGCCACGTCGACGACCACCAACGCATTGGGCACTGGAGCTCCACCATTAGGTGCAGACAAGGCCGCCGCCCCTACCACGGCTCAGAACAACATGTCGGCCTCCACCATTGGTCCTCCCTCGCAGCTGCCCAGGCTGAAGAACAAGACCATGGACGAAATCATCACACGATGGGCTACCGATTTGCAGAAGTACCAAAAGGAATTTAAGGACCAAGCCACCAAGGTGGCGGCCTGGGACCGTCTCCTGGTGGAGAACGGTGAAAAGATACAGAAGCTCTACTTGCAGACCCACGATGCGGAGAAGGCAAGCAACGAGATTGACCGACAGCTGCAGTCTGTTGAGAGCCACCAGGCGGAGCTGGAGTCTTTCCTGGACCGGTATGAAAAGGAGGTTGACGACATGTACTCGAAGCAAATTGGTGGCAACGAGCAACTTGCCGGGCCGGACCAGGAACGCGAGCGGACTTACAAGCTCGCCGAGAACCTGACGGATCGACTGGACGAGATGGGCAAGGACCTAGGCAAGATGATTACCGAAATCAACGACGTCTCAGGATCACTCAGCAAGGGCAACAAGCCCGATGACCCGGTAAGGCGAACAAGCCCTTTGACTTTGTTTATCAGCCTGGACTCCATGACTAACCACGGTAACCTGTAGCTCAGCCAAATCGTTCGTGTGCTCAATGGCCACCTCCAGCAGCTCCAGTGGATCGACACCAATGCGTCCGCGCTGCAGGCCAAGGTCAACGCCGCACAGAAGGCCAGCAACAACATGGGCAGCAAGTTTGGAAACCCCGACAGCGATGCGGCGGACGGCTTTTACCGATCCTACATGGGACGGAGGTGAGTGCAGTCAGGTTGGAGGCTTGTTGACCTCGAATACGGCCATAAAAGGAGGATCAAGATGGAAAGGAAGGAGGGGGCGGCTGCTGGGGGATGTGGCAACCCGGTGCTCCCGAAACCTTTGTACTCATACTGCGACCGAGGCGGATGGCCTGCTGGAAAGGAAACGCTGGCATATGATCAGATACACATAGCTTGTTGTTTTTGAGCGCGTCCCTACCGAGACGGCGCATAGCAAGATGAGATAATTGCATGACGTGAGTGCGTGTCCTAGTGTACAGAATTCCAATTTCCTTAGAGAAGAGGGGTGATCGCGGGACGGCCCTGGACAGGATGCTCTCAACGGTAGTTGAGACGCGTTCAAGGCCATGCAGCATCGTCGGCGTCATTCTGTGAATGACTTTGATTGTTTGCCTGCCATACTATCCGGTTCGATCGTCCACCATTCAAACATGCCATGCTCTCCTGCGGGTGTCGTACACCGCATCGTGACTGTCTCTGCCTGGTTTCGCCATGTGGAATCATAGTCTGCTTTAGTTGTGCTCGCCACCCTGCTCCTTGGTGATCTCGTCACTGTGAATAGATGCAATTAGCATCACACGTCTCCCTGACGCCGGAGGGGCAGGCCGGGCCCGGGGGGCTGTGGCCGCGGCCGTAGTCGGGGATGCAATCGCTGTTGCTGCCCCCGCCGTCCTCGACGGAGGTGGTGGGCGAGTCTGGGACGTACATGTGATCCGAGAGCTGCTTCAGGTGCGCCTGCTGCTCGGCCACCTTCTTCTTGAGCTCAATGAGCTTTTCCTTCTCGCGCTGGCGGATGGCGTAGTCCTCGTTGGCCTTCTCGCGCTTCTGGAAGGCATCGCTAAAACGACCCGCCAGTAGGGGCTCACGGTTAGCCTTCCTCTACTCCTTCCTGTTTGTGTGTGTGTGTGTGCGCGTTTGTGTGGGGGCGTATATGCAGTTCTCGCCCGCCTCGCATGACCACACAACATCCCACATATAGCCCCCGTACTTTCCCATGCATGCAGAAACACGGTCGACCGTCTTGGAGGCGTGCTTTGTGGGCTGACCGTGGGCCGTGCATCCCCGCAGTTTTTCTCGCACTCGGCGTCACCGGCGACGGAGCACCGGCCCTTGTCCCACCCGGCCCCAAACCCAATGGTACACGGAGCCGGAACGGTCGGCGGGGTCGGGCATGGGGTCCCATGGTTCTTTCTCCTGCTGGATTGGGAGGGGTTTTGTGCAGAGAGGGTGATGGTGTTGGTCATCTACTTACGCCTGGCCCAGTCCCTTGGGGGGAGCTCCCGTGTCACCGGCAGCCATGACTCGGGTGGAGACGGAGAAGGCTCTGGTGCTGGCAGGCCGGGTGAGCTTGGTGATGGATTGACGAAGCATCTTGACTCTGTCGATGGGTGCAAAGAGGAGGGGTGTGTGTCTGGGGTGGAGGATTAGCGGGGGAGGAGGGAGAAGGGTTTGCGCCTGTGGCAGAGGGGCTCACAGAGCTTCGATTGGCAGCGTGGGAAGGGTGTGACGGTGACGACGGGTGGTGCTGGCGTCAACCGGGAAGGGAGCTCCTACCACAGTACAGCAGGTTGGAGGGAGCTGGTCGGGGGTGGGTCTGTGACGGAATATGTCGGCTGCCTTAGGTCTGAGGCATAAAAGGAAGAGAGAGGACGGGTGGCAGTGGGCCCGTTCCAATTCGGGATGAGGGGAGCTGGGGGGAGCAGGGGAGGCGACCAGCAGCAGGCTTTGCGGCCTGGCGGCCTGGCGGCCTGGCGGCCTGGCGGCAGGGACAGCAACAAGGGTGTCCGGGGAACACATGTGGCATCGATCTGCCTTTGTTCCGAGAGTGGTCGGCCAATGAGACTGACTGCAGCAGCCTTGATCAGCAAGAACGACAGGATTGCCTATCTCCTCTCACCAGACAAGCGTTAGATGACATGCATTCTATGGCATCATGGGGTAGGATCTCGAGGTGTTTAGCGAGCTCCAGACCTCCCGACCTCCCCAGCCGGGCCGAGTCCACGCTGGGGAGGCAAGGAGGGTGATCTCTGGCCCAGCTCCATTGAAGCAGTGCTGGGAGAACAATAGAATGAGCCTTACCTGGGGACGGCCACAGCGTGCCTGCCAATCCCATCACAGGGCAGCCACGATGCAGCCCCGGAAACTGAGAAACTACCTAGGTACCTAGGTGGGTAAGGGCCCCTTGTAAAACGGAGGCCTTGTTTTGTAACAAGGCAGGTGCTCGCAAAGGTCAACAAAGGGTCACGCTGATCAGGGTGCCACGGTGCCCAGCCAAGTCAGTGCCAGGTGGGTATGTTGAGCAGGTAGGAGTAAAATAGTCTGCCACCTGGGACAACAAGGAGGTGGTCGCATGAAGCCTTGAGAACTCGACATGTCTCATGTACCCACGACCAAAGCCCTGGGATCCCATCGCAGTCATGCCATGCCGACCACAACAGCACCTAGGCCAGAACGGGTGGTAGGAGAGAACACGTGATGACAGACTGCACATAGGCGCCTGGGCTGGCTGGCATTTGTCTACGGGGCAATGACGTTGTATCACTACACTTGTGAAAGCAACGGTGGCAGTAAATAGGCCAAGAGCAGGATAAAACCCAGGTTCAGTTTCCCGTCGGACAAGAGGAGAAATACGCACAAGAGGAAGCGACCGTCAGAGCGAGACGAGATACAGATACACATTAATGCCTACCAAGGTACCTGCATAGGTGCCTAGGTACCTAGGATTTCATGTGCATATACACAGATAGACGCACTGGCCCGGAGAGGTACAGGAGAATGTGCTCTCACGTGCCTGCCCAAGGGATCGGCCGACGGAGGGCGTGGCTTGTTACTTCCCCCTATCATGCCCTCTCATGAGACGGGCAAGTCCAGAAATCTGCTGTGAGGATAGAGGTACATATCGGTGCATGGCTTGCAGTAAGTGTGCACTTTCCAGAGACCAGCAGTTGCTGGGTGGGCTGGCTTCCTTGCTGGCGGGCTGGCTTGGCTTGGCTTTTGCAGGTGTCAAGTGCCAGCCAGTTCCGATCCATTTTACCAGTGTGCCTGGCTCTCGCTACTCCGTGGCCTAAGTACCAAGGTAGGTACCTGGGGGCAGTGGGAGCAGAGACAGAAGAGAGAATGGGAGGGTGCGGGCGTGGGTGCGGGAATGAGTGGTGGCCCTTGCTCACTGGCGCCGCTGGACTGGGCTGGGCTGGGCTGGGGGGCTGCCGCATTGCATGATAGGACCCCCCAATTTTCCATCCTACGACCTGTCTACCCGCAACCTCCCCCATCAACGACCTCAACCATTCCGCTTCCCACTTACTTCCCTCTCCCTCTCCATCTTGCGATAAACCACAATCCTTCTCTCGTGATTTCTTCACCAGTAAACCAAGTCGAAAACCCGAGCCCCATTCCGTTTCCGTTCCTTTGCATCAGGTCAGTCGCCCTCAGCCCACACCCCCCAGCGTCATTTACAACCCCCTTTCCCAAAACAAACAGTCCCCGCCCCCGAGGGCGTCAACCTGGCCTGGCCGCGAGACGAGTGTCGCCCTGCATCGTTGTCGTCATTGCGACCTCGCGCCTCTGCCCATCCCAAGCCCCGATATGCCCTTCTGTGCACTGCAACTCCATGCCCCGTCCTGCCTTCATCTCCAGGGCCGACATGCCCTGCGGCTCAAGCTCCCCGGGGGCGCCATCTGCGCTGGGCTGACCAGCGGCGCCTGCTTCTGGGGTCGCCGGCCTGGCCTACACGCGCAACCCCACCGCTGAGCGGGGAGCCTCCTTTTTAGTCATGAAGTCAACCACGCGCAACAGCGCCCTACCCCCCCAGCTGTCTAATAACGTGCTCACGCCGCTACCCATCTGATTTCATCACCGTCATTGCGTTTGTTGGCACCAACATCAACCTTATCGGCTTTCATTTTGTGCTTGCGACCGCTCCCACCGCGTCTCCTTGCCGCCCAAGCCCGAATTCCGACTTTCAGCTGACAGTAGCCCGCGCCTTAGACTTCCAACTCCGACAAAATGGGTCACGAGGATGCCGTCTACCTGGCCAAGCTCGCCGAGCAGGCTGAGCGCTATGAGGGTATGTGCCATGTCCGATACAACCTCGCGTGCGTTGGGCCGCGCTGACCCGAGATGCAGAAATGGTCGAGAACATGAAGATCGTCGCCTCCGAGGACCGCGATCTGACCGTCGAGGAGCGAAACCTGCTCTCCGTTGCCTACAAGAACGTCATCGGTGCCCGCCGTGCCTCGTGGAGAATCGTTACGTCTATTGAGCAGAAGGAGGAGTCCAAGGGCAACAGCACCCAGGTGACTCTGATCAAGGAGTACCGTCAGAAGATCGAGGCCGAGCTTGCCAAGATCTGCGAGGACATCCTGGAGGTTCTGGACCAGCACCTGATTCCTTCCGCTAAGACCGGGGAGTCCAAGGTCTTCTACCACAAGATGTAAGGCCCCCGCGCGCGGTTGCTGGCACTGGCTCCGATGCTGATAATCAATCCAGGAAGGGCGACTACCATCGCTACCTCGCCGAGTTCGCCATTGGCGACAAGCGCAAGGACTCTGCTGACAAGTCCCTCGAGGCCTACAAGGCTGCTACCGAGGTCGCCCAGACCGAGCTCCCCCCCACACACCCCATCCGTCTGGGTCTTGCCCTGAATTTCTCCGTCTTCTACTACGAGATCTTGAACGCTCCCGACCAGGCCTGCCACCTGGCCAAGCAGGCTTTTGATGACGCCATCGCTGGTAAGCTCGAGACACATCCCCCCCCCCCCCCCAAAAAAAAACACTGGCCGGGGCCCCATCGTTTGACCATGATCGATGCTAACGAAACCAACAACAGAGCTCGACACCCTGTCCGAGGAGAGCTACAAGGATTCGACCCTCATCATGCAGCTGCTCCGCGACAACCTCGTAGGTCCTTTTCCTTCAGCTATGTCGACACAGGAACTAATGCCATCTTAGACCCTCTGGACTTCGTCCGATGCTGAGGCCGCCCCTGCCGCGTCGAATGCCGCCGCCGCCGAGGCTCCTGCTGCCTCGGCCGAGGAGAAGCCCGCAGAGCCTGCTCCCGAGGAGCCCAAGGCTGCCGAGTAAGGCGAGGCGCAGCGCATTTTCCCTCTATCGTCGTGACCGGATTGGTTTACAATGCTTGATCCCCCCTGGAGGAAATCGGTGTCATTGGAGTGCGGTTTCGGAGAACTCAAAGAAATGCGGCATGGTTTACTCGACGCAAATACACAAAGACGGACGATTTTGAAGTCATCCACCACGGGGCTAAGAAGCATTTTGGAGTTTTTTCTCCTTCAAATCGCTCTTATTTAGACTCTAATGACGGAAGGACCAGGATCGTCTGGACAATAAAGCTGACTTGACTTTACCCTGCTTTTTTTTTACACTGATGGTTTTTAATGGCCTTTCTCATTCAACACCCGACTTACACAGTCTAGGTAGTTTATCGGAATGAGTACCTTCTGCCTAACCCACATCACGGCGATGTTTGCCGTGATAACTCTTGCCCGATCTAAATTGACTGCACCGGCTCACATGCGCAGCTGGCTTGGCGTGCCCAACGCGTACTGTGCGCGTGTCTTGATATGCCCGCATCTAACCAACACGACCATCACTGTCAGTAAACTATCCCGGGTTGCGCTGCCCTCATCTGTGCATCACAAGAGCGCCCGGCCAAGGTCTAAGGCCCGCTGCGTTTGAACTGGTGCGATGTAGTGCTCAATTTCAGCTCGGCTGGCCCGTTGACCGCGCCGCGTGGCCCCAAGACCCTTTCACATGCAACTTGGATCCTTGCCGCCCACACCAACTCCGACACTACCACCACCACTACCTGCCCCCTCTACTGCTGTCATCGACGTCGTCCTCCACGACTGCGAAACACACCCTCAGCCACAGGCTGCAGTCCTGGCACCCGACAACCAGCTCGCCCAAATCCCCGGCCTCCTCCAGGTCGTCCTCGCCGAAGGCATACCCTTCCTCGTTCCCGCACCGGCAGCCGCGGTGCCAACGGGTCGTCGCGCGCGCGGCGTCCTCGGTATAGTCCAGGTCGTCGAGGTCCACGGTCTCTATCCCCGTCTGGAAGGTGGCGCTGGTGGCGCGGCTGCCGTCTGCGGATGGTGTGGTCGGGTTGCGGGTGAGGGCAAGGTGGCGGTCGTATGCGGTGCGCTCTGCGGGGTGTGAGAGGGTGGTGTATGCGCGGGTGATCTGGTCTACTGTTGGAGGAGGTGATGTTGATGATGATGATGATGATGATGATGTGTTTGCCGTTTCTGCTGCTGCCCTGTGCGGCGCGTTGGTCTTGTCTGGGTGGTGGCGGAGGAGGGCGCGGTGGTAGGCTTGTCTTATAATCTTGGGGATCTGGTCTTGGTTTGAGTCCTCTATCAGGCTCTTTGGTATAGCTAGGACCTCATAATGGGTTGGTTCGGTCATAGTGGGAGATGATTCCTGTTTTGGCCGAGCATGATGGACGACACGATATTCGCGCTTGCGCTCCCTGATGAAGATTTTCTTCGGGTTGAGATTGTAGGTCACGTGCTACAACCTCCTAGCTTGGTCTCGTCAGGAGCGGAAAGGCCTGAAATTGCATGCAAACCTTGAAAGCAGGAAATGCGTGTAGGTGTGTAGGTGTAGGGGTCAAATTGTTGGGTCGCTTAAGCTGCCTCTGCGAAATGCGAGGCCATCCCGCACGTCCAGGGGGTGGGTGCTGCAGCTTGGCAGTACTTGTAAAGCTTGGGTCACAGATCGGCCAGAGACGGTCACGATATCCAGCTGCTGCAAGTCATTGAATTTTGCTGGCATTCCTGACGGCACAGGGCCACTGTATGAAATTGTAGTCTTGTTACATATTCGTACATGATCAAGGACAGCCCCATCATGGCCCTGCCCCTTATTTGGGCCACTTGGTCCAGTTCTTCCTCCCGACCTGCAAAGACACATTAGCAATGAATCAGGTGTGAGCATCTGGAAAATAGACCACATACCGCTTTCCATTCCCTGATGAGCGCGGGCATCTTGAGCATGGCTTCTCTCCTCTTTTCCATCCTGGGGTATCACGGTCAGCCGACGGTCCGCTGACAATCGCTGCGCACAGCAGCCAGGGCTCCAGCACATACTTGGTTGCCAGCTGCCTCTCGTGGATCTTTCCCTTGACCTTCTGGTCCACACCCGTTCCCTTGACCCTCAGTCCATACTTGACACGGTGCTTCAGCTGCTCCTCGGTCTTCTTAGGCGTGTAGGGCAGCAGCTCCTCGACACCGTTCTCCCGCGCCAGCTTCACTAGGTCTGCCTGTCTCCTGAGCGAGTACACAGGGTTGTGGACCCTGCCCGTGGGGTGGAACTTCTTGGGCAGAAAGGGGTTCCGTCGGTCTTGCTGGTAGCCGGTGCTGGGGAATGACCCGTCCGGAAGGGGGTTGAGGATCTGGGTCGGCGGGTAGCGGGCAAAGAATCGCTGGAGCTTGGGGGGCAGCGTCTTCGCCAGGGTGACGTATTGTGATACGTTGGTGGTCGCCATGTTGTGCTGTCTCGGCCGCCCTCCTCCTCCTGAGATGCGGACGTTGGATGGCTTTGAGAAGGTAGGTCTGTTGCGACTTGCGCATAGCCCAAGCCGCGCAGGTGAGGACGGACCTCACTACAAATTTCGGGCCACGGGTCGGGCGGCAGGCAGGCCGGCTCGAGGTCCGAGGGTCCGTGCGGAATAACACTAGCTTCGTCGGCTTCCCGTAAACGGAGCTTGATTGTGAATGCCTACTATGTATCTCAAATACTCTTGCCAGAACTCCAACTTATTAGACGCATTCTCTCGACGCTTCCAGAGTGCCCTTTCACAGACAATGGTTACTGTCACGCATCCTCCTGTTCAAATATCCACAGGTAGTCAATGCGGCTCTACCATTTGTTTTTCAAGAGCTACGCAACTTAAATCTGCCAAGAGCGCGCAGAATCTACCAAGACTTGCCTCCGAAAGCAGGTGCTTCTGTCTTGCGGCCCCTGACCGGTTTCTGCTGAGCAGCCGGATCCCTTCTCAGTTCGTCTGGTACCTTGGAAATCGGCGACTTCATGATCATCTGTTTCAGATCATACTTCACATCGTCGTCTTCGCTGCCCAAGAACGTGATGGCAACACCGCTCTTGCCCGCACGACCCGTACGACCGATACGATGTGTGTATGCCTCGATGCTCGGTGCCATGTTGAAGTTGATGACAAGCGAGACGTCAGGAACATCGATACCACGCCCAGCAAGATCTGTCGCCACCAGGATCTTCGACTCGCCCTTGCGTACCGAGTCCAGTGCCGCTTCTCTTTGCTCCTGAGTCTTGCTTCCGTGCAGCGTGACGGCGTTGAAACCAAGTCGCTTGATGTCCCGCGCGACTGTGTCGCAATTGCGTTTGATGTTGACGAAGACAATAATAGGCGGGTCGTACTGGTTCGAGCGAAGGATCTCTCCGAGGCGATTCTTGCGCTTGTCTTCGCCGTTGATGAGCTCAACCCGCTGCTCGACTGTGTCCACAGCTTCACCGATGTTGCCGATGGTCACTATGGCTGGCCGTCTGAGGTACTGTTTCGCGATCTTCTCGACGACTGGAGGCATGGTTGCCGTGTACATCATAGTCTGTCTGTATTTCAGGTCCTTGAGGCCGATGTTCTGCTTCATCAGCAACGCATTCTCGGCCTCTTCCGTGTCTGGCTTCTCGTTGGTGACGGGAAGAGCGTCGAGGATCTTGTTCAGCGACTCCTCAAAGCCCAGGTCGATCATGCGGTCGGCTTCGTCCATGACGATGTAGCAACACTGTGACAGAACCAGGAGACGTCTTTCGATACAGTCTTTGAGACGACCCGGTGTCGCAACAATGATCTCTGCACCATTTCTCAGGGCAAAGGCCTGCTCTTCGAGAGAGTGTCCACCAACGATACTGACTGTGTTGAAGCCCAGCGGTTCTGCGAATTTCTTGGCCTCTGATTCAATCTGCTGGGCAAGTTCACGGGTGGGGGCCATGATGAGCGCATAAGGACCGTCAGCCTTGTTGTACTCATCGAGTGCCGGAAGACTGCGGATGTAGACCAGTAGGGGGAGAAGGAATGCTGCAGTCTTTCCCGAACCTGTCACCGCCACTCCGATCAGATCACGCGCCTGTAGGGCAATGGGGATCGCGGCTCGTTGGATAGGCGAAGGTTCGTCGTAGCCCACCTGCTTGATAACATCAAGTAAGTCTTTTGGCAGGCCCGACTCGCTCCAGTTTCGCATCGGATTCGGAATCGCTCCTCCTTTTGTGGCAATGCCGAAATCTTCCTTGAAAATGCGCCAGTCTCGCTCCCGCATGTCCGAGAGGTCCTTTTCAGACCAGTGCCTCCCAAGGGTGTTTCGGGCTGCCAACTTCTTCTGCGCCGCCTCGAACTGCTCCAAATATTCTTTGGCCCGTTGAGGATCCCTTTGCGCCAGTTTAGCAGCGAAGTTCCTCGCGTTTTCCTCTCTTGCCTCGTCTCCGAACCCAGCCAGCCGACCGGAACCGATCAATGACGATGCTTTTTGGGCATAGATAGGATCATGTTCTTTGCTGGTGTCTTCTGAGGCGTCCCACCCAAAGTTGAACTTGTTACCCGTCCTCTTTCGCTTCTTGTTCGCGGAGAAGGTGCTCTCGTTCACTGGAGGACCCATATACCGCTCCATTCGAAGTTTCTCCTCATCTTCCTCCCAGCGATTCTTGCCCTGGCTTCCTTTCTCATCTGCTTCTTTCTTTCTGTCACCATTTGTTTGCCCATTGATGTGTCCGCTATGGCGCATGGCCTTGGGACCGGTGGGTATCGAATTCGAGTTCGATTTCGAGTTCGAGTTCGAGTTGTTCTGGTACCTCGGGTCGCTCTTGGATAGGAACTCTCGTCTCGATCGTTCATGGGCTTCTTTCCGCTCCCGCTCCCTCTGTGCGTCTTGCAACTTCTCCTCCTCGGCTTTCTTGGCCTGTAGCGCTAGCCTTTCGGCTTTTGGTATAAAACGAGGTTTCTTCGCTGCATCGGCCTCCTTCTTCTTCCTGATCAGCTCCTCTAGGTCGAGGGGGGGTGCCTTCCTCTTCTTCGTCGCGTCCATCTTGAAGGTGTGGTTGGGTGGGTGTCGCGGGTCTCCCTCAGCAGGTGTTGGACCGCAGCACACTTAATGCCCACAAGGATGGCCTGTGCTTCTTATCGCGTTATCTATCAGACTAGGCCTGTGGATCCGTAGTCTAGTTATGTAAGCAAGCCCTGCAGGCAGCCAAGCTTCTGCAGGCGCCCTTCGATAGCAGATTACCCGGGGGTCAGACCTTCGGTTGCCCCCTACGCCGGGAGGCGTAGGGGGTGCCAAAACCCCCACACGGCCAAAACCCCCACACACTTAAGAAGAATAAAACACTATACTTAAATTAGTCTAACTTACTTAAATAAAAATGATATAATATAAAAAAAATAGTTTTATAAACCTTATTTTTTAAGGAATTTAAATAAAATAGAGATAAAATTCTAGGGTTAGGGTTTAACTAGATTTTATTACTTCTTTATATTTATATTATTATAAATATTAACTTTAATTAATTTTATATAAATATAAAAAATATATTATTATAATCCTTATAAAATAAAAAGTATTTATAAAATAATAAATAAATTTTAAGGTTAGAGTTTTATAACTTATATAAAGTATATAAAATAAATAAAATAATAATATTATTTATTAATTTTATTTATTAATTTTATTTATTAATTCTATTTACTAATTCTATTTATTAACTTTATTTAATAATTTTATTTAATAATTTTATTTAATAATTTTATTTAATAATTTAAATATTAATATTTTATTAAATTATTTTAATTTAAAATTAAAGTTAATTTTAAATTAATAAATTTTATTTATTTACTAATTAATTAATTTATTTATTAAATAAAATATTTATTTATTATATATTAAAATTAAAAGTATTTATTAAATAAATATAATAAAACTTTATTTTATAAATTATTTTATAAATTTTATTATATATATATAATATACTTTTATATATATAATATACTTTTATATATATAATATTACTTTTATATTTATATTAATTATTTTATATTTACTTTTATTAATTAAAAGTATAAAATATAATAAATTAATCTTTAAAATTAAATTAATTAATAAATATATTTAAAATTAATATATTTATTAATTAAACTTATATTATAAGTTATATAATAAAATTAAGTTTAAATAAAGTTTATTTTAAATTACTTTAATTTTTAAAAGTATTTATTTTAATTTAATATTAAATAATAAATAAGAAAATATATAAAATAATATAATATATTTTTAAAATATTTACTATAAAACTTTAATTTTAATTTTTTAATTATTTTATAAATACTTATTAAATTATAAAAATTATTATAAATTTTTTATATTAGTATAAAATTATTTATTTTAATTAAATATTAAATAATAAATAAAATAATATATAAAATAATATAATATATTTTTTAAAAGTTTATTATAAAATTATAATTTTAAATTTTCTTTATTATTTTATAAATATTCTTTATTTTATAAGATTATAATAATATATTTTTATATTTATATAAAATTAATTAAAGTTAATATTTATAATAATATAAATATAAAGAAATAATAAAATCTAGTTAAACCCTAACCCTAGAATTTTATTTCTATTTTATTTAAATTCCTTAAAAATAAGGTTTATAAAACTATTTTTTTATATTATATTATTTTTATTTAAGTAAGTTAGACTAATTTAAGTATAGTGTTTTATTCTTTTAAGTGTATGGGGTTTTGGCCGTGCGGGGTTTTGGCACCCACTGCGCCAGCAGTGGGTTCCTCGGGCGAGCGAACCCACGGGTAGAGGAATCAACAACCCAACTACCTACACCTTCAGACGTCAGATTCCGCGAATTCTGGTGTTCTGATACGTGGGTACGGGCAAGAATACACAGGCCCGCTGCCTGCCTATAGTGCGACAGGGCTGACTTTCTAAAAACCCACTTTACCTCAGGATCCAGACAACCTCCTAACCTCCTAACCTTTTAACCTCCTTCTAACCTTCTAACCTTCTAACTTTCTAACCTTCTAACCTCCTAACCTTTTAACTTCTTAACCTTCTAACCTCCTAACCTCCTAACCTTCTAACCTCCTAACCTTCTAATCTCTTAACCTTCTAACCTTCTAACCTTCTAACCTTCTAACCTTCTAACCTCCTCCTAACCTTCAACCTTCTAACCTTCTAACCTTCTAACCTTCTAACCTTCTAACCTCCTAACCTTTTAACTTTTTAACCTTCTAACCTTCTAACCTCTTAACCTTCTAACCTTCTAACCTCTTAACTTTTTAACCTTCTAACTTCTAACCTCCTAACCTCCTAACCTTCTAACCTTTAACCTCTTAACCTTTAATCTCCTAACCTCCTCCTAACCTTTTAACCTTCTAACCTTACTTCCTTTTAACCTTCTTTTAACTTTTTAATTTTTAACTTTTAACTTTTTAATTTTTAATTTTTAATTTTTAATTTTTAATTTTTAATTTTTAATTTTTAATTTTTAATTTTTAATTTTTAAAAATTTTAATTTTTAATTTTTAATTTTTAATTTTTAATTTTTAATTTTTAATTTTTAATTTTTTAAAATTTTTAATTTTTAATTTTTAATTTTTAATTTTTAATTTTTAATTTTTTAATTTTTAATTTTTAATTTTTAATTTTTAATTTATTAATTTATTAATTTATTAATTTATTAATTTATTAATTTATTAATTTATTAATTTATTAATTTATTAATTTATTAATTTATTAATTTATTAATTTATTTATTTATTTATTTATTTATTTATTTATTTATTTATTTATTTATTTATTTATTTATTTATTTATTTATTTATTTATTTATTTATTTATTTATTAATTTATTAATTTATTTATTTATTTATTTATTTATTTATTTATTTATTTATTTATTTATTTATTTATTTATTTATTTATTTATTTATTTATTTATTTATTTATTTATTTATTTATTTATTTATTTATTTATTTATTTATTTATTTATTTATTTATTTATTTATTTATTTATTATTTATTTATTTATTTATTTATTTATTATTTATTTATTTATTTATTTATTTATTTATTTATTTATTTATTTATTTATTTATTTATTTATTTATTATAATAATATTATTTTATTAAATTTTAAAATATATAATTTTAATATTTTATAAATATTTTATATTTTTATTTTAAATTATAAATTATAAATTTTAAAATTAATTAATATATTAAAATAATTTTAATAAATTTATTTTATTAATTATAATTTTTAATTAATTTTATTTAATTATTTTATTATATTATAATTTAATTTAATTTATTTTTATTTTTAAATAAATTAAATTAAAATTAAAAATTTTTAAATTAAAATTTAAAATTTTTATAAATTTTAATTTATTTTAAAATATAATATATTTTATTTTAAAATTTTAATTATTTATTTTAAATTTAATAATAAAATTAAAAATATAAATAATTTATATAATTTAAATAAATTAATAAAATAAAAAATAAAATTATTATTTTTAAAATATTTAATTTTATTTAATAAATAAATATTTATTTATTAATTTTATTATATTATAAAATAAAAATATTTAAAAATATTTATTTAATTTATTATATTTTAAATTAAAATATAATTTTAATAAAATAATTATATTTTATTATTATTTTAAATTTATAATTTTAATAATTTATAAATAAAAATATTTATTAATAATTAAATTTAAAATTATATAAAAATATATTTTATTTTAAAAATATTATTAATATTTAAAATAATTTATAATTTTTAAATTAAAAATTTTTAATTTTATATTTAAAAATTTAATTTAAAATTTATATTTATAAAAATAAAAGTTTTTATATAATTTAAAAGTTTAAATAAATTTAAATTAAATTATAAATTATTTATATTTTTAATTTTATTATTAAATTAAAATAAATAATTAAAATTTTAAAAATAAAATATAATATATTTTAAAAGTTTATTATAAAATTATAATTTTAAATTTTCTTTATTATTTTATAAATATTCTTTATTTTATAAGATTATAATAATATATTTTTATATTTATATAAAATTAATTAAAGTTAATATTTATAATAATATAAATATAAAGAAATAATAAAATCTAGTTAAACCCTAACCCTAGAATTTTATTTCTATTTTATTTAAATTCCTTAAAAAATAAGGTTTATAAAACTATTTTTTTTATATTATATTATTTTTATTTAAGTAAGTTAGACTAATTTAAGTATAGTGTTTTATTCTTTTTAAGTGTATGGGGGTTTTGGCCGTGCGGGGGTTTTGGCACCCACTGCGCCAGCAGTGGGTTCCTCGGAGCGAGAGCGAACCCACGGGTAGAGGAATCAACAACCCAACTACCTACACCTTCAGACGTCAGATTCCCCGCGAATTCTGGTGTTCTGATACGTGGGTACGGGCAAGAATACACAGGCCCGCTGCCTGCCTATAGTGCGACAGGGCTGACTTTCTAAAAACCCACTTTACCTCAGGATCCAGACAACCTCCTAACCTCCTAACCTTTTAACCTCCTTCTAACCTTCTAACCTTCTAACTTTCTAACCTTCTAACCTCCTAACCTTTTAACTTCTTAACCTTCTAACCTCCTAACCTCCTAACCTTCTAACCTCCTAACCTTCTAATCTCTTAACCTTCTAACCTTCTAACCTTCTAACCTTCTAACCTTCTAACCTCCTCCTAACCTTCTAACCTTCTAACCTTCTAACCTTCTAACCTTCTAACCTTCTAACCTCCTAACCTTTTAACTTCTTAACCTTCTAACCTTCTAACCTCTTAACCTTCTAACCTTCTAACCTCTTAACTTTTTAACCTTCTAACCTTCTAACCTCCTAACCTCCTAACCTTCTAACCTTTTAACCTCTTAACCTTTTAATCTCCTAACCTCCTCCTAACCTTTTAACCTTCTAACCTTACTTCCTTTTAACCTTCTTTTAACTTTTTAATTTTTTAACTTTTTAACTTTTTAATTTTTTAATTTTTTAATTTTTTAATTTTTTAATTTTTTAATTTTTTAATTTTT